AATTAATCTTCACAGACCTTGAGAGAAAAGCTTTGGATCCATCACACACGGTATTAGAAATGCAGGAAGAATAGAGAGGTGGAGCAATGACTATGATACACCTCAACAGTTACGTCGTGTTTCACATTTAAATCCCGAAGGGATTGCGCTAACAGCTTTTCAAAGTGATTGTGGTATAAATTCTATCGTCGATGGAGAATTACTACAATCGAATATCGGACAGTTAAATAATGTATACGTACGAGGAGAAGCCTAGACTCGCTCAGCAGCATTAACTGAAGTTTGTTTCATTGAATCACCATTATTAGATTCGATATCGAATGATGAATAAGAACTAGTTAATTGAGAATTAGTAAATGCATGACCATCAGCATTGGCATTTGATGCACGAGGATTAACATGATTCTGGTCAACAAGTTCACGTAAAATATCGAGTGATAATGAAGCAGGCACTTTAATGCCTAAGTCCTTAAGCACCTAGAGCATTTGTGCATGTGTCTCGTTAAAACTGGAACGAGATATGTTTTTATTAATTGTTTTAGTATCACGAAAAGATCGGGTGATGATTTTCGTTTTCTTTGATTTCACCATACGTGTAGATTAGGAGAAGATTGTAATAATAGAGTCAGCAAACACAAATTAGTTATAGTAGAATAATGGAAGAATGATAGAATATATTGTAAAACTATATAGCAATAGCAAATAGAAATTAATTAAACAGTAAACATTTAAAAAGTGAAGGCGCTCATCATTGATCATGAACTAACGTTAGTGCTCGTCAATTATTAACTAATATTGAATAAATGGGTTATTATAATAGATGAAATGGAATGCGAGCTCTACTCATCTGTATTATTATCTTCGTCATCTAACATCTTTCACTTGTTGAATACAAAACTGGTGACTACTAAGTTTTTGGAATATTACGAATCAAGTTTTATTACTTGACAGGAAATTAATTCTAGCGAATCTAATAATAGCATCCTAATGTATCTCCTAATATTCTATGGATTCTATTTATTATGTATCACACCACGCATAAAAAAAGAACTATTTAACAGGCTTAGATTTCCGTTTCTTGTACCGAACGATTAATATTTATAGCTGAATTACATGGCTGATCTTGCAGAGATTATTTTTTCTCCGATTCATTTGTTTGCATTCATCACAGAAATATAGCTATCATGTGTGTAGGCAACAGATATAGATGATTTCACGCGTAATATACTACTGGCAGGCGTGCTTATCTATTTAATGCGATGCGAAGCAGAAGCATTTCTGTAGTCCGTCGCGAGTTTTCTTTTGCTTTTGCTTTCTCGACGTACGCATCTTTTTCGTTGTTTTGTGACCCGATGATCTCGACAACACAAAATGGTAGAAAAGTAGTTAAAACGTCAGATGGACGTATCGAGATCGAACTTATAACACCTGTTTTCGAATGTTCAATCTGAAGTTTTGTTCACTCACAAATGTGGTTCCAAAATGACGAAAATGAAAGAAATTTGTGGCGAGATAATTAAAGTGACGTCATGAACACATGTTAGCCACTATAGTCTATTCATTTACAGCTGATCTAAGGTAAGGAATTATGGAGATAATTAATCGATCAATCAAAATCGATCATTGAGAATGTATCGCTATATAAGAATAGAATTTTCTCAGTGATGAATTGCATTATGGCTATATAAAAACTATTTAATATCTATCGATTGAAGATTTTTCGTGAAGATCCGTATTCTTATGTCGCATTGCATTTCGTATACGAGTGCAACTCGGATACCATCTAGTTTCAATGGTGCATTTGATTGAGAGATTAGTCGACTCTATATATTATTATACGTAAAAATGATTTCAAACTACTCTTATCGTTCGCAATAAACGTGAAGGAATCATAAAAATCTTTTCATCGTTATCATTTAATGACTATAGAATGTTAAGATTTTGCTATCGAACTCGTTAATACCTTTAATAGCAGTTTTTATCGGTGCAATCATGCGAAATGGTAGTGTTTAGAAAATACAAATTTCGGGTCTAGCCATGCAAGGTTCAGGGAAATTTGTGCATAGTTAGCATTCAAAACATGATTTCCCTGCAGATAACGCGACTTAATAAAGGATTTTAGTTCATCTGAGAAAGAAGGTATCAAATCATCATCTTATCACTTGAATATATCCACTATATATCTTGAGGGTGTGGATGAAATGCACCCGGAAGGGATCCTGGATACTTCAAATGTGAGTGTGGGTGATGAATGCCAAGGAGAAGTGCTCAAATGTGGGTACGGGTGAAGGGTATATATGCATTCATATGTAGCATATATCGGAAAGTTAAACTGAAACTAAATCAATTCCTAGATTTAGTTTTAGTTTAACTTTTTCTTTTCTCCATATATATTCAAACTCGAATTAGACAGCTACTCGAATTTAGGTGCATTTATAGAATGATGCACCATCATCTTTATATACAAAATAGTCTAGTCGAAGAAACAAATGCCTTTTCTTCCTTTGTTTCTTCTCTCTCTCTCTCTCTTGGGTGTGTGTGGGTTGTATAGTATAAATAGGAAAACAAAAGAATCATCAAGAAAAGATTAAGGTTCAGATTAGGAATCTCCAGGTCGTTCATTTCTACAGTCGGATTCTGGGCGTCGTACCGAGATTCGGATCCGTAGGATCGGAATCCGATACTATCCGATCATATCCTACTCTGGAGTCCGATGCGCCGAAAGAGCCTACTATAGTCAACCTCTAAAAAGTTTTTTTTGCACTAAATAGTATTTTGATATTTTTTTAAATTTTTCCGTCGGATTAGTCGACCCGGGTCGAAAATAGCAAATTTGTTGTTGATTGGTTAAATAGAAACATAAATTTCTATTTTGTGAATTGATTTAAGTTACAGCGGGGCCTTTGTAACACTTTCTATCTCAGTTTTTTGCAATATCTTCATATTAAACACAAAAATGCATGTTTATCTGTCCTCATTTTTGCTGTCATTATTATCTACACTGCTATGTTGTAAAAATCAAACACACCGCTAATGTAAAAATATCGATGATTGAATAAGACTACTTACCAGCCGATATCAAAATGCTTATTTTTTAATGTGAGTCTGCAAGACGTATTACTTTATATATACAGTCGTTTACATAGTTTTTCTTTTTTTCTAAGATAAAATGTTTACCTGAGTCAATGAAGTGTGACTCTAATTTCGCTACTTCTTATTTTCGCATATCAAAACATTGTTTCATGTACATCGTATCGTAAGTTCACCAAATAAGTGATCCATATTTTCCTTTCGGTTGTGACCAGTGAAAAAAAAACGATGAGCATCTTACGGTTTCTTTTCATCGAGTTAGCGCGTGGGTGACTGTATAAAATTACATTAACCAGACCAAGGCCCTCACACCGACACTCTAGCAAACCATTTTTGACGCAAAGGTAAAATAATCAACCCCTGTTCGTAGAGTAATAAACTTTTTCGATCAAACAGTAGAACAATCGATCTCTGTACGTAGAATGATAAATCCTTTCAAGGAAAGAGCGGAAAGATCAACCCCTGTACGATGAACAATGAGCTTCTTTCAACAAAAGAGAAGTAGAATCAACCATCAACCGACGATGAAACTATCCCTTGAGATGCTAAGCTAGATAAGCCGATATTTGTCAGTAGAATAAAAAAAACATGTCAATGAAGAGGTATAGAATCGAGCATTCGCGTAGAGTACGAAACCCTTTTTTTTATTAAGATGTAGATGAATCAATTATTGAACGTGGAATACTAAACCTTTAACAGGAAATGGTAGCAGAATCTACCCTTAGGCGTAGAATAATGAACTGTTTCTGAGAAAGGGTAGCTTACTCTACCCAGAAAGGCAGAATGATGTACTGTTTTAACGAAAAAGTAAAATAGTAAACCCGACAATGAAGAATAAAATACCCCTACCTTGAAAGCAAACAACAATCCACTATCATTCGTTGAAGGATATATTCTTATCTTAAAATCGTAGAATAATGAATCCTTATGTACCCATCATATACCCCTTGAGTTTTCATAAACCTATAGTGTCATAAACCCTTCGACTAATAAACGCTAAAAGAGTTCATCACATCGGAATAAATCCTTCTAGGATTTAATGGCGACTTTTTTAAGTGCAGGGGTAGATCATTACTCGGATTTTTTATCAATGTATGCTGTTGTTTTTCTAAATATAGGTAATTGCTCAAAACATTGAATCGATTCAACATTGCATAAATTGTTTTTTTTTAGAATATTATTGTTTTCTACTTTTCAACAGGTGACACTCTTCTGGTTGACAATTGATAATTTTAAAGACGTCTTATTGAAGCTTTACTTATTGGATTTTCTTGTAAATTCCACCACGCATTTTAGAATTAAGTGGAAAAAAATTAGATACAAGTAACGAAGAAAACGCAACAAAATAAAAATGAGAAACCATTTGATAGTAATGGAGAAAATAAGACTATAGTATAGTTTAGGATGAACACTGCTTCTTCTGAAGTATGTCTCCATTATAATGCACTTGAAATATATTTTTTGTCATGAAAAAAATCAATTTCATTTGTATTGGATGCATCTAGTAAATTGCAGCAGTGTCTTGGATTTAGGCCATTATATTTTGTCACTGTTTATTTTAAGTTTTCTTTTAAAACAAATAAAAATAACCATGAATTTATTATGCTTTATGGAAGTTCATTATTATTATATTGACTAAAGGAAAATTTACATCTACTCGTAAAAATTTAAAGGAACTGTATATATTTCAATGTCTTCGATAAAATATATGTATGTAATACAGGAAAGCGATTGCATTTGGTTAGATTAACTGAATAAACAGAATGTTATTTTTTAAAAGTCCATGAAACACGATAAGATCCTCTGCTTGAAAGAAAAGGTTCGCTTGTTAAGTTTTATCAGAATGTTGCTCGAATAAAAATGAAATAAAATCTATACGTACAAGAAGTTTATTCAGTGACTTAATTAACTAAAAAACAATTGTTGGCAATTTCACATAATTAAATGGAGATCAATTTGAATTAGTAAAATCTATTGGATTATTCTACTGAGACGCAACCATTCTCTTTATCATGTAAAATATCATTACTCTGAGATTTTCTAAGGTCCTTTAAAGATTTTCTAAACAACCATATTCTGTGTTGTCTTTAATTTATGCTTTTTACATCTTTAAATAATTGCAATAATCCAACTAATAGATATTTTTGAACAAAAAACAAAAATATTGCTTCGTATGAATTCTAATGGAATCTATCAGATTTGTACAAATGAATACTGAAATAAGTTTATCAAATAATATTTTTTAACAATTTTTATCGTCGTCATCAAATAAAAAAGCGTCTAAATTCACACACACTACAGTAACAAGACTTGCCGCTTTTTCAATCACTTTCAGTATAGATTTTGTAAATGTATAATCCCGTTGTTAACAAGCTTTTCCCATACTCGGCATCGTAATATATGACTCGGTACATAGATCATTATTCTCGTTGCAATAGCTTGATTGATTGTTGCTATCATAGTAATTAATAATCTCTGCACGATAAATGAAGAATGATATATTTTTGTATTTCTCTTACTCGCGAAACAACACGAAGTATTTGCTATGTTGAGCATACTGATTTCTTGTCAGAAACAGTATTGTTTTTTTTTCTTTCATGAAAAAAAACTATTTTTCGTATCAATAATAAAACAACAAGTTTTCAGCCAACAAATATCCAAATATGTAACAAAACAAAACAAGAAAGAAAATGGAATTTAGAAACATAATGTAAAAAATCACAATTTCGAAATAAAGAAAGAAAGAAATTTTTGTTTTCAATTCGATTTTATTGGTCGACGAAATAGTAAAACATGTGGCTCTAAAAGTAGATCATAATGAAATATTAAGAGCTGAATCTATGGCTAACAAATGAATCATAATTCTTCTGATTTCGATCAATCATTAAATGTTATTGATTGATACAACAATATTGTAAGCTGATTTATCTATGTTTCCTTTCTATTTATTTTGTTACTAAACGTATAGCACGAGCTAAAAATGTACAAGAATATAAATTTGTTATTTCTGTCAATATAAATATAAATCAATGTCTCGTCAATCAACTCAATAGAAAATCGATTAGAAACGACTCATTTATTATAATGTAATGGAATATTTCTTATCGATAACAATATTTTCTAATCAAAATACCAGAATGTGCAATTTTCCATACGATAGTTTTTCATTTTAATCTTCTAATATTACTAAAATACTCATAATGACTATTTACATTTATTGTTTCCCTATAGTGATATTTTATAATTAAGTACGAACCTGGATTATGAAGCATAAAATGTATCCATCCAGCTGACATTTGTAACCCTGCAGGACAGAATTTAGTAAATATTCAAGATATTGAAATATTCTCACCTAGATTTCGCCATTCAGTTTCAGTTAATAAATGTGTTCGTGGTACTAATTGTGCTTGTTCTGGTGGTAATATTACATGTCGATATTCATACATATCATCTTTATATGTTTCACTATAGAATATTTCCTTCACAGGCATAGTTATTTTTCTCTTACATAAAATTAAATCTAAAGGAAATTTATCTTTATTTTGAATTCATTTTTATTTTATTGTGCATTTTTCATAATTAAAAAAAACCTGTGCGCAATCATGCGCACTAAATAGAATATGAATAAGAAAAAATGATAATAAGAAAAAAACAGAAAAACGAAAGTAATGAATGAACCTATTTCTTTACTTTTACACCATATGGAAGCTCAATAATAAGATCAAAAACAAAAAGCCAAAAGAGTATAAGAGAAACAATGCACTGTGACCGTAACAAACAAAAAGTTTTTTTACATGAGAATTTTTCGCTTTCTTCTTTTATTATAAACTTGATTTGATTGTCATGTGAGCACGCATGAACAATATTGGTGTTTCATTTATATAAATAAATATTTACGTATATATATATATATACACAAAGAGAACATCAATGACTATGTGAGAACGTATCTTTGTAGATTTTAAAGAAACACACATGATGGTTTTGATACTTTGTTTGTTTTAGGTGATAATACACTTCGAACAGCATCATCAAAAACCTATATGGATTAAAAAAGGTGTCGATAAATTAAGTAAGCAAAATAAAAGTACAACAAACCTGTTTAAGACCTTTCTGAGTTAATGCGGAACATTCAACATATTTAAAAGCACGAATTTTTTTACATAAACGTTGTCCTTGTTCACGTTTTATTGGTTGAAGAGTTTGTCTTTGTAATTGATTAACAAATTCTCGATCTTCACGTAAATCAATTTTCGTTCCTAAATATAACAATAGAAAATTATAATTCATCATCGTCGTTTTATTTTATTTTAACTTTATTTTACCACATAAAATAACTGGTGTATCTGGGCAATGATGTCGAATTTCTGGCATCCATTTATTTGTGATATTTGTGAACGATGTTGGACTTATAACACTAAAGCAAAGTACAAATACATCAGTTTGTGGATATGATAGTGGTCGAAGTCGATCATAATCTTCTTGGCCAGCTGTATCCCATAAGCCCAATGAAACTTTAACATTATCAACAACTACATTTGATGTATAATTATCAAAACTAAAAGACATTAAAAACAAAAGAATATAATTATTTTCAAACGAAAAACGAATGCTTACACTGTTGGTACATATTCTTCTGGAAATGCATTACTTGTAAATGACATAAGCATGCAAGTTTTTCCCACAGTACCATCGCCAACAATTACTAATTTAATTGGGACACTTTGATGAGGATTTAATTTATTTGTCATCGAGCTAATATAATTAGAAGACGGTCGTTTTTATTTTTATCTTTGACAGCAAAATGATAACATCTAAATATGTAATGTGAACTCAATTGCAAATAACAGAATCAACAATGAAAATCGAGAACATCGGACAGTAGTAACAGTAACTGTATAATCACATTCTTTTCTCTCTTTTCTTTACTTGTTGATGCTACTTGCGATCGATTCTCCTTTTTTTCTCCTTTTTTTTTGCTAATGCTCGGAGGAAGAAGAATAGAGTAGAACATTATGATGATCATCGTTTATAGCTGAAGAGAAAGCTAGAAACAAGCTGTGCGCATCTATATACTAGATGATGATGAGTCTACTGTTCTATGCATTCTTGATTGACAAGTTTCGGCCAAAAGAAGGCAGGAAGGAAAAAAATATGTATACGAATATAAATCGATCGATCCATGTATGTTATATATTACGGGTCAAATTACAACCAATAAAATTCGAAAATTTGAATACATACATTTATTGAAAAGGAAACATAGAAAAAAAAATTTCTGTTCATTTTTGTGATTATTTTTCAAGAAAAAATTTTAAAAGAGGTTAGGCTCTTTATTTTTCATTGGCTGAGAAAATTTCCAATCAGACGATTTTTAAGTCATCTGAGTTAAACGATTTTGTTTAGAAATAAAGATACATATTTTTTGATTATGTATTCAATATTGAGACTTGGTATGTTCCATTTTTTTTATGTATTCGACTGTTAAAGTGAAAAATCTATCACCGTCGAAATTATTATTTAGTTTCTCGGCCATCGACAAAATCATGTATTCGTCATTTAAAAATGAATACGAGAATACCACGCTCACGGCCAGATTTAGTTCGATTTTTGGAAGATATTACATTGCCTGTACTTGAAAAACCATTGCCAGATCCTGTTGAAGATTGTTATCGGGAACAAATCAAGAATAAGATTCTACTTGATCAAGAAGATATTGAACTTGTATGCACATTTGTTCTTTTTATTTCATAGAAAACCTAATTGAAAATTCTAAAGGAAAGATTTAGTCTAATGATCGCTCTTGCAAGCATCAAGAGTAGTACACTTTTTTTTATTCGTTGAATCTTTTCAAACATACTGACAAAGAAATTGAGTACTACATATTACAAATTTGTGACACTAGTATCTCGAAAAAAAGAAGAATCTGTTGTAGATGATGCAAGTCTATTATTACTCTACAGTTAGGCAAAGTATAGGCTCCATAGTTTGTAATTGGATGTGATATTGCCGTTTGAGATAACTCGGAAGCGTTCTAAATTTTCACTATTTCAGACAAAGTTAAACAAATATTTATTGTAAAGAACAGTTTGTACCTATTGATGTATTCAACACTTGACATCAGGCGTTTACTATGCAAACAACATAGTTTTAGGACGAGAATTGTGTTCAATTATGGATTTTCTATGATAGGTAAATTCAAATAAGTTACAAATTTTGACAGTAAGAGTCAATTTAAGAGTGATTTCACCGAAGGAAAAACAAAATTCGAAATATTCCTCATAAAGAGCTTATATTGATTTTCTTGTTTTGCTTCACAGAAATCTATTCAGTCGGCTCATTCTTTTGATATCAACAGATTAATAGACGAATTTTTATTCAGTATGTACGGATTCTCTATTGGTTTTTTACGGAAGATTCCTTGTGTGTACTTTTGGAAGTTGCCGATTCTTTGGATGAGACTTGTATAATTTTAATTGCTCTATCTGATAACTTCGTCATACTTTATAAAATATGATTACTTCCGTGAACCTTATCCATTTCATAGTCTAAAAACAGTGTTGAAAGATTTTAAAAAGTGGACGATTGCTTAGGAGAACACGCAGTTTTTTTATTCATGCTGATCGATTTCGAAGCATTGAATCTTCAGTGTGAAAAAAGCCGTAGAATTTTGATATGTTCTATCACTACAGTAATCGAGAAATTTTATAATATCACTTATTTTATATGGCTTGGTAATATTAAATGTTATCATCGAAATAAAAACATTTTACATATATTTTCGAATCGTCTAAGTTTAATCTTGATTTTTCTAGGCCTCCGAGTATGATCAATTTCGAGCAGGACGTTTTCGTGAAATGCTTGAATCAAGTCGTATTGTTTTACTTTGCCAAGAAGTTTGCATTGTTCCACCAAGTAAATAGATTTTTATTAGCACCAAGTATGTTTAAAATTCTTTTCTTATTTATATTTAGTTCGATATACAATTGCAAAAATGCAATTTATGAAAAATGGATTTACATTTAAGAAATTTCCACGAATAGTTCCACAGTAATTATTTAATATCGAGGCATAACAGTCTTCAAATGAAAACTGTTAGTCTATTGTCTTAAGAATAGAAACTAGAGTAAATTAGAGAAAATATTTAATTAGCTACAATAATTTTCAATTAGGAAAAGCGATAGTTGAGGTTTTATTAATCTTTAGATAAGAAAGGTCTTTGAAGGATCAGTTCTTGAATTCTATCAAAAACAATCAAGAAATTCTAGTTATTCTATGACAAGCTAAAGAACTTATCTCTTACTAATTCTGTAAATTTCCATGAACTCAGCATAAAAAAACACCTACTTGGTACTTGACGCAATGACTGTTGTTGACTAATAATAGTTAGAGAAAAATTTTAGGACATCCAATTTACGAAATGTTTTTAATAGAATTCCAAAAATAAATGATTGAAATAGTCTTCGTTTTTCAAAATCTCTTCATGGAAATCTTTGAATTGAGACTTTGACAAGCTTTTCTCGAGATAAAAAGTTTTTCGTAATGAAATATACTTTTTCTCCAATCGTTTTTAGTTGCGATTGTTAAATAAAGAATTCTGGTTTTTGCAAAGTTATCCTATACATATTTTTCTTTATTGTAGTTTAGCATTAGCAAATGATACACGATATGAAAATTTCCTGCCACCAATTTTATCATTTGGTTTTGAAACAATTTATTTATTTCATAAAGAAAATAATTTATCATTACCTTTTAAATTACTGAAAAAATATCGAAATAATCTACTACTGATTGGTAAAAGAAAAATAATCATTTCTATTTTTAATTTATAAAGAGAATTTGTCACACTTTCAGGTGGCCTTGTTGACGGGCGTCTATATAATCGAGCTGGTCTTGAAAATTTAGCACAATTACCAAATATTGATTACTTCCAAGGAGAACTTGTTTCAATCACGCAACTACCTAGTAGTCGAACATTATCATTAACAAATCATCCAGCTCGATTATTTAGTCATTATTTAGACACATATGTCAAATCTCAACAAACAAAAGCATAATTTGTTTATTATACATTTTGTTTTTGTTTCTTTACGAGAAAAAAAAAGAAAAGATAAAATGAAGTTTTTTTTGTCCTTTTTTCAATTGTTACTTCTTAGGATATTTTCAGATGGCCGGTTCGGCATTACGACGTTTAATAGCTGAATATAAACGTAAGAATTTTCGTTAGAAAATGAAGAGAAAATCTTCTTGTTAATTTATTCTATTATTGTAGAACTAACAAACAATCCACCAGATGGAATTTTAGCTGGACCAATTAGCGACGAAAATTTTTTTGAATGGGAGGCACTCATTACGTTTGTATAACAAGACTATGTTTCATGGAGTTTTGTCTTTTATTTAATTAAATAGAGGACCTAATGGTACACCATTTGAATTTGGAGTTTTTGCCACTCGTCTTCATTTCCCAAGCGATTATCCACTAAGTCCACCTAAAATGAAATTTGTTAGTGAAATTTTTCATCCGAACGGTAGGAAAATGAAAATTAATGATTTAGTTATTGTCATATTTTCTTAATTAGTGTATCCTGATGGTAGAGTATGTATATCAATCTTACATGCGCCTGGTGATGATCCAATGGTAAGCGAAAATAGATATCTTTAGTCAATGTCATTATATTTATATATTACATTATTTACTGAATAGCACCTACCTGTGACTTATCGTGTTCATCACTAAAGAAGTTAGTAGCAGTTAATCAAAATTTCATTAGGCATTTCTTGCGGAAAACTGTCGAAACTTGATGTTTCTTTTGAAATGATGGTAATAAGGCATATACAAGTGTACGGTTTTTATTTTTAGATTCGAAGACAGATACAGTAACAAGTCATTTTTCTTAATTTTATCTCGAAATACACTCTAGAGAATTCTATTCTGCCACTAAACATGTCTGAAACATATTTAAACGGCCGAGATAAGTTCACTTGCTCTCGTTCGTATTGTAATACTTAATAAATTTTATGTTTAAACATAAGCATTTGCCTTATGAATGCCTAGGTCTGAGTTTATCACGTAAAAAAAATCTATTCGAACCCACTGGATCAAAAGGTTTTATATCAGGCTAAGAATTCACTATCGTAGTTTACTGAACACTACATACATTTAGTTAATTTACAATGAAATAGACACTTTAAAAAAGGTTATATACCAATGTAGTTGGTATGAAATGAATTCAGATATTGGTATAATAGGTAGAACTGGTACTGGATCTCTACAAACCATTTAGAAATCTATCTCATAATATCTGAACCAGATAAACTCTAATTTAAGTCGATTTATTTTAACTGAATATTGCTTTTAGGGTTATGAAACAAGTGCTGAACGCTGGAGTCCTGTACAAAGTATTGAAAAGATTTTACTCTCCGTTGTTTCTTTACTCGCTGGTAAACATCGTTTAATGTTAATCATGAATTTGTATGCTTTATTTTTCATAGAACCTAATGAAGCAAGTCCAGCAAATGTTGATGCTGCAAAAATGTTCCGAGAAAATCGTGAAAAATTCGATGAAACAGCAAAACGTTGTGTTCGAAAAACACTAGGACTTTAATTCATTTGTGTGTTTTTGTCGTTTTTTTTCTTGTGGATTTTCAATTCATTTCTTTTATTTACAGTAAAATTTGCAATAGGAACTTTGTCACTTTAGATGATTCTCTCTCGGCATTCTTTGTCAACTGTTAATTATGTTTCACGTCGAGTGAGTGATAATCGTTTTCGTTGTAAAAACCCTTCTAAATGATGCTCATATAGTTTGTTCAAAATCTTCCACGAAATGTTCGACTGGAACTTGATTCAGAAGTTAATAAACAATTAACATCTGATAGTACAAAATCAGCTTTCTTTAAAGAGCATAAAGGAAAATTTTATCATAAAAATGTATTACCAAAACAACTTGAAGAAACAATTAATACCGTTCTATCTGGTACGAATATTATTGCTGTTTTTGTTATTCACTAACAATCATTGGATTACTATTATTATTTGCTGATAGACATTGAACCGCAACGGCTTAAAGTAGACATGAAATTACTTGCAGATCATTTAGCTGAACGACACTTACCAATGGAACAACGCGAATTACAAACTATAGCACAAAATGTTATACAAAATTTAATCGATACTGAACGTAAGTCTCTATAGAAAATTTTCTTCTTCTAATATCTACTTTGGTTTTATTTTAAGCACGAATGAATACATTAGCATTGAGTCCTGAACAGCGTGAAGAAATAAATCTCAAACGACAACATGAATTAGTCAAACGATTAAAATCCTCAATTTACCGTTGGCAACCATTAAGGTAAAATATTGAATACCTACAGAAAAAGAATTTATTTTGTAAATGTTAGCTTCGATGAATACAAATCAAAAATATATTTGGCAACTAATTTCGCATCACATTATGCTATGCTTTCGCAAATTTTCAATGAGGTAACCTTATTTAAAGTAAATCATCAGAATTTGGAGAAAGAAATTATTTAGATTAAAAAAAGAGAACGAGATTTTCTACCGGTTCGTTTATTCGATTTCGGATCTGGTGTTGGTTCTGTTATGTGGTAAGTTTATCTATGAGTTCGTATTTTATTTTATTTTTATTTAAAGGGCAGCCATGCATGTATGGGGTAAACAAACATTTGCTGAAATTCTCAATGTTGATAAAGCACGTGAAATGAATGAACTATCTCAATTGATATTACAGAAAGGTCAACCGAATAAAACACCACTCGTGCATGGTGTTGTCTATCGACAATTTATGCCACATGGACGTGAAGTAAGTTACTAGGGGATTAGTGAAGAAATGAATTTTATTTATAACTATTTTTTTCTCAAGAGTAACAGTTAGAATTAATTCTAAAAAAAATCTTGAACAACAGGAATGATTTAATTCCAATTGGAAATAGATTTTTTGAAGAGTAAAACATTTTTTAAAATAAATTTATCGTATAGAAAATTTATATTTCGATAAGAAATAAAAATGTACTTGAGCGAGCTTTTATCTATGTTGCGTGAATGAGAATCATTGTACCAAAGGCTTCTCTTTGTTGTTTTGATAAAAATTGAAATGGATGTATTATGTTTTACAATTTACAATGGTTTTCATAATGAGTACAGTTTGTAACAAAATAAGTTATTGACACTGTTAATCTTTTAAAGGCATTTTTTTTTCTGTAAGATGAAAGTTTTAGAAACATTTTTGATCCGGCCATCTTTTCGCAAAAGAACTCGTTTTGCAAAATAATGAATCTATTTCTCTTTCAGAATGTATTCGATTTAGTTGTTGCTGATCATACGTTATTTGAATTTGAGAATCGTTTTGAACGTTTGAAAGCTGTTCAATCTTTGTGGTATAATGTTAAACCTGGTGGTTTTCTAGTAATTGTTTTATCTTTTTGAAGAAAATTAATTTTATTCAACGGTTCAATTTAGATTCTTATTGAGCGCGGAAATATTCATGGTTATACAGCAATTAATGAAGCTCGTGATAATATTTTAAATGTAAGTTCTGTAAAATATTATTGTCAAATGTTTTTTTAGTTAATAGTTAAGTGGCACACAAGTTGGACTCGATTGTATAGGAGAGAAAAGAGATTTTGATGAAGGACAGAAAACAAACACTTGCTTATTTTCTACTAATAGAAATAGCATCGATTTGTTTCTTCCCGAATGCGCAATTGAGGCTGTAATACGATAAGTTGATGACGTATTGCAAAAAAACAACCCTGTACTATGCGAGAACATACGGAAAGAAAATGGTAAACAACATGGGGGATATATCGTAAATTATACAAAACAAAAGAGATCATAGAAAGCAAATTGCATGAATCACTACATAATAGACCAACGAAACAATCTCTCTATGGCTCACGTGCTAATTCTCATTGTTTCTATATGATCAGATGATATGACGAGCAAACATAAAATTGATGTCGTATATTTTAACTTCTACAATAGTGTGATGTCTGTTTTTAGCGTATTGCTGTTTCTGCCGAAACGATTAACAAGAATGATGTTGAAGAAATGAATGATGAAGAATCGTTGAAAGAAAATGATGACTCATCATTTACTAAACGGTACTCTCCAGCACATATTTTTTCACCGGTAACAATCAACATTACTCCGATATAATAATATTTATCTTTGGAGTATTTGAATTGTGTGTGAAATTTAGTGTCCGCACGATATGACTTGCCCAAAAGCACAGCTAAATACTCCATGTCGCATAGCAACTCGATTTAGACCATTACAAATATTTGATCTTCAACGAGTAACATTTATTTATTTTTAATTTTTGTTACAAACTAATTTTCGTTTTTCTCTTCTGATATAGAATGTACCCAATTTTGAAATAGCTCAAATGTCATATATTGTCGTTAGAAAAGGCGAACGAGATAAAAATGGTGAAATTAGAAACAAGCTTCTTGCTCTCATTTACATTATATTTTTTCAAAGATATTTATGGAACATGGCCACGTGTTATTGAACCCATCATTGACCGTAAAAATCATCAGCATGTTCGACTTTGTTGCCCCAATGGTGAATATGTCAATGTGCCTATATCAAAAAATAAACACGGCGTGTATGTAATTTTCCGTTTAATTCATAGTCTATGATGGGAAAATCTCAAGACAAAATATTCACAAGTTTTTCGGTTACCTAAAGACTTCCGACTACATCTAATAACAATTCTTCAAAATCAAAATTTGCCGCTCTTTTTTGAATAGTTTTCTAGAATTTTATATTGAATTATAACTGGACAATTATCAATATATTATCGTTTCAAAATTTCTAGAAAAATAGTTTTTCAGAATAGTGTTTCATTTGTCTTATTATCCGTGAAAAAATTTAGAGCTGTTGCATTTATAATGGAGAATTTTGTGCCAATTTCAATAAAGACATACTGATGTAATTCTGCTACGTATAATTCTGAATCTAACTCGATAGTCTTTTAATGATCTAAAAATAAACGAATACTTTTTTTTATTGTAAACAGTTGTGCGTCTATGAGTTAAATATTTTTTGTTTGTTTCAGTGGTCTTCATCGTTTATCACATCATGCTGCACCTGGTGATATATTTCCAGTAACTGCTGAAGTCATTGAAGATAAATCAACAACAAATAAAGAAAATGAAATAATTTCTTCGCCAAGACGGAGACGAGCCTATAGAACTTAGTTATTTTTGTTTTACACGTTGTTATACAGAGATAAAAACAAAGAAATAATCTCTATGATTTCATATTGTTATAACTTTTAGATAATATTTAAAAGAAAAACAAAAAAAAATACTTTAAAGAACAGTTGTCAAATGGATTATCGAACTCTTGTTAATGAAGATAATGATGGTGCCGAAGTACCAGACCAAAGTTTATCTCCTTTTATGCAATTCGATACGGAAGAAGATCTAAATAATAGTGAAAAACGTAAAGAACATTAAAGAAAAATCAATCGCTTATATATCTCAATAAGCGAATTTTATTTTTGTTTTTTAAAGAATCTCAATGGAGTCATCAAAAAGATCTGGATGATTTTTTTGTACGTGTATATCAATATCATCAACAACATGGGTTTTTTTGTATTATACTTTCTGAAATATTCGGTCTTGTGTAAGTTCGATGAAATTATTTTTCTCTTTCATGTATTTAGACAATTTTTTATTGAAATAGACAATTTATATTTATTGTTTCATTTACTGTCTTAATTGTCCAATGTATTGATTATCCACTTTTGTTTCGTTCAACACCATCAGCAAGAAATATAACTCATAAGATACATTTTGATGACATTATTCAATCACCTCAACAGTGTCTCAGCCAGTATATTGTTAATTTTGAGTTTATTATAAAAAGTCTATTCTATTCTTTCCTAAATTTAGTATGCATTTATTAACAACTTCATGCATAATACTTTCTATAATCTATTGGCTTTATCGTTTTTCACGAGCTCTGTACAATCTGATTTCATATTATAATATTCGAGCATTTTATATTCAAGCTTTGGATATTAAACCGGTATAGAATATCATCTCAATATATGTTTTCTCTTTGAGAGCGTTCTCTTGTAGAATGATCTATCTAATATGACTTGGCATGAAGTTCAACAAAGATTATTACTTGCTCAACGAACACATCATTTGTGTATACATAAATTAAATTTAACAGAACTAGATATTCACAATCGATTATTACGCTTTAAAAATTATGAAGTGGCTATGGTGAATAAAGGAATTTTACCACCAAGAATTCATTTACCAATACTTGGTGATATGTATGTTGTCGATTATTTTTCTAATCATTTTCTTTCTCATTCAATCAATTTTAGAATATCATTTACGACCGGTTTCAAGTTCAATCTGCGTTTAGTACTATTTTGTAAGTTTGTTAAATGCAATTGAATGATAAATTCTTTTTATTAATAATTAACTAATCGTTTGAAATTCTAACAAAAACTATTTGTTTTTACATATTTTTGGTCTAGTTCTCGATTTGTAGACTATTGTAAAGCTATCTCAATGTTTTATTCACAGTAGTTTTAAGTGACAACTTTGATTTGAGAGTAGTTGACGCTAATCCTTAAGAAAAAGGTCTCAGTCAGACTAATAAAACTCTAAAATGATTCTTCGCTATAGACTTGTGGGTCGCATTTCAATTCATTTTCTAAGTTGTAAATCCATCTTTTGATGCATACTGCAAAAGAAAATTTCAACGTGATACTTTACTCATTTATAGTTGCAGTCGACACGAATATCCTGAAGTTAAGATATTGAGTATCGGGGAAAAAAACAATCCAGTGATACAGACATGATGCAGTAAGAAATCCATCTGAGGCTTGAACACTCGACAAATGTGAAAATATGCTAATCAGCAGAAATTTTAAAGATATTTCTAGTCTCAATGAAATACTGTGAAACAAAGAAAAAATATTTGAATACCTATTGGATGAAATATTGGATCTTGATTCTAATTGTCTATGTCAGAATTTTCTTTGTAGACTTATAAATGAATAAATACACTAGAGATAAGAGTTGAATCTTTACCTACGTCTATAACATTCATATATTAATTTCAATGATATTGCATTGTAATAAAAAATTTGAATACATTTAGGGGGTCCATATGCACCATTCGATGAACGTTGGCATTTACGACAAGAATATAAAGTTCATAGTCAACGCCAAAAATTAGCTAAACAGTAAATTTATAGATTCAATTGTATATCTTGATAAATGAAACTATATTTAGATTGTCAACTTTTATTTTACTGTATGGTCTTGCAAATTTACTTTTGTCACCATTTATATTTATTTGGCAAGTATTAAATTTATTTTATGGTTATACTGAGGTAAAAATATAACTTATCCAATTATCTAATCAAATAAACCATTTCGTACATTTTCTAAGTTGGTACGACGTGAACCAGGTGTATTGGGTAGTCGTCGTTGGAGTAATTATGGTCGACTCTATCTACGACATTTCAATGAGCTTGATCATTCACTTAATCAACGGCTAAATCGTGGTTATAAACCAGCCATTGCTTATATGAATTCATTTGTTAATTATAGTATTGTTGAAACGGCAAAGTAGAAATTTTAAAAACATAAGAAAATAAGATTGAGTTCATTGCTAAATTTTATATTTATATTTCTTTAGATTTATTAGCTTTGCTTCTGGCGCTATATTAGCCGTTTTAGTCTTATTAACAATTTATGATGAAGATGTTCTTAATGTTGAACATATGTTAACAGTAATGACTAGTCTCGGTGTTGTTGTTGGCGTTTGTCGATCATTAATACCTGATGAAGTAAAACCGAACGATAAAGAATTGTTTTAAGAAAAATGTTTTTTTTTTATAATACAGCACGCAGTATTCGATCCAGAGCAAATGTTACAACTTGTTCTGGCACAAGTTCACTATCAACCAGATTCATGGAAAGATCATGGACACACAGATTATGTTCAAGCTGAATTCGGACAAATGTTTCAATTAAAATATGTATGTCTATTGATAATTTTTTAAATAAGAAATAGAATTCAAAGATATACTTCAAATTGTTGATTTGCATTTGAATGAAGATCCATGCCATTGTATTTGAGGTTTTCTTTTTCAAAATTTTCACACCGAAATTTTCATGATTACTTTGGCTTGTTTATGATAACAGTAAAATATTTAGCATAATTTTCTGCACTTTTAAATTGTACGATTTTTCAGAATCGATAACAAAATAAACGTGAATGTCTTTCATATATGATATATCACTTTAGCATTTCACTGTATTTTTATACGCATAAAATTAGACTAATTCACTTTTTTCTTACGAAAATGTTCTTTTTATTTCAGGTTTATTTTCTTGAAGAACTTCTCAGTGCATTTGTAACACCACTCGTATTATGCTTTCAATTCCGTCGTAAATCTTTACAAATCATTGATTTCTTACGCAATTTTACAGTTGATGTACAAGGTGTTGGTGATGTTTGTAGCTTTGCTCAATTAGATATCACAAAACATGGAGATTTGAAAGTAAATGTTGACTTGCTAGATTTTGCTCTATTAGAATTTCTTTTCTTCCTTTAGTGGTTTGTACCTACACGTCCAAAATCACCTTCGAATACTGATGGTGGCATAACTAATGATGGAAAACTTGAATTATCATTAATGCATTTTCATCATACAAATCCTAATTGGCAAATGTCTAAACAATGTGAAGCGTATTTAGGAAAAATTCAAGAACGAGGTTTGGCTAATTTTTCTTGACTGAAACAATTTATATTTAATTATATTTTTTGACAGCCGTTGAAAATATGCATGGATCATCAGTACTTCAACAGTCAATGAATGATATGCAAAATCTTCAAACTCAACAAAGTTTTTACAGTGATCCTCTATGTACGTCATTTATTTCTGTTGAAATCCTCTTCAAAATCCAATCTAGAGTCATGTGCATTCATATCGCATGAGATTTATAGGTTCTTTTAAAACTATACTTTGCTATTTTTCCGATGATATTTATGACCAAAACAAAAACGCCAATTTTTATATTCGAAATTCTTTGTTTTCATATAAATGAAATCTGTAGCAAGTTCAACAAATGTTCTTTTTTATATAACAGTATAAAAGTGTAACTCATGAAACCAGACATTTTTAGTTTCACATGCTCTTCCAATGATTTTAGTTTGCACACCTACAGAAACGTTCATAGTGAAAAATAGGCTCTCTTTCCATATGTTTATCGTAGCTTAGATTTTGAAGGAAAAATCTTCGATTTATTTTAGCTACAACATCATTAAATAATCGTTCAATTTTTTCGAAACCATTGATGAATACAAGCTCATACACTCCATCACATACAACTGTACCAGTTCCACCGAATGCTTCAATAATACAAAACAGTTTTCTAAATGGTGGTGTGTCAAAAGCAGATTTACCTTATCGAAGTTCGGCACAATATGGTGTTCTTTCAAAGTAGAAACTTGTTTTCAATCGATTGATTTCTAGCTTTTATTCATTATCTTTTTTATAGAATTCATACACAAATGTTTGATATGTCTGATCCAAATTCTTTTATGGGCTCCTTAGCATCAATACAAGGTTTACCAGGTGCAGCACAATTGGATATGAATGTGTCATGTTTATTTATGCACGAAGTAAAACACATTTTAAAAGGCATCATTTGTTTTTAATCTTCCAATGAAATCGTTTTCTTTTAGTTACGACATAAATATAAACATGGTGAATATGAAGATCTAGAAAATATCAGCGAAGATCAAAATAACGAATCGCAATGTTAAACAGCACTGCTTTTTTCTCAAGTGTGATAGTTTTTTGCTTTGTTGTTTTTTCTCGAGTTTTGTATATAAGATGTAAATAGACAACAACAAAAACGAAGCGAATACTTCATTTTATTTCTTCTTCTTCTTCATTCATTTCGATTGACAATTTCTATTTGTAAGATTGATTTTTGATACTGATGTTATACTGTACAAAGCTTTGCCTATGTCATCTGTAAGAAAACAGAAAAAATTCGTTTGTGTCGAATTTTATTTTCTATTGTATGCCTTTTCATTTTCATGTTTTTCGAACTTCTTAAACACAAAGAATATATGATGTACAAATTAAGTTATTGAATAATTTTATCTTGAATAAGTTTATCGATGTTTTCATCTGTATATCCAAGTTCAGTCTGAAGAATTGAACGAGTATGTTCACCAAGTAATGGTGCAGCACGACGAAGCATTGCTGATTTTTCAATATTTTCAAAATTCGCTGATGGACCTAAAAATAAAAAGTATTTTTCTCAACCCAACTCAACGATCGAGAAAGACATGAATTATGGATTGAAGTTATCTTTTAAACTTTGAAACGATTTAAAGATTCAAATACAATAATATGGAATGAAATTAGGAGAAGGATTCACGTCAAAAAAAGTTGTATATCAAATAAATTGACTAAATAATAAATCAATTCGAAAAATTTATTATTTGTTTACAGTCAAATCTTTCGTATACAAACATAAATATGAAACTATAATTACCAACAATTCGGACTGGCTTATTTCTATTTGGATTTTTCATTTCTAGTACTTGTTTTAGAAAAGTGACCTAAATAAAGAAATCTTTAAAGTTCGTATTAAACTCACATGTGTTTATGCTAAATTTACTTGTTCATTTTCAAAAACACCTTTCATATCATTGATTGGGCCATAAGGAATTTTATTTGCTTTTTGAAAGAGTTCAATCCATTCAGCTAAAGGTTTTTCTAAAAATCTATTAATCAAAATAATAGAAAAAACAATTGATTTCTAGATAAAATAAATTTTACTTTTTTGATAAAATGGAAATTAAGCTTTTTCTATTCGTTACACGAAGTTTATTAGTTTTAAATAGATCATCCGTTGTAAGTTCTGGTAAATTAACAATCTATAAATGCACATACAGTAGAATATAAATTGAGATTGCATTTTAAACGATTAAAATATAACTAACTGAACAGAGCTCATGAAAAAATTGATCATTGGCAGCTCCGACAATTATTCGTTCACCATCTTGACATATAAAAGCCTGATAAGGAACAATAGATGCATGAGCTGTACCATGACGTTGAGCTTCCCAACCACCATTCAAATAATTGGCAGCAATATGTGATAGAAGAGAAAGCTGAAAACATGAAAAAGAAAACATCATTTTTCCATTTAGATATTAGTATATATTTTCAGATAATAGATGTTGCCTACATGAAGCTGGATCTTTTTGTTAAGATAAAGAACTCAAATTTTACATGTAAGAGTATGACAATGAACTTTCATTGCAAGCGGTAACTTGTCTTCTGACAGGTCATATTCACTGAAATTATATGATTTAGATATCACTAGTTGGAACATGTTAACACAAATTTTTCTGAACAATATGTCTTTCCAAATACATACCACATCCGTAATTATCCTTAGCACGAATTTCATCAATAATAACTGAGATATTATCGTCTCGTTAAGAAACCGTTTGTTGAAAAACAGATACTGAATTTTAATATTGAGAATATTTTTCACGAGAATGATATTGACTAATGTTATGGATTTTAACGATAATAAAGTAGACATATGATCATCTTGTCTTCGGTGTTATACGGAGCTGATGTTTTTCACAAGAGAAAGAACATGTGTCAATAATCACTTCAATATATCGGTTTCATATCATAAAGTAATATTTTGATTTATGGAGTAGTCAAATACTCTTGTCTTAGTCTGTAGAATTTTTACGTACTTGAGTTTCAAGTAAAGAACATTCAATTTTTGTTCCTTTACCAGTTTTTTCACGTTGATACAAAGCAGCAGTAATAGCTCCAACACTCGATAAACCCGTAGCCATATCAATCACAGCAACACCAACTTTGACAGGTTCCTAGGAACTACTTTTAATTTATACATCAATAACAACTACATGATTTATGCAAATAAAAACAAAATAAAATCTTACTGAACTTCCAGTGATACTCATCATGCCACCTAATGCTTGAATAATTAAATCATAGCCTGGTCTTCTTGAATAGGGACCTTGACTTCCATAACCTAAAATAATGTTGATTATTAGTAAAATATAAGAAAAATAAAAGTTCTATATCGCACCTGTTATTGAACAATAGATAAGTCTATCATTAATCAATTGAAGATCTTTGTATTCGAGACCGAATTTCTTTAATTGCCCAGGTAAATAATTTTCCATTACAACATCACTTTTTCTAGCTAACTAATTAAATAAAAATCATGAATTTTTGTAAACATTTCAATTCAACAAAAATTACCTCACGAATAATTGTTTGACCTTGTTTACGACTCATATCAACAGCAATGCTTTGCTTATTTCGATTGATACTTAAAAAATATGCACTCTGATCTTCGACATAAGGCGGTCCCCATGTTCGTGTATCATCACCCTGGCCTTCAGAATAAAACTTGATAAAAGCATGTATATCGTTTTTATCTACCTGGTTTTTCAACTTTAATTACATCTGCACCGTAATCAGCCAATATCATACTACCGAACGGTCCTTAGAATTTGCAGAAATGATTAATCAAAGAAGTCGACAAACATGAATCTCACCAGCTAAAACACGTGTTAAATCAAGAACTTTAACTCCTTGTAAAGGGAGCCTATTGATAGGATTCATTGCCAGAAATATTCTATGTGTAAATATGAAACTAGTGATTCAATATTTGGTTTGAAAAATGTTGTCCGTCTTTTTCGAATGGTGCACGAATAGAGCAATCGTTTTCTTTTTCGAAATGAAAAAGTGTGTCAGTCGTTGCCGGTCATATTCAATATTACGTAGAATATTCGTGCTTTTAAATTTTAATCTATGCAGATCGTTTTTCTACGTCCGTTAAAATAATTGAATGAGAACCACTTTGCTTCATATGTGCTATTGAGAGTGCAAAAGTCGAAGTTAGAATTTGTATGATATCAATTTTGTAAATCATCAACGATGGAAACATTTGCTAACTTGAATCTCTTGTGTATACGAAAGACCTAAATCAAAATGATTTGTCAGCGATGTAAAATCAATAAATTTGATTGCACAAGAACTTATTAATATTACATTGAGATTGTCACGAAAAGATTCTGAAAAATAACAATATATGTATATTTCGAGATCTATTATGCATGTTTGAATGATCTAGCATTTTTTTTCTGTCCTACTACAGACATCCTTCACTCCATGGTAGATTATAAGAGAAAGTAAACTAACTTCCATAAAACTTTGATGTTGCAAAGATATGAAAAAATAAAATTACAAGTAAAATTAGTATGAAAACGTTCTCACTCCCAAGCACAATCAAACTCCTCATTTATACTGACTTCTAATGAAGACTCTTTCAGGTAGAATTTGTCTTGAACATGTTTTGATTACTTAAAAATATGTGTTTTTTTCATTGCTATTATCATAAATCCTTCTTGAAAATCATGAAATAATAAGAAATTATAAAATTTTTCTTGTAGAATATGAAAACTATACCATAGATACACTTAATAGCATAGAATCAATTTTAAAATTCGGAAAATTTTACAACATAATATTCGGAAGCTATTCGCTAATTAGGCTTAACTAATTAGCTAGTTAATTAAATATCGCTGATTATGAATGCAAGACTCCAATATTAGAATGTAGATTCATTCGAGAGGAATTTATTGTAAAAATTCCAGTCGAATCGAAGGTATTCACTTGCTTTTCTTGCTGATTTTGTCGACTAGTGCAATGAGTCATAATATTTCCTATAATCTTCTTACTTGTTGAATAAAGAGTCTAAGTAATTATAATTGTTTTAAAAACAATCCGACTGTGGTTGTCCACAGCTGTGATCAACATCTAATTAATATATATATATAACGATATTTTCTTCTCTTCCGGTTAAATATTGGGAAATATTCTATTTCTCGTGTTGTCACCTCGCTTGTACTTCATAGGGAACAATATTTTTAATATTTCATTAAAAAAAAATAAAAGTTGCTTGCCAATCACTGAAAATCGGATGAATGCTATATTATTTCCGCAACGCACGTGTGTATGTCTTGAAAATCGTCCTTGATTTATCGGTTTGTTTGTTCGTTCTTTACTTTTTTTTCTACTTTACACAAGAAAAGTAACAGAGAGAATAAAATCGATGTGCATCAGCATCGATGTTGTCTATCAATCACCGAAAACAGAAATCAAACAATAGAAAAACATGGACTTCTTCTCATTAATGTTCATAATCATAACTTACTCGTTTAATAATGTTTCTAGCAAAATAATAATTGATACCATAAATACAAATATTGTAAGTAACAGAAACGTATTTAATAATTTAATTACTTTTCAAATTTAAATATTTAGAGTTGGTTATATTTAACAAAATTTTATTTTCATCCAATTTATGGACAAATAGACATAAGCTTATATGTGAGTTATGAAATATATTGTTTTTCTACCCATTTCTCTTCTCTTATAGTCCTTAGAGAATACAATAAGATTTTTTGTTTTGAACAAACAAGAATGGATAGAAATTAAGAATGACTTATCAAACATTTGTTTGAAAAATGAATTGAAATTAAATCGAACTAAAAATGAAACAAATCTATGGTCTCTATCGTCATCTTTTACATCAATTGGTCAGATGCATTTTATTTTAAGTAAATGTAATTCAAGTTTAAATACAACTGTAAATACATTTGAATTTTTCTTATTTACAAATCCTACATACATGTCTATATTAAAATAAATAGGATTTACCATTTACATATAAATTAGTCTTAACTAATGGTGATAATTTATTTATGAAACATTTTTCTGATGATGAACGAGGTGATAGAATCTTTTATATTTTAAATACTTTCTTTTCGTCTTTTTTTTCTAGGAATATTACCATTGTTTATTGTTAGTACATGCATCTATAGTATTCTTTTATTGATCGTCGTGAGATATACATGTATGCTTTTCTATTGAAATTTATGATTCGGATGCAACAATAATATTTTCTTGTTTAGTTTTATCAAAAAACAAGTCGTGTTTGATAATTAAATTATATGTTGTTTCAATAGTATTTTCATGGCTTAATAGCTTTATATATTCTATTGAAACTCTTATATATGCATTCATAGGAAATATTGATGCATTTATATTTCAATCATTAATATTTCTTGCTCGACTACTTTTTATATGTGCTCAAATATTATTTTTGCTTCTTCTAATCCTTTCTACAAAAGGTTGTTTAACTGTACATGTTCAATTGAAAAAGAACATAATGACAGAAATAATATTGATTATTTCTTTATATATATTTGTACAGATAGTTATTTTTATTATTATGACAACAGTAAGTTGATGAAACTAAGAGTTGTTTCAATTAGGCACTTCCTTTTGTTTTTATTAAGTTTATCAATCAAGTATTCGCCAATGAAAATATACTTTTGATATCTAATTATATTCAAATGATACTGTATCTTTTAACTTGCGTTTGGTTTATAATATGTCTTATATTCACGAGCAAACCACCTACCAAATCACATCGTTCATTTTTTATTTTTTCTATCTGGTAAAACGAAAATCTATTTTTCGCTGCGTTCTATAATAATTTTGATAGGTTTATAACTAATGCCATCGTTGTTTTATTAAATATTTTGGATGTTTTGCCGAATCTTCAAATTACGATTCTAACAGCCATGACAATAAGTATGCATTTTGTAGCATATTGTATTTTTCTGGTATAATTAATTAGTTGATAATATATTTACATCACTGATTTTATTTATTTTTACCAACAATTTTTAGTTTATTATTCAAACAAAAACATTTTTATTACGAACTAAATTAAATCAAGTATGAATTTTTTTGATTAATTACTTATTTTTGATCTCTGGCTTTTTGCTTGAAAAAAAATCAAAGATTAACATAGCTTATATTGATCCAACATTATCAAAAACTCATATTCAAGACCTGTTAACACGAGAAAAAGAAGTTACCACGGCTTCGTGTGAATTAACAGATCTGTATTCTATTGGAGTAATATCTTACTATTGTATTTTGTTTTTCGATAGGAAATCATTTCTTTTCTTTCTAGAATGCTAACAAATCGAAACTTCGTATGCCACTAAAATCATTCGAAACATTTCGTCGTCTTGAACCACGCCGAGATGTCTTATTGAGCCCCTCGTTACAGTCATGTATTGTTTCAATACAACCTTCGGTTAACCCCATTTCACCCCCGCTTATCACCACTGAAGCGTGATGATTAATGATGTATGCTATTTGTTTGTTTGTTTTCTTTTGTTTATTTATTTAGATTCTATTTAACGTTTTCTATTCAGTAAAATATTATAAGACTAAATCAAAGATAATTCAATACGAGTCTCGCCTATAGATTTTCTTTCCAGATCATTTGTGACTTTTTTTCGATGGTTTTTCTTTTTTATCGGCTTTCCTATTTAAATTAAAAAGTGAAAATGAAATTATTCATTCAATATAAATAATTAATTAACATACTTTGTAGCAGAAGCCGGAATAAAATCGGTATAGAGCTTGTCAGGTATGGCTTTAACAGTTCTTTCGAATGTTTCACTATGGAAAAGAAGTTAGTCTTGTTTAAGATACGAATTTTAAAAGAAAAGAGAAAGACATTACGGTGGTAAGAGCATTGGTGGTGGTAATTGTTGAACAACCAGAGCTGAACGTTTAGTTGATTGATTTTTCGGTTGTTCAGGTTTTTCGCTGGATAAGCTTTTCGATGATGATTTCGATTTCGATTTTGAAGTTTCTTTTTTTGGTTCTGCAGCTTTATTCGTATCGATACCTTCAGTGAGAGCATCCATATCTTCAAAATCAATAACTTCATTATATGGATTATCTGAAATATAGATTCAAATAGATTTATGTTGACAATGAAAAGAGAAATTTAGTCTACTTGGATCAGCACTAGCATGAACAGTAAATCGTGCTGGTTGTGGTTTGGGAAATGGAACGTCATCTTTTGATTGTTTAACAACTTGAATTGCTTCTTCTAATGGTAAATAAGTACTGCTCAATGGTCGATCCTCTTCAGTTTTCATTTTCACACTTATTTCAAAAGCTGTTTCAACACAATCAAGCTATTGTTTCGAAACAAAACAGAAAAAGAAACACGAAGAATAAAAAGTTGTAATTATTGGAAAATAAGTTTTAAGAACCTCATCAGCTGATGCTAATTGAATTTTACTTTTATAAAGTTCAGCTGCTTCATCAAAAATAATATTTATTTTATTTCTTGTATCTTCATAACGTTGATATTCTTTTTCATCGAGTTTTTCTTCTTTTTTTTTCCCACTTTTTTCTTCTTTCTTTTCTTCTTTCTTTTCTTCTTTTTTCTCTTCTTTTTTTTCATCTGTTTGGTTATTTTCATGTTCCTGTGGTAAACCATATGTTAAGCATCTAAATTGAATATTTTAAAAATCAAATAAAACAACATCCATGGCGTCTTTTATTCATACTTGGCACAATGCACCGTAAACTGTGTTAATGGTGAAACTTCAATCAATCGTGGTTCACCTTGACCAATAAGAAAACCTAAAAGAGATTTGGCAACACAGAATTTTTCTAATCTAACTTGAGGCTTAAATTCAGGTAAATCAGCAGGTAAATGCGTTGTTATTTCTACGTCAAGTGGAAACTCATAACGCATCATTATTTCTGGAAACGTGAATGTTCCTTCGTGACTTTTATATTTTTCATTTAATTCATGTTCTTCAATTAATGTTGCAAAACGTAGTGGGACACCCGGTGGTAAAATAAATTCATGGCCAGTTGCTGGATCTTGAAGTACAAATGCATCTTTTGGTTCACTCGCAAGTAATTCACCTTTTTCATTTTTAAGACGTGATTGATATTGTTCACGGCGTACAACATTCAAACGAGCACCTTTACGTAAAACAATTTTATCCCATTCATGAGTTGATGATGCTTCTTTCTTACGTATATGTGCTGGTGTATCAGCGATGACTTTTATTGCACGTGGCAGATCAAAGCGGTACAATTCAAATGTACCTTGAAAAATCCACCAACGTTTTTTAAGTGTTGGAGTCTTAGATAAAATACGACATTCACCTTGAAACCAATCTGGTATAAGATATTTTTGTTTTGATGCATTTGTTTTACTAGATGATAACGGCGAAGCATTAATCAAATAACGATCAAATAATGTTTCTAGGTACAGCCATTGATCTTTAACTAAACCTGTATCCCATCCTTGTTCAACACGTACAATTTGAGGTAATTGGTAATAATCAATAAAATTATGAAAATAATATTCACCATCTTCCCATGATATCTTATTTAACTCTTTCATTAATTTACCTAATTTATCTTTATCAGTTGACGAGAATTTTATTGGATAAGTTAAAGATGCAGCCATTTGCCTGAAAAATCAAGGATAGAATAATATCTGAATAAACAAAAAGCATAGTTTATATATATTTCTAACAAAAAATCACTCAATAAATAAACGAATCAATCACGCGTAGCTAGTTTTGGTTAGTAACGCAAGGTCATAGATTAGGATTCAGTTATATAGACAAAAAAGATTACGTTTCTTTCGTTTCTTGTATTGCCTCGTTTCGGTTGATCATATTTCATAAACATTGAAGTAAAGGCGATCAGACGACTGAAGCATAAAAACCATTCGTGTGTTAATTTGTACTGATATGAATCAATAAATCGAATTCTTCTATTATTGACTAATAATAGATAAGGTATTATTGTAAAATATCTATCTTTTAGCTATTTGCACCCTTCATTTTCGACTTTCTAATACTTTACAGATTTTTTGCTCTTTCACTGTTGTATAAAAACAAGTAAGCTAATGAAAAGTTCTCATTATTTTCGTTATCGGTACAGAGTTCTATGGGTCTCACTAGAACTATTTTTGAAATTTGTAAAATTCAATTATCATCGGAATACTACTAGATTTAAATTTCAAAACTTCATTATATCATTTTCGCTTAGTTTATTAACTTACCAGATTTTCAATACGAGTAAAGATAGTCATTATTTGTAGATATCACTGTATAGAAAATTTCGTAATCTAGTGGTTCAGAAAATTTCTAAGTTCATCAACTGTTTTTTTTTGTTATTATTCATACAGGTTCCTAATTTAGCATTGATTCAGTTCTTAGAAACAGACACGAGCTTTTTGTATTGAAACTTAGACGAGTGATAAATATTTTTGCCTAACTAAAAAAAATTCAAAAACTCATGACAACGTATAAATTGTCTTGATGACATTAAAATTCATAGACAATCATTAATTGACAGAAAGAGAGAGAGAGAAAGTTTTTTCTGAATTGGAAATCATTGTACCATTGAAATTCATCTAGGCACATATCTTTAAAGTACGCTAATTACTTGAGATTAAGAACTATTGATTGCAAGCATGTTTCATTATTTCTAGACGTATCATTATTCAAAAGTGTTATATTTTCAAGAAGTAAAAAGAGCTAAATGAAAGATCAAATGGATTTTTTGTATAGAATAAGGCATAGATTGTATGTTATTCTTGCGATTTTGATAAATAATAATTTTATTTTCGTTTTAAAAACCTACTTTTATGTTTAACACCGATAAAGGTTTTTTGAATAATCATTCAAAATCGTTTAATCATAGTGTGCCATTCACATATAAACACATAAAGTTACATGCGCGCACACATACAAACGTGAGCCAAATATATATTTTTTGAGAGACAAAAAAAAGAAGGCTCAGATAAATTTTAAGAAATAAAAAAAGTAGAACAGAAGACAAAAGAGAAAAAAAAGAAAATAGTGTGAACAAGTGAAAAGAAACAAGGGAAGACAGTTCTATGTCGTATGATTAATGTAAAGCGTCATGGATGATGTGGTAAACATGAATTAGAAGACAAAATATGAATGAATACAATCTCGTATATGATAACCACAAAAAAATGATGGTTTATTTGTTTGTTTGTTCGTTTACGCTACATAATTATACATTTTCCTATAGAAAAAAAAAGAAAGAAATTATAGAAATCTATTATTTTAAAAATATATAAATCCGATAATCAATAAATGACTAAAAGATTAAAAAGAACATAACAATATCTCGTGTCTAATCTGATGTACTATGGATACATTGTGGTGAATCTGTATCGTATCTATTAAATTGTTTTCGTATGAACAAAAACTTAAGTAAATTCTCAATCGTCGAGAGCAATAATTCACTCTATTAATTCAAATTAGACTGAAAATATTGAATTCTTATTTCCTGTTTTGTATTGTCTAATGATTTATGACTCATCCTGTATATTAAACGTACCTATCGTCGGATAATCGTGATAAATAATCTCGTTCGATTAAGCTTTCAATTCTTTTCTTTATGAAACCAGGACTGGGCATAAAACGTGCTTTAAGTTGATGAGAAACCTAGACACAAGAAAAATAAATTCAAATTTTAGAGAAATAAAATAGATTAAAAACTCTTTTACCTCAGCAATTAGTTGTGTATGTGACATTGTTTTTCTTGTTTTCATTGTACGCACAATAGCTGCATCAATCTCATGTTTTCGATCATCTTCAACTTTACTTCGAGTTTCTTGTCGTTCAGGATCACTTTCAGTTTTAGCTGTTATTGGATTTATTTTTACACGATATAGTTTTGATGTGAATGAATCATTAATAATAAATCTATCATTAGGTTTAATATCTTTTGTTTTAGATTCTTTAATAAATATACGTTGACTCGGTTTGCCCATTGCTAGTGGCAGTAGTGCACGTTGAAGATCTTTTTCATTAATGTCTGTTTCTTGATGCATTTCCTATTTAGAGGAAAAAAACGATATTATATGTTAACAAAGGAAACGTATTTTTTTTTGTTTCGCTTTTGTTTTTGAAATTTTAAAATATTCGAAGAAAGAAAAATGCCAACTCTGAATCGTGTAGGGAACAAAATAATTAGAAAAAAAGAGTCTCTGCAGAATAAAAATATGAAATATAATGGCATGATGACGTTGTTGCTAGTAATTATTGAGAAATTTCATCTATCTTGGGACGCATTCCTTCTTCTTCAACATCCTTTTATTTAATCTTTGAGAAATAGAATAAGGACGTAGGTCATATATTAGAAAGAGATATGATTCTTATACAATCTTAGATTGCATAAGAACTACATTCGTAGAAATTCAAAGTTCTACTTCGAAATGCATTTTTTCAAATATTAAAATAGAAATATTCTTTAAGAAACCTTCATTTCTCATAAAGGTTTTGTTTATTTTAATGTCAACAACAAAATAGATTCTAAATAAAAACTTACCTCAAATGTCCAGCATTCTTTTGTATTAAATAACATTAAAATAGCCATTTGATAAGTTGATACTTGTAATGTATGTTTACGTTCTTTTGATACTGTTGTTGTTGGACGCATTTCGCCTTCGACTTCATCTTCTTTAGGTTTACCATAAAATATCGATATTAAATCTGCTGATCCTAAACTTGGTTGTAATGTTAATTGTCGTCCATTATGTTTACTCAAATAGAAACGATGAAAACATTGATAAGCTTCTCGTACGGCACTTGGTAAATTACATTGATTATTTGTACTTTGTGTTGGCCAAAAGCCTGTTGTTAATACTCGTACAAATAAATCAATACCGTTTAGATTTAACTTTGAAAAAAAAACAGAAGATTAGTTTTTAAAAAAAATATGAACAAATGCTTCTATTTTTACTCGTTTTTGTGAAACATGTAAACGAAAATCATCGGCTGTTGAATTCGATAGAGTTATATCTTTAAACATTCCTTCTAGTTTACATGTAAATTGACAACCACATTCAGTTTTTAATCTTGATATCATATTCTTTTCCGCATCATCTGATGCCGATTTATTTAATAATAAACGTTTAGCTAAATGCTGCTTATAATATCTTTCAAAGACATCTTTTTCTTCTAAATATCGAAATAATATCATTGCTTTATCAAGTACAACTTCAACTTCTTGATCACCAAGCTATGACGAAATAAAATAATTTAAATATTAATTTTTTCGTAAGAATATGCTACATACCTCTTTACCACCTTTCTTTAATTTATCATCAATAAATAATGATAAATATTCAGGACTACGTTGATTTAAATTAATAAAATATTCAAAGTCAGAATTGATTCGTTTCTTAAAAATCTATATTAATAGAAGAAGAAAAAAAAATCTAATCGTCAAAATAAATTCTATTCATATATATTAACCTTATCATCATTGAATGCATTTTTTAGAAAATAATCAAATGTATCTTTCAGATCGAGCAAATTCTAAATCAATGAAATAAAATCATATTTTTTAAAATAATTATATTATGTTTTTGTTTTTACTTGAACGTAAGAAATTGCATTTTTCCCTTCTTCAGCATTTTCAGTAACAAGTGCACGACCTTGTTCACGTAAATAACTACTCATGCAATCAGCTATAGTTGTATGGCCATTGGGAACGCGCTCAAATAATTTGTACATTGTTGCGAGATCATCACATTTACTAAATTTTAGCATTGAATAAACACCAGAATTTTCCATTTCAACTATAGTTTTCAAATGTTTTGTAATTAGTTCATCTAATTTGAAGAAAAAAAACCACATACATGTAATAGATATAATAATTTAAATTTTATTATTCATACCTTCTAATACACGAACAATTCGTTCTTCTGTTGATTTATCAAGATAATGTACTGCTCGTTCAGCTTCTTCACTAATACGTGTAGCTACTTTACGAATATATACAGATGCACTATTTTCAGCTAATAATTTTTGACTTTCAAGCTAAACAAAATATGTTTCATAGTGTGAAATAATAGATACATGACTAGATCATACTCGATAAAATTCAGCTGATTGCAATAAAAATGGTGTTTCAAAATCATCTGCATACACCGAACGATTATCAAGGCCTAAACTCATCAACATCTGACAGGCATTTTTTACAGCGCTCCTAAAAAATAAATATCAATTATACAAATTGTCAATCCACATAGTCTAGTTTTACTACATAGAAGAGTCTAAAGAACATGAAATACCTCTTGAGCTGATTAATGTTTTTACTTCATTCAACTTTACTAAGAATTCGACTAGAAAAAGTCAAACTTTCTTTGTTCAAATCTTGAGACTTCCGAATCGTATTCTAATGTGCAGTAAAAACAACAATATACAGCATAAAATATCTTGCAGGTTGTCGCAACATTTTTTCAATAAAATCGATGTATCTTGATCAAAAATACTCAACAAATGAGCACTATTTCATTGTGTTGAAAACTACTGAGAATTACAGGACATAAATAATTTATTAGAGTTTTAACTCTCACAATAACAAAAATTATTCTCATCTTCTCAAGCTAGAAGCATTCAAATTAGAATTAGAATTAATAGCAGTATAATTACTGTAGACGTAGGTGTTTTTTATTATTTTTTGATCTTATTAGACATAAATTTCTATTATATTTTTCTTGTTGAAGCATCACGCGATCCATTAGAATTTTAATAATCAGCTAAATACGTAGCAACATATTACACGCTTTAGCTCTTGACCTTTGTATTATATCTATAAATACTCTTTTCTCATGTGAAAAAACTCTTTCGTGATTTCTGTCTTCTACTGTTTTTCGTTCAAATATACTTATTTTTGTTTTTGAATAAACTTACTTTTCAATAAGTTCTCCACGCCTTTCTTTAGCTACCATATCAAGTAGAGTTTGTCTTAGATGATCACGTATTGATGAATATCGAACAACATTATCTCGAAATAATATAACACCCAAATTAAAAACAGGCTCAAGTTTTTGTCCACTAACATAGACTCGATCCATATACATAAGTATGTCACGTATCATAATCATTGCGGTTCGATGATCATTCCATGCACAATTAAGCGTAGCTAAAAAGTTGTTATTTAATGAATCAGTGACATATTCTCTGACCTTTGAAAAAAAAAAGAAAAATTTTATGCCAAATATATAAAAAAAAGATGGAAAATTCCAAGTAATACTTTTTGTACAAGATGTTCCATAACAACTTCGCGTGTGCCTGTATAAAGTTTTTCTCCATGTTTATGTAGCACCATGGTATAGGCATTCCGGTAAAGTTCTTCAAAACTTAAACCGCTGTTATTTTTCTTTTGAATTTCTTGGATAGCAGCTTTCAATGATTTATTCCATATTTCATTAACATGGCGATCGTCCATAGTCGTCTAACGTCAAGCAAAAGTATATAGAAAATTATGTAGACGAAAAACGAATTATGTTGTTTTTTTTCTAGTTTCTCAATATTTTATTTATGCTTACACGTGGAGCTGCAAGAACTGATAAATTTTGTTCAGAAATTTTAAATCGACCCATATTTGAATTATCCGAAGACATTAAAAACTGGCAATTGTTAAAACTTGACCTATGGCTTTGAATATTCATCGTGTGTGTGTTGTACTTTCAGTTTTACACTTCGCCTTTCTAAACTACTGACAGAACAGAAACGCATACACTGTTGACTTAAAGTACGAAAATCACCATCATCATCATGAGAGAACAAAAAAAAAGAAGAAGAGAGAAAAAAACGAAAATACTCAGAATGATTAAAGGTAAGAAGTGAGGAATTGTAATCGTCTACTGATTACTGAAATGAAAACAAATGGAGCGTTTACTTACAAAAAATTGACGGATACGCATCTTTTTATTTTTGTCTTCCACGTTGATAAGTCCTTTACTCATAGTCTAACCAGGAAAATGAATGCTAAAACAAAAATAAAACATAATATACAAAAAACAACAAATTTTTATTTAAAAAAAATCAAATTTCATCTGAATTCAATCAATAAATATCTCTATTTTAATTCTTGTTGTAACTCAAGTACGATTTTGCTAAGTCAATACTTTTTAGATTTTATTTTAATACAAACATCAAAACCTGACTCGGAAGCTTTTGAAAAAAATTATCTTTCATAAGTATACTAGTGAAACCAACTCATTATGAGTAATTTTCTATCAGATATTACGTATAAAATTTATATTTATTAAAAATAAATACAAAATTTAAGAAAGGAAAAAAAAATGAGCAACAACAATCTCATAGTGTATCTTGCATCATCAAACGAAATTCGATACAGTATTTATTTTGCGTATACTTTCAAGAACATAGGAAACTCATACGGTGAACGACTTTTTTTTTTCTTAACGACTTCTACTTTTAGTTTTGTAGATAACAAAAAAAAGTAGATTACTCACTCTATTGACAATTAACCATGCAATATTACACAATCTAAAATTAAAAATAGTAATAATGTGACAAGATGACCATATATGGTATGATACTTCATCGTTTTCAAATCTGATAAATCAAATATTTATTTTGGGGTCAGGAATTCTATATAATTCAATAACTTCAGTAAAAACTCATTTTCATATTTCAATTTTTATTGAGATAGAAAAACTATGATTTTTGCTTTGCTACATTAAATATGTGCATAATGCTGATGATTAATTTTTCTGTTTCATGTAATTTAGAACAATAATTAATAAGAAAATATAATGTCGCTTCGGTTGTTAGTTTTGAATTTATAATCGAATTTATTATTATACTACGAAAACATGAGCTAGTTAGGAATTACAGGTAAGACTTTCTTTTTTTTTGTAAATTTATTCTCCGGAAAACAATATTATATTCGAAAACGTCTCAGTCGTACAAAAATAAAACTATTTAAAAAGCATCATTTCATTCTAATACGGCTTATAAAAAGTAGATTTTCTCAATCATGATTATTGGCAAGCAATGAGAACATGAACAAAAGCTAAATCATCAATATTTATGCATGAATAAATAAATCATACTTTTCAATAAAACGTTTGAGATGCGTGAGACAAGAATTAGAATATTGTAAAAGAATCGATTACTCAAATATAATTATTGTCATATAATTGCCGTTATGTTATCAGATCGAAATATTCACAAACGATTTCTAATGCATAGGAAATAATAAAAATAAATAACAAAATATTGATTTAAAAAAAAAAGAACATATATTCAAGTCATTTTTGTAGAAAAAAACGACAATCAATATAATTTTTATTCCGGCGCTAGATTTATAGTGAAGACAATTTTTTTCGCAATAATCTTTTTTCATATTGACAATTGTTAATCAACTATTCTGTTTAAAAAATGATTCAAATTGATACTCAAAGAAGGTTCTATAACTATAAATATCTCGAATTAGGATCGACAAGGATTTAACCTTAATGAACTTCACTTGTCATCAACATTTCGGAGAAGATGATAATTATTATTTTTTTTAATGAAAATAACGAAAGGTATGATGACTCATAGTTTTGATTAGTGCATAACTGCGCTAACCACGGCTGATTCTATTATGTGTAAAAAAGAAAAAAACAAATTTTTGCTCATGAGCTTTGAAAACATTTGGATCCTACGAGAGAGGCACACAGAATCTTGTAATCAAAAATGTTGATTGGTTGAGATAAATGCGAATGGAAACTAATCACTGTTAAATAAATTATTAGGATCACTGCATGATCACCATGATGATTTATGAGTATTAATGAATGGTAATACATTCAGTAGAGTTGTTTGGAGACATTTATTTTGAATTATTAATTGAAAATAGATTTTAAAAAAATAGATTCATTTGTTCAAAAAAATTGTAGGTTTTGTGATCATAAAAAAGTGTCGCCTCTATAAAAACAATGTGAGACTGACGTCAGTAAAGAGTACGGAAGAAAAAAGTCGTAGGCGTAATAATGTTACTTTGAATCGAAAGAGCAAAGCCTTCACGATTAACTGATTCACAAATGTGAATTATTGTGCGCGCAAAAACTAAAATATTTCGATGTTTCTTTAAAGATAACTTTCTCAATAAGTTCTTCACGATTGTATTACTGACTAATTGAGTAAGTTTCGTATGAATATTTTGTATCGATACAGTACATAATACCTCTTGTTTAAGGTAATATAATGAATCAAGATCGAAATCCTTATGGCCCATCAACCGAAGGTCAACAGGCTTACCCATTTCAACAACCTGGTGGATTTTCATCCTATCCACCTCAACAACCTGGTGGATTTCCCTCCTATCCACCTCAACAACCTGGTGAATTTCCCCCCTATCCACCTCAACAGGGTTAGTCTTGTGACTTTTGAATAATTTCCACGTTTTATTTATATTTATATAATATTTTAGGCGGTGGTTTTGGTCAAAATAATATGCCATTTCAACCGCCGCCTATGTTACCACGCCCTAATTTTCCAAAAGGTTAGCCTTAATTTAATGTTTAAAATTCTTTTTTCTAGCTTATTAATAGACTACAACTTTGCAGGTCTATCTTCAGGTAGTAATTCATCGACAATAGAAATTATTATCAATTTATTGATAATAAAAAGTTTACTGATTATCTTTTATTTTTGTATCTATCGTTTGAAGGAAAGAAAACGACTCACTACTATATTTTGGTCACATTTATACATTCTCATGACATGTGCAGTTATCTTGTAGATATCTAAGAGAAAAATAAAACGCTTCCATTGATGTCGAGTACAAGTGACAGTAACAACGAGCGATTAAAACTCGGCTCTGCGCATCGGGGTAGGATTTTCTTTTATGAATGAAAATGAAACATCGTTAAGTCTTTGCTCGTAATTGTCATTAACAATACCGATAAATCTAAAATTTATTTCCTCGAGTTTATTCTTTTTGTTTAACATTAGATGATCTGTTGCTACACGATACAATATATAGTACGACCGTATACATTCTGTTGTTATTTATTTGAAATTTCGCTTTGCTTGCTGCGCCTACTGGGTAGCTTCCTTGTGTTTATCCCGTAAAGCGAAGCAATTCTGGCTCATAATACAATATTAACTGCACTTGTCATATGAAGAAAAGAATAAGAAAAATGAATCATTCATATTTAAGGTATAAATGTATAAAAAGATTCTCGATTGAAATATTCTTCTAAACTTTGTAAATACAAGTATTTTTTTCTTCGTTGCTTTTGCTTCGCACTCCTTTTCATAATGGTAGCTTTTCGGTTATATCATTTTGATCAGCAATTCAACAAATTAGTTGTATTTTACTTTCCACTCGAAATTATTATATTCGTATAATACGATTAATCAGTGTGATTTTTTGTCTTACGTGGATGAAAAATAATGTAAGCAGTAGTTACAAAACAAAAACCAGAATTCAATAGTGGCTGATGAAACATCAGTGTTCGTGATGCATGTAAATTGGAAAAACAGATAAAATGTAAGATCATCATGAAGTATTTTAAAATATCATTTAGATTCTGTTGATCCATAAAATGCAAATAGCTGATAGAAAAATTTCCGTAATTTCAGAATGAGTTGAAAATTCTACATAAAGAATTTTCTAGAAAATAGAAGAAAGTTTGACTTAATCAGATCTGCCTCAAAAAAAAATGGAAGCTCAGAAGAAGTGATATTATGTAATAAACAGATATAGTGCGAAGTCAAAAATAAATATGCAGATTAGTAGAATCGGTTCGTTATTATATTTAATCGTCAAGATCATCTAATTGAAAACAAACTATGATGAGAATTGTGAAGAAGATTTATTATCTTATGTTTCACTGAAAAACAGCCATGAAATTAAAATTGAGAAGGACACATTTAGTCAATATGAGCTACACTAAATTTCAGGCTGTTCAAAATCTATAATAGAGATCGTGGAATTCTTAAATCGGCGCTTCTTCTCTCGAAGAAAGAATGTAAAAGTTGTCGGGGTCAAGTATCTATTTTCTTTATTTCAGAACCGTAGAATGTCGTATAGAAAACTTAAATTTCAACAGAAGCAAACTGCTCTCAGAAGAAGTCTAGGCTCGTAATTTTCTCTGTTATTGGAAAAAGCATTGGTAACCATTATATGTATTGACATAAAAAAAAACAATAAATATCTGAACAAAACAGTACCACATTAACAGCTTCACCTCTTCTACTTTATAACTATATTTAACTATCATTATTCTTTGTAATTTTCTTTGTCATTGCTGTTCATACGAATATTTTGTAAATCTTTGACAAGCCAAAGAAATCATCTGAAGTGTTCATAAGAGACTTTCTAAATCATCAAGATGAAAAATAAATATAACCGTGTATCTGATAAAAAAAAAGAAAATAAACTTCGATAGTATGTCCATGTTTGTGAATGTAAATCAGCTATTTGCTTGAACTCTTATCTAAATGCTCTGCTAGTTTGTATGGTTAATTGTCTACTGATTGATACTTATTTTTCTTTTACAAAGATGATGAGCAAGGCAGTGGTGAATGGGGAAATTTCAATGGGTTGGAAAGTAAAGAAATACGGCGTGTATTTATTCGAAAGGTTTGTACAATTGACAGCTACTAAAATTTCATTTTTTTATAATTCATCTTTTTACAAAAATAGGTTTATTCGATTCTTATGATTCAATTGGCAGTTACATTTGGCATCATTGCAATATTTCATTTTACGTATGTTCATTTGTTTTATATAATAAAAAGTTTTGTGAAAGTATATTTAATCTGTACATATATATTCTAGACCATCGGTTCGTAACTACGTACGCAGTTCCAATGGGCAATGGCTTTATTACACATCTTATGCTGTTTTCTTGGTTACATATTTCGTATTGATTTGTTCGAAACGTATAGCACGTAGATATCCACTTAATCTTGTTTTACTTGGCCTTTTGGTAAAATAGAATTTCAAATAAGATGAAATGAAATACAAATAACCTTTTTTTAATTTTAGACAATATCTATGGGTTATATGGTATGATTCGATTTGAGTCTTATGGATTTCTCAACTGTCTTTTTTGTAATTGTTTTTAGATGGGCATGATTTCAGCATATTATGATGTTGCATCGATTTTAATAGCCGTTGGTATAACAACAGGTGTTTGTTTAGGTGTTACATTGTTTTCATTTCAAACTAAATTTGACTTCACATCATGTATGGGAGTTATATTTGTTATGTCATTGGGACTTTTCATCTTTGGAATTGTCTGCATTTTTATTTATTCAAAAGTGAGTATTAAAAAATAACAAAAAATATTAATATTAGAAGAAAAACAAAATTATTTATTTAAGATATTGTATACAATCTATGGGGGCCTTGGAGCAATAGCTTTTTCGATTGTAAGTTTTAATTGTTAAGAAAATAAATCAAATTACCTTCTCCATTTAGTTCTTGGCTGTTGATACACAATTGATTATGGGTGGAAAACGACATGAAATAAGTGCCGAAGATCATATCTGCGCATCAATTATGCTTTATATTGATATTGTTTACATATTTCTATATATTCTTACTTTATTCGGCAGTCGGGAATAAATCTTATTGCTTAACAACTATGTTTAAACATTCTACATTAACGATGACTACAATCTTGCATGTTGATTCAGTTTTTTTATTGTCTGCGTCTTGTTCACTTCTTGATTTATTTTCCTATTAGATTTTCTCTGTTTATGCTCTATTTTATTCCTATTCTAAACATATTTGTATATATTATATATTTAATCATGATTGAAAAAACGAATTTCTATTGGTGTCTTTGTCATTTGGTTTTAAACGCGAATAAAAAATATTAGTTCATGCTGACACATTTATTTACATGTGAATTTAACAAAATTTCTTTTACTATTAAATAGTGATGTGTTATCTGCTATCGATGATGTTCATACTTTCATATTTTTCTCTATGGACCAATCAATGTACTGAAATGTTCTGTTATTTGTCAGTAAAATTGTTTGAAAAAGAACTGCATGTGAAATGTGCTACATCATTTCATTGAATACTAAGCATATCATAGGAACAACGATATCATCAGAAGTACTGAATGATGGTTTTTCATTTTTTGTTAAAACTTTCTTGTGATTATTTAGTCAATTGTCGCTGCAAATCATTATGGATTCTATGACAAAAAAACTGTACGAGTTCATTAACAAGCATATTATGAACAAATAAATCGGCTAATATTAATTGAATCAATTTTTTTAGAAAAATTATCAAAAAGTAAGATAGCTAATCTAACGGTATGAAGTAACTTAATTTTTTTTATAATTTTCACCTGACATGAAAAATTCTACGAAACAATTTATCGCTTTGAGTCGAGCCTATGAGAACTACGTGCACTAAGAAACTATTTCAATTTTTCATTTAGCCATAATATCTTCTTTATTGTCTGATATTTGTATGAATAAGCGTGTAGCTACTTTTTATGTTGATTTATTCATCAACGAGAAATCCAATTATAATTGCAATAGAATCAGAGAAATCTGATGTATCTTACAAAGGTAAGCTCTCGCAACAGTGACTAATAACTTCAACCAAGAAAATTTCCATTCTTTGAATTTGAGAAATATAAGAACGAATCTGATTACTTTTACTTTCATATGCAGAATTTACAACTGACTTTTATCGTTTTATTTCAACTGTAAAAGTATCAATGTATCAGAATTGTGCACAGAATTTATTTTTTGTATCCAAATCGAGCTGACTGTCCACCATTTGATTTATTGGAGTATACTAGATTTCTTCCGAATATGTTGATTGAATAAAAAATAAAACCTTTGTAAAGATACGAAGTAGACAACCGATTGGCATTGAAAATTTCATTGATTCCAAAGTGATCGTAGAATATCTATTATTCTGTCATACACTAGCAGCAAATATGACCATGTCATTGAATGGACATAGTGCTAGACGAATATAAAAAGATCAAATGTTATGACTACAATTTCACTATGATAACATTGATCTAATATTTAAAAATTGCTGAACAAAACTTGAATAACAATAAATGATTTCATAGTGTCGCTATTAAATTTTGATCTGGCACGAATGTATTATGAATAGAAGGATTATGAAACGAAAATAACTATTGAAATCTATCTTGTTTTGTTTAAAAAAGTATTCCAATGATAATTCTTTTGATCGAATGATGTTTTTATCTACGATAATAAGGGGTAGCCTTCCATGAGTTTTGTCTATAAAATAAAAGAATGCAATATTTTGCTAAGTTTCAAAACATCCTGATCTGTTGAAGTTGGGTACCACGACCGCTGTTTTTAATAGGATCTCTAAGCACAGTGTACGCGTACACTTTGCTAAGCCAAAAATTTTATTTTCAGACTGTACGTACACCTTGCTCTACTGGCACACAGTGTTTCCAATGGAAATCTAAAACAAAATGTACAGTACACTCTGTATTTTGTGAGCAAAGTGTATAGTTCACTTTGTTTTTTTTCCGCAAATCGTATAAACTGTACACAAACCAAATTTTCATAATCTAAAAGACAAATTATAACTTACTTAATACCATATGCAGCTTTTAAGGTTCAGAGATAAAAGAAATCTCTTAAATTTTTTTTACATTTTACACCCCCCCCCTAGAGGTGGACCGTTGATTTTAATTTGAGTTAATTAAGAGAGTTAATTAAGTGGTTTTACTTAACACTTAATATTAAGAAAAAAACGTTTACNTAAATTAACCTAAAGGGCCACCCCTACCCCCCCCCCCAATCTTAGACTCTTCGCGCGGCCCCTGATTTTAGCTCTGTAACTCTCTAGATCCAGATCATGACTCATTCATGCTATTGCGTAGATCGTGCGAATGATTGATTTATTTTCGAGTGCATTACTGCATTAATTAATATTTATTTCAATTATCTTCATTACTAAGAAAGTAATCCAAGTTATTTCTAATTGAAACACTTCTAATTCTATCTAGTTTACTTTATACTATGCCGAGTTGCTTTTCATTCAATAGATGTCATTAGTTTCATTTGAATTCAATTCAATTGATTAGCTCATTATAACCAATCATTGAAATAGATATTATTTTCTTTTCTTTTGTTCATTCATATTCAACTTTTTTTAAACGATGACATCAGTAAAACGTAAAGATTCATCTACAAGTACTGATGAAACTGATTCCGATGAGGAAGTACCATCAAATACAATCGGCTCTGATATACCATTAAAATGGTATGAGAATCATGACCATATTGGTTATGATCTGGATGCAAAAAAGATTCTTAAACCCATATCAGCCGGTAAAACCGATGATATCGATGAATTTCTTGAAAAAATGGAAAATGCTGATTATTGGCGTACAGTTTATGATGATTTAACTGGACAAAATATAACATTGACAAATGAAGATATAGCATTGATGCAACAAGTAAAAAATGCTAAAACAAATCCCGATGATCAAGTCTATGAGCCATGGTTAGATACGTTTTCATCTGAAGTAATGATACATCCAATAATCAACACTCCTGAATCGAAGGCATCATTTATTCCATCGAAATGGGAACGTTTAAAAGTTGGAAAATATTTACATGCAATTAAAATGGGTTGGATTAAGCCAGTGCCACCAAAAGAAGATCCATTACTTTCAAATAACTATGACTTATGGTCGGATGAACCAAAAACAAATTTACCACGTTCAAATATTCCAGCACCGAAACTGGAATTACCTGGTCATCACGAGTCGTATAATCCATCGGTTGAATATTTACTTGACGATGCTGAAGTTGAAGCATTAAAAACTAAAATGGAATCTGATTATGATGAAAATGAACGTCAAACTAAAACAATATTTGTACCAAAGAAATATTCAAGTCTTCGTCAAGTACCGGTGTATGATCAGTTTGTTTATGAACGTTTTCAACGTTGTCTTGATCTTTATCTATGTCCAAGACAAAAACGTTTGAAAGCAAATATAACTAATATAAATGATCTTATACCTGATAAACCTAAACCACAAGATTTACATCCATATCCAATAGTACAATCATTGATTTATGAAGGACATAAAAATATGATACGTTGTTTAACATGTCATTCATCTGGACAATGGCTGGCAAGTGGTAGTGATGATTGTACTGTTAGAATCTGGGAAATAGCTACAACAAGATGTATGAATGTTTTTCAATTTGATAAACCAGTTGTTTCTCTTCAATGGAATCCTGTTTTATCATTATTAACAGTTGCTACTGGGTCACAAATTTTAATGATCAATCCAAAATTAGGTATGATACTCGATTTTTCTTTTTTGAAAATCTGTTACTAGTGAGTCATATTATTGAGACTTATTTTTCGTTATAAAATATCACGTTTCTAGTTTTATTCGCAAAAATAAAAGCAACATACAATTTTTCTAGATTTACTAATGCGATAAGAACGAGAAAGAAACCTACTCTTCTGTTTTTCATAAGATCAAATCGTTATTGTATTTCAACGATTATCGTGACCTGTAAAATTTAAGCGCTTCGATCTGATGAGATGATCACTTTAAGAAAATTCCGGTACAACTGATGTAGATGTAGGAAATACATATATTATACTTGTCTAATAAGCTTAGTTTTGAATGAATAACTTGAATTAATGGCAGAGTCAATAAAAATATATAAATCGAACTCGTTCAGCTCTTTATTGATCATTTTGTTGAATTTTTTTCTGTTTTCCTCTCAAGTAGAACCTTTTGGGATATGATTAAACATATACTATTCGTCTTTACATGTTTGAGTTGTATATCTGCTATGTAAACTGCTAGTAATTCATAAAGTTTACAGTGTGGAAAAAGAAAATATCGTTCTTGATAAAAAAAAATGCACTAATAAAAAAAGTTATATTTTGTAACAGTTGAAAGAAAAAGAAAAAGAAAAAAATATTGATCAGTACATTTTATAGAGCTTCAAGTATTTTTCTCGGATCATATCATATATCCTTCTCTTTCTATGTGTACTTGTGTAAAATACGGTATGATCGACAGTCTATTGTTGTCGTTTAGAAAGATATTATTTTTCAATTTTTTTCTTTGGTGAAAAAAAAACCAGTACGACTGAGAAGAAAAGAGCGGTCCTTTTAGTAAAAGAAATTGGTAAATATTCTATAGAAAGAAAAAGGATTGTTCTGATATTTTATAACGTTAAACGCGTTTCCATTTCAAAAGTTAATATTCGATTAGAAGATAGAATATCAACGAACTTGAATCCTTTTATTTCACCAGAAGATTTTGTTTAAGTAACATTTACAGTGAAGTAAATCATATCTTGACGTATTTTTGAAGCAAATTATTGTAAAATATATTCTAATAAATAATTCATCAGCTTTTTTTTTCAATTTTTTGTATCAAAAAGTTCGCTGTTCATTTTTATAACTTTTATGACTTCTAAAAATTTACTCCATTTAGAATAGTAGCTTATTCTGAGAAATCACGAGACGCTTCAATAGACTACTATCAAATATTTTCTCTGTTATTATAAATAAATTTTCTTGAACTATTTTTTTCATCGTATTTTTTAGGTGAAAATGCTAAAACTTTATTTACAGAAGAATTTGTCAAACAGCTATCATATGATGCATCGAACAATGATGATTGTCAATGGTCAAAAACATCAGATGAAACTGATAAATACATTCGTTTAACAATAACACATCCAATACCAGTACGTCAAATTGAATGGCAAGCACGTGGTGATTATTTAGCATGCGTTTTAATTCCACGCTCGGATCAATCACAATCCAAATCAATATTAATACATCATCTATCTAAAGGACGTTCACAATATCCATTTAAACAATTGAAAGGTGCTGTACAAAATGTACGATTTCATCCAACAAAACCAATATTTATTATCGCAACACAGCATTCAATTAAAATTTATCATTTATTAAAACAACAATTAATAAAACGTCTTTATGTTAATACTAAATGGATTTCATCTATTGATATACATCCATTAGGTGATAATATATTATGTGGTGGTTATGATTCAAAAATCAATTGGTTCGATTTAGATTTGTCCGTTAAACCATATGAAACATATCGTTATCATAAACGTGCTGTACGTTGTGTGCGTTATCATACAAAATTACCATTATTTGCATCAACAAGTGATGATGGTACATGTATTGTTTCACATTGTTCAGTTTATTCTGATTTGTTGAAAAATCCACTCATTGTACCAGTTAAAATTTTACGCGGACATCAAATAATTAATGATTTATCAATATTAGATTGTCTATTTCATCCAACACAACCATGGATATTTACATCAGGTGCCGATTCAACAATACGGTTATTTACAAATTAAACAAAGGGAATTGTTTTGTTTTTTTGTTGTTGTTATTTCTTTTTTTTGTACTCGTACAATAAAGAAATGTTGAAAAACGAAATGTTCCGTTGTTAAACAATTGATTTTTGATTGTTTTTTTAGATATTCAAAATGATTTTAGTCTTAGAATGATGCAGAAAAATACACCGATAACTGTGTGCGCCAGGTACAAGATATTACCTTTTGAACTTTGCTTTTATTCATAGGTATCAAGAGAAGTATAATTCTTTTTTTTCTTTCTTCCTAAGATTTTTTCCTTTTCGTTACTTTGTTGACAATCGAAACATTTTCGTTGTAAAATAAGTGTCATGGTCGGATGATTGATAAACGAGTTGATCGTTGGTTGTATATACAAATTTTCATTGTTTGACACTTATGTTTTTTTTTCTCGTTCGATGTTTATATATACGTGTATATTACTATCAATCGTATCGTTTGTCTGACTCGAATCATACAAATCACTGAGAAAAAAGAAAAACCTAGAATTATAGTTTTCTTTTTCTTCTTGCGGTTGTCAAAGAAGAAAAATTCAATCTTAACTGTTTCGTGATTCATGTTTATTCTTTCGAGCTTTTGCTCTTCAGATTGAATCAATAGAGACTTATATAATGAGAATGTCAAAGTTATTTTTAGTTTCCTTTTACACCTTTGTTCAGTAATCTATTGCTACTGATTCGGCATCACAGTAGACTATAGATAAGTATAAATAGTTGCGCTTGTTATACTTTTAAAGATGATGATGATGATGATGATGATGATGATGATGATGATGATGATTGCTGTTTTGTTATTCACACGGTGAAGGGGTAACTCGAACACAAATAGTAGTAACAGAAACGAGCAAGAAAGAAAAGAAGCATATTAGAAGAACGCGAATAGGCGTTCGTATAAAGAAAAGGAAGAAAACTGTCTGTCGTCACAGAAAAATCATGTAAGTAAAAAAGAAGATGAGAAAAAGGAAAGAGAAGAGAGATGATAAGTTCAAGACCTTATCGTTCGTATTGATCTATCTTCACGAGAGAAAAAAGGAAGAGTCAAGTGTGCATAGTCGGAAAACATGGTTTCGCTCGTTCGCTGTCCTTTCTTTCTCTGTCTCTCAAGGCTGTTGATGTCAGCATCGGTCCTGTTAAGAAAAAAGTCAATAAACTCATATACTTTCTTCTTTTGTTCGCATGATATTTAAAAATGAATACTCGAATATTTCCTTTTTTCTTCTTACTATTAAAGAAAAAGAAAAAGAAAAAAGAAAACGTATTTTTTCAATTTAAAAATATCAAGTCACTCGATGATATACGTAAAAGAATACAATGATGATAGCATGAATGTCAGTCGTTTTTTGCCATAAGCATTTAAGTGTATGCGCCTAGTTGCTTGCTTGCCTACCAATGTCATTTGTTCGAAATCAGTGAAGCATGCTATACACGAGGAAGGTGTCTCTTATTATTCTTCTTCTTCTTCTTCTTCTCTATTGTGGTCGCCGTCCTGCTCGGTGTTACCTTCTTCTTTTCCTTGTACGCTTTACTTAAAGACAATACATAGTATGAAGAAGAAGATGCTGATGATTATACTTAGTAGGCGATGATATGATGATTTCAAGACAAACTAAGTTCATTGATTATAGTTGCCAGAGAATATGAAATACATAAACATCATTAATTGTCAAATGATACTAAGAAATAGTCTAATTGATTTCTTTCTTTTTTTATATTTAAAAATATGTCATTTTCATTAAGCGAGCTTTGACAAATAGTAGCATGCTGCCTGCTTGTTCTCTCCTCACTATATAGTGCTCTTCTTTTTTTGCTTTTCTTTTGCTGTTCTTCTCTCAAGCGCGCTTTTTACTTAGTCTCGTTCTCTTCAGTTTTATCCCTTGTTGAAGGGAACACACCGTGGCAGCAAAAAAAATTCTATGTTATTAACACATCACCCTTTTTTTCTGTTCGTGTATGAGTATGTGTATATGGCATTTTTTCCTCCGTCATCAACATTGTTTGAACTACATTGCAACTTATTCGTTGGTGAGAGACAACTTCTTTTTTATTTATATAAAATGAAAAGACACAAAAAAAACTCCAAAGGAATATGTATATATGCATCTATATATATATATATATATATGCATAGTTTTTTAAACATTCATCTACAGAACAGAACGAAGAAAAAGGAAAAATCCTTGACGATCCAGGTCAAACTGTGGTGCCGAAACACTATCTATATATCTATCTATCCATCTATCGCTCTGTTTACATACGAGTGATGGTGTCGGGTTTCTTCATCGTTTCTTCTTCTTCGTCTTGTTCTCATAGCACAGATAGATAGATCTTTTGTAGTACAATGATAATCACTATGATGACGATGATGATCATGATCATCGTCATCTCTTTTCTGTATACAATATGTATCAAAATATACATATATACTAGTAATAATTCGTCAGATGTTATATTGTTTGATAGTGCCTACTTGATCCGCTTTTTTTGCCCACTGCTTCTTACACTCGAACAAACGTTCTCTATTGCCATCGGTGTCTAACAGCAAGTATTTGCTCTCATCGTATTGTACCTTCGGGCCAACTTTTCTTGTCCTTTTTTTAAACTCGATCCAACGCATACATTGCATGAATGCTTCGCTTGGTCACCTGTGTTTGCTGTATGTCTCTCTCTCTCTCTCTCTCTCTGTGTGTGTCTCTCGTTCTCGCTCTTGTGCTGCACACCTTAGGGAGTATAACAGCACCTCATCATCGTTTCATGCTTGCGTGCATTATAAAGGCACACGCGCTAGATACATGTCCGGAAACGAACATGCTATTAAAGAGGAAAATTTTCTTTATTCTTTTTTTTGACTTCTTTCTTTTCTTTTTTGTTCTAGTTTAACTTCCTTTCGGTGTCCAACTGCTGTTCTTCAGTCAACCAGTACATGATTTTTTTTTCTTTCTATAGTGTAGCATATTCATTCATGTCGAAAACTACATACGATAATGACTGTTGTTTTATTTATTTGCAATATTGTAATGGTAGTAATAGAATGGATTCTTTCTCTCTTTCTTTCTTTTTTTCTTTCTTTCTTTCTTTCTTTCTTTGTTTCATTTGATTATTCTTCAGCAGTATCAGTAGTATTGCTTCTGAATCTCTGGGAAGAAAATGCTTTATGATGAGAACAGAAAAGAAAGAATGTTTTCCATCTTTTGCTCTTTCGCGTTCGATACTGTCCTCTCGGTTCTTTGCTTAGGCAAAAAAAGGAAAAAGAATAAAAACAGAAACGACAAGAACGATAGAAGAAAAAAAACCAAGGGAAATAGAGACATCTCAGCACGCGCGCACGGGAACGGGCACAGTGGGCCATAGTGGAGATGTTGTTTTTTACGCATCTGTTATTGTTGTTGTTATTCTTATTCGCCTTTCACGTGATGTAGAGGCCGCCGATGCTGCTTCTTCTTTACTCTTTCATGAAACATGCTCCAACTATGAATGATATTCAACGCACTCGTGCACACATACAAACACTCGCGTTCGTTTTTTTTCTATTTTCTTCTTCTCTCTCCTCTCTTTCCAGTTTGAACAGTTGTTCTATGTGGTTGGCAAACGAGCACGATGAATGGAAGAGAAGGGAGAGAGAGCATGTACGATCGGACGGCAGATTGAACGTAGGAAAAAGAGAGGGAAAGAGAGCCAACCCGTTATTTGTTCTTTTTTGACATTCTTGTTCTCCTCCCATGATGTACGTACGTGAACGAGATATAGTGAACGTGTCGCATGTAAACGTACTTTTGCTTGTTTGGCGTCAACAAAGACGAGAGAAAATCTTATCTTTTGTGTTAAACTTCTATGTTTATTTCAGATCGAATAAAAACAAATGTACAGGACCAATACGAATGAAAAATAATATAAAAAAAGCCAAATCGGCTGCATCAGTTATAACGACTACAACATCACAACAATTATCTATTGATAACATTTGGCAATCAATATCTGACAATAGTAGTATGTGTCAATTTTGTGATTTTTTTCCAATGTTTCTATTTATTGATATGTACATAAATTAGTTTTGTAGTAAATAATGAGATGGAGAGTGGGACATTACCACCGCCAACTATGTTACTACATTCTAATGAATCAATGCAACAAATATCTTCATCCGATTCTCCTATGAATGCATTTTCTGATATATTTTCATCAAGACAATCAACACAAATAAATAATAAAACAAATAAACGAAAACTCGATGAACTTGTTGATCCATCATCAATTGACTTTGATCCATCGTCATCATCATCATCTTTAAAGCCACAAAAAACTGAACAAGTTGATTCAGAAAGATCACTAAGTAGGACAGGAACTCGTAAGAAACATTTGTTTTTTGTTTTCAAAAGAAAAACATCTACTACATAGACATTTCTACGTATTTTTAGCTTTATCAAATGGTACTCTACCGTCACAATCCGGTTCAACTCCGTCTCGGAATGGCAATGATAATGGCCCATCATATGAATTCGGTCCACCTAGTAATCATAATAATAATAATACCGGTAGTACTACACCGAATCCGTCATTACTTACGCAACAAACGCCACCATCTTTGCAACAGCAACAACAAGTTCTACATCCACTCCTACCGTCGTCATCATCTTATATGCCGATGTCACCACGCAATCAATATACAATTACCAGTGATAGTCCATTTTTACAGGCAAATAATCAAGTGTTTGTATTTACAACACAATTAGCAAATGAAGCAGCTGAAGCTGTATTAAAAAATGAATGTCCAAATATTATTGAATATCATAAATCATTACCTTCTACTGCTCAATATTTAACTGTAAGTTAGATTATTTTTTAAAAACAAACATTTTCTTCAGATGCTAGTGTTTGAGTATAGCTAATTAGAAAATATTTCACAATGATTTTTAAAAGTAAATATTTATCATTGTTTTTCTCTTTTTTCTTCTTTTTGAAGTCTCTTTCAAATAATATGAACAACAGTCATAATTCATTACTCGGCGGTCCAATGCATATGAATCATGGTCCATTGCCTGGATGTCATTCGCCTCGAACTATGCAAATGATGATGGGCGGACCAGGACCTCATAATCCACACTCACAACATCATAATGGTAATGGTGGTCCACCACCAAATTGGCAGCATCCACATTTTCATCCATCACAACAACAACAACCACCATTTGGTCGTCTAACGCCAGGTCCTGGTGGTTTACCGCCACCAAGTCATATTTTGCCACCTGGTGCACTCATGATGAATGGCCAACCACCATCTGATGGTATTGAAAATCTAACACCTGAACGAGCAAAACATCGAAAAAATCAATTGAATAAAATAGAAGATTTAAAAACTAAAATTACAGGCGGACGAAGTCGTGGTGGTAGAACTAAAGGAAATGCTGCTGCTGCTGCTGCTGCTGCTGCTGCTGCCGCCGCTGCAGCAGCCTCTGGTAATATCCCATCACCGGTTAACGGTGGTCCATTACTTCCAGGCTCACTTGATCCACATCAACAACAAATGATGATGATGAACAGTCCACATGGTGTTGGCCCACCACATCATATGATGGGAGTCGGACCACCACCACCACATATGTTACCTCCAGGCATGCGAGGACCTGATGGAATGATGCTTGATATGAATGGTCCTCCACAACCACCGCATGTATATATGAATGGACCAATGCCACCGAATTTTCATGGGCAATATGGACCAGGACCAGGTGATCCATATGGGCAATTACCTCCACATCAGCAAGCACAAGCAGTACGTGAATGGCATAAAATGCAAATGGAACATATGGAAGGAAAAGCACAACAAATGCGTGGACAGCCACCCCCTTACTCGTCTGCATCACCATCATCATTAACGCCTCCAATAGCTACGACATCAGCAGGTGGTGGTTTAGGACCTAATGGTAAATTACTTTCACCAAAAATGGAACCATCAACAACACCACGTCTGTTTAAAGTTGGTCAACCAGAAAAATTTATTCCTGATTTATTGCCATCATCAGCGAACAAAAAAATAGCTGGTAATATTGGTGAAGTACAACTAACAGTATCACCAACTCAAATGGATTATAATGATTTAGGTAAGTAGATTTCATTAAATTGCTTTTTTTCTTAGATGTTTTTTTCATATTTCTAATTGCTTTGTTTATCTTAGGTATGGAAGGTGAAGAATTAGTGATAACGAGACATTTGAATCGAGGTTATCGAACATCAAATGGAATCAATAATGGTCCTCCATTACCATCATCATCGTCATCATGTAAAGATGAACCTATGACACCTTTAACACGTTCAAATTCAACAGCTAATAATAATACAAATCCATTATCATCGGGACAACAACAACAACAACAACCACCAGTGGGTTCCACAACACCTACTCATCTTTCGCAACAAGGACCACCATCACATCTTGCACAACAGAATATGTCAACTGTATCACCTCGTCAAGCTAAAATGACTGCAAATAATAGTTTATCATCGCCATTAATGCTCTCAAATAATAATTCATCAACGAAAGACGAACCATTAGATATGAATGGTGGCCCTAAAACTCCAACGTCAAATATGGCACCACCATTAAGTAGTATGCTACAGATGACAAATAGTTTACAATCAGCTAATTCTCCATATAATCCATCAAATAATATTGGATCAAAACCATCATCAAATCTTAGTGGAAATGGACCACCATTGAACAATCCAAATATGTCACATACGCCTAAATCAATGGATCATTTGCCATCGCACATGTCTTTGCCGCCACATCTTCAACAGCAACATATGCAATTTCAAGTACGATCTCTTTTTTAAAAAACATATCACTTAAAATAATTTTTATTTAGAATATGAATCCACATCATCGAATGTTGGGTCCACCAGAATCGATGCCACCACATTACAATCCACATCATGGTGGTAATTTACCGCCACCTCATCCACACATGTATAAAATGATGCCGCCACATCATTCAATGGATCCGTCTGGAATGATGGTTCCACATCCAGGTGGTCCATCACGTTCATCTAAAGGTTTACCACCATCTGATCCCATGCAACAACATCCTCATATGCCGCCACCACATTATATGAAAATGCATAATATGGATCCATTATTAGGTCCACCGCCGCCTGGTCATCAACAACAACACATGCGTTTCGTGCCTATGATGGATGATGGCTTTGGGATGGGACCACCGCCACCATCACACCATCCGCATATGCATCCACACATGCATCCACATATGCATCATCCACAGATGCATCATCATCCACAAATGCATCCAAATGATGGTCGTCCACCGCCACCTCCTCCACAATCAATTAATAATACATATGTTTCAACAACAATGTCCATACAACAATTAAATATTCAAAATCTAGGTCCTGGTGGACCACCATCTGAACTTCAAGCAGGTACTATACATTACCATGCACCGTCAGCGAATGGTCCTGATTCTCAACAACAACAGCAGCAGCAGCAACAACAACAACAACAACATCATCAAGGACTATCTGGCTCGAATGGTAATGGTAGCATGTTTGGTTCTCAACAACAATTTACAAACATGAATAATATGTCATCTAATGATCCAGGATTTGCATCACAATACAATGATCTTCAATTACCACCATCAAATCTCAGCGTAGACGGTCTACAACAGCCTCCTTATTGGTGATCTTAATCAAAGAAAAATAAAGAAGTCGAAAATTTTCAAAATTTAACGTATCTCACGTTGTTTGTGAGACATCTTTCATTATTATTTATCTCCTATTTTCTAATCTGAACCTGTACAGACAAAGAATCTCTTTTTTTTGTCCTTTTGTTTGTTTGCCTACGGGCATCTTTTTTTTTCTTTTTTCGACTAATTGTATTTTTTCTCTTCTTTTTTTTCGCTGTTGTTGTTATTGATGTTGTTCTCTATTTTTTTCTCTCGTATATTAACATTCACGCATGCACACACACAATGTCGCGCTTATTTGTTGAAATTTTTTTAAAATGTCGTCGTCATTTTGCGGATGTTACCATGAACACAACTACCGTCTATTCGTTTTCTTCTTTGTTCTCTCCATTGGTTTTTTCTCTTCTTTTGCTATGTGTGTGTGACATGAAAAATTAAAATCAAAAAATAGAATTTATACAATAATGAGATGACAAAAAAACTCGAAAGTCAAAATGTCTATATGTCATTTTTAGATTTCGAATTGTGAAAGTATCAAGAAAAAAATAATAACTAGTAGATAACAGATGGCAACCAATAAGCAAGGTATGGATGAACACGGTAATTCAAAATTACCAGCTAAAGCCGCTCTTGAAGGTACACTAGCACCAGAAAAAGAAGTTGTTGTTGAACATATGACAACGAAACATGTGATAACAACTGGTAATTTAAATGGCATGAATTCTCATGGCGACACAGTCATTCCAGAAAGAGCAGCTGAAGCAAATCTTGACCGTCATCTACACGGCTTGCATCCATTATCATCAAAAGAATGATAAAATGAACAAAATAGTTTCGATTGAAATGATTAGACAATTATTTTCAGTTTTGTTTATGCTTAACATTTGATATGTATACTCTTCTTTGTTTCACATTTGCTACAAGCAAAAACACAGGCTTCAATAAGCGCCTTTTGTTGTTGGATAGTTTATTCTATTATCTGTGTTAAACATGAAAGTTGTTTTTTTGTGTGACAAAAAAATTTTGTGTTAAATGAAACTGCTTTTTCTCTCGTCTACTTAAATATTTTGAGACTATATTCAAATGCGATCATATAAAATAGAATCAATCTGAATTTCTTGGGAATCAGCACGATATAGAAATAAAAACAATGGAACATTGAGTAGTATTGATGAATTTCTTGGAAGCCTAAAAAATGACACTTGGAATATTGAATCTCAACAAATCGCATTGAACTATAAGAAATTTTCAATTAATATTTACTTTGACTTCGAATGTTCTACGGTTAATTACATTTCGATAATGAAACTATGCGTTACAGTTAAAAACAAAAATACGTCAAAGAAAAATCTTATTTAAACATGAATTGTTTTACAGATTAAATTTAACGAGTTTATCTTTTTTTTCATACTATGATTATGTTACAATATTTCAGATTCTGTTTTGATAATCTTATCACATGAGACAAGGATGAGCACTGAAGCTGAATTAATGTTTTCACCGGAACGTTCATCAAATATTGCGTTTCATGTATTCTCCAGCAAGAAAGTAAGTCAAGTGTGTTTTTTATTAGTTGTTTCATATAAGGTTCTTTTATTTGTTTGCCATAGGCAAGTCGTCGCCGAGAGACATTAAATAAACCATCAAAACCTGTATCATGTCGTATTTTTCGATATTTTACACCAGCGGTTGCTGCTACAAGACCATCAAGTGCTGTTTCAGTTAGTACAGATTCTTATGGTGTCGGTATGTTTTCTTATTCTATCTTTTTGGTTTTTACATACATTTCCTCTTCATGGAAAAACCTGCTTAGCATTGGAAAGTCCGTATTATACGAAATCAGATACATCTACATATTGGGATCAATGTTTTGAACATCTTGAATGTCTCGGTCGTGGTTCATTTGCTGAAGTAAGAATGATACATTTTTTAGTTCGATGAAAATATTGTGAAACATTTTCAGGTTTATAAAGTTCGTCATAAAGAAGATAATCAATTGTATGCAATCAAACGTTCATTAACAAAATTTCGTGGTAAATCTGATCGGTAAAATTATTTTCTTTTCAAATTATTTTTGCTTTAGAAGAATCAGTTTCTTGATTTTATTTAGCGATGAAAAATTACGAGAAGTTCGTTTTCATGAAGCACTTGCGACACACAGAAATATTCTTAAAATAATTCGAGCATGGGAAGAACGCGAACGTTTATATATTCAAACAGAACTTTGTGAAAGCAAGTAAGTAAGCACACATTTGATTTAAATACTAATTAATTTTTTTATGTTTTAAAGCTTATTGGAATATACAGCAGATAATCCTATGACACAACCGATGACTTGGCATTTTCTCTATCAGATCAGTCAAGTAAAAAGTGAAACATGATTTTGTTTTTCATTATAAATTCAAATTATTTCTTTTAAGGCTCTTCATTTTCTTCATTCTTTATACTATGTTCATATGGATGTAAGTTTAGAAGAACAGCAGAGATTGATAATTTTTGTTTTATTTTATCTATGTCAGGTTAAACCAGAAAATGTTTTAATTACATACGATGGCATTCTTAAACTCTGTGATTTTGGTATTGTACATGATTTACAAAGTGTAAGAAAATAGAATTTCCTTTGATAAATTATTTATCTATTTACAAAAAAACAATAGGCATCAACGTTAGCACAAGATGGTGATGCTCGTTATCTTGCATTTGAAGTGCTTGCAGGCACAGTATCTACAGCAGCTGATATATTTAGTTTAGGTATAGCTGCACTTGAATTAGTTAGTGATTATGATTTGCCTATAACCGGTGATGTTTGGACAAATATACGTCAATTAAAGCTACCGATGGAGATTATGTCAGGTATTTTATTTTTCTCAATTAAAGTAGAAATTATTCTAAAACAAATTGATCATATCCGTCTAGTTTTAACTGATATTGAATTAAAAGAACTGTTACTACGTATGATACATCCTGATTATAAATTGCGACCATCAGCAAAAGATGTTCTAGATAGTCCAACCATTCGTGATAAAGTAAGTCAACGAGAATTACGAAATCTTAGATAAATGTTTGTTTGATTTTGTTTTTATAGGTTTCCAATATGCCATCACCATTTGCATTTAATCAATGTCAATATCAGCATGTTTGTATAAGATTCAACAAAAAATTGAATATAAAATACACATTTTGATCCCGTTTTTTTTTAAATAATAGCTTGTTGCATCAACTGTTGAAAACGATTCTCATGCTAGTCATGTTTGTCGTACACCAATAAAAAAAGCAAAACGACCACCAAATTATTTTGGTTATCATGATGAACCTTCAGATGGTGTGTATCGATATTTTTCTATTTATAATAAAATCATTACATTATATTTTTTGCTATTTCTATCTAGACGAATTTCGGGCTCATTCTATGCATGATACTTCTCGATTGTAAGTTGAAAGAATCTCTATTTCTAAATTATTTCAAGAGTAAAATGTCAAATCTAATACTGATTAAAAGTCACTTTTCAATATATATATATGAATGCCGATCTGTTTATATTCGTTCAATTGTATGAATGATTGCTAGTGAATATTCGAGAAAACTATTTTCGATATGTTCTAAATACTTTGGTAAGATGTACATAGATCAAAGAGCGCTTAAAAAAAGTTCTGGCTCAAGAAACACATTAACTATTGTATAGTATAATGCTAACATACGAGCAGCGCTCGCACGCAGACAAATGTAATCATCTGGTATGAGTAATGAATGCAAGGAGGAAACGACGAACTTGAAGTAGAAGAGTATGCTAAACTACTTCAAAGTAGACTACTTGAAGTAGCTCAAAGTATCACCCAAATAACCCAAAGCAGGAACAAGTAGCTTAAACTAGCTCAAAGTAACTTCAAGTCCAAAAGTTCAAAAGTCTGCCGTTTCCCCCTGGAATGAATGGCCTCTTGCTTTTGCTAATAAGTAAATGTAATAACTGATAGTAATAGTTGACCTATATCTAGTGGAGATATAGACAGCTGTCGTATCATGATAATAACCTTTTAGTAAAATCCTAATGATTTTTTCGATAATATCCGTAATTATCTATCGGGTATTATTCATTACTGATAACAGATTCAAAACGATAGAATAATCAGAAAGGCTAAAGAAAGCCTGTAAATGTTGAATATCATTATTTAACTTTATATTTTATTCTATAGAAAAATCCTATACTCTCTTTTATAGAACACCGCCACCACCACCGCCAGCAGCTGTTGGTGATCCACTTCGAGTACGTCTGTTTCCTACTGATTCAGATGAAGATATGAATGATGATCAACTGTATCTGTAAGATGAATTTATCATGTTTTGCTGTTTTTCTTATTTGTATTTTGTTGCAGTCGAAAATCTCCAGTTCAATTAAAATTTGACAGCAGTGGAGCTGAAGATTAAATACAAACAAAAGAAGTAACAACCAGCAACAAGTAATTTTTTTCACCGGTATCCTTTTCCATCTACATGATTAACATATGTCAGATGTAAAAATTACAGTCAACATTTTGTCAGAACTTTATTTTTCTTCTATTATAATATTGTTACTATTCATTGATAAAAAAATGAAAAATTTATAATAACAAGAAAGTTGTCAGATATATGTTTTGATTTTCTCCTGTCACACATGCATATATATATGTATACATATAAATATATATGAACCGATGACCTTTCCTTCTACGTGCACGTGTCTATCTGCTTTTTTAATATTATTATTATTATTATTATTATTGCAAATAAATACTGTGTACAGGTTGAACAAAAACATAGCAGATCTTCTTTTTTTCTTCTTCTCTCTTTCATTCTTTATTTATTATATTTTTTTCTCTTACTGTTCGTATAGAATATGTGTCTGTATGTTTAACTTGTTCATCTTCAATCTCGAAAGTGTGTTTGTACAAAGAATTAGTTATGATAAAAATATCTGTATGCAACACACTAAATCAGAAAAAAAGATACTAGACTTTTATTTATAGATGTTAATATGAAACAAATAATTAAATCATTTGGTTGGTTTTTATATGGAGGTGTATCATGTTATTGTATACAACGATTTTTAGTTGATTTTCTTTACATAGAACATAATGAAAATGAACTATTTCAATCAGGTGATATTGTTGTTTTGGATATATGGAATCGATTAAAACTGAATAGGTATTGTGTAATGAAAATTAACAAATGACTTTTTTGCTCGTGTTGACAAGTTCAGAATTTTCACATGATAAAATATTCTTAGCTCATTCAATAGTATAGAAGATTACTAGACAATGATCCATTTAGTTCTCGAGGGGTGTCTTCCGATTAATGACTCACTTTGAAATCGCGATACTAATTGCATCATTAAAATTTTAATACGCTGTGGGTACTCTAGAAAGAGAGAGAGAGAGAGAGTTGATGTTCTTAAGTTATTTCTATAGGCATACTGCATTTTTACGTTATTTTCTACAGAAATACTGTAGTACTTATCATGAGCATCCGCAAATTTGATTTTCGAATTTTTTCACTGAACACTTTTACATAAACAAAGATCTTGACAAGAACGACTGTTTTTTGTGATTGTTGTAAATCTAATTAAGAATCTTATCCAAAAATACAACTATGGTAATAGTATATCTTTAACATGACCTATAAATACGTTAGATTTTATGCCATTGTTAGAAGACAAGAAAAAAGAGAAGATCTTGAACATCTCACGATAAATCATTATGATTGAGATCTCTATCCATTCAAAGATTCAAGTCGAAATTCAAATTTGTTTTCTGATTTTCTGATAGAGATATTATAACATGCATTTTTTAACAAGACTATACAGGTGAAGTATGTTTACATAAATAAGCTATGAATTAGAAGTCTTGTCAAAGTATTCAACTTTCATGTAATTCTACAAAGTCCGTCCATCCTCTAGACTCAAAGTTACTTTAACGATTGAAAGAACTTCGTAATAAAAGTTACCTGTTTTGATATTTCATGAAGTAAAAGCTATAAAAACATCTAACACGGACTTCTCAAAAACAAGTTACATCGATTCTATTTATATTATAATTTCACTCGATAGACTCAAAAGTTTTTAGTAAAGGTTGTGTTTACACTCGATGATATTCGCATTATGCTTATCGAAAATAGATAATGTGTTTGATGATTCGCTCTGTCGTAGTCATTTCTTTTTATCTAGGTTAAACTTTAAAGGTTATTAAATATGTTTTCATAGACAAAGAGCATTAAAATAATGTCTTATAATTCATTAGCAACCGGAACATGCCCTGAAAGATCATAGAAAACGATTCTTTGGCAGCTGTAGCATATGATGAAGCCTTTCTTCAAACTTGACTAACTACAGTAGTTTTTTCAGTGTTCCAAATAAAATAGCTGCTAGTATTTTCTCGGATAGACACAAGTATATGGTAGATATCAAGAATAATGGCTATTAATTGATTGTTTTCCTATCATTCTTCGATAGCTAACATAAAAAGCATGAACTAATATGTTATTTTAACTTTTGACAACCATGCATATGAATGTTCTTTGTTTATTAAAATGCATAACGAAGCATAGAACCTGCTGTACTAACACAACACCTATGTCGAAAAACAAAAGGAGTCATAACAAGGAAATTGCAAAAAGTACAAAATAAAATAAAAATTCTCTTCCAAATATAGAAATATACGTATAAACACATTCTCTGATTATAAGTCATAGTTGGAAAGCAATTATTTTCCTGCCAAGAATTTGCACAATGTTTGCTGGGTACTATCCTAATAAAAGTACTGATGTCATGATGACTCTAGGGTTTTTGAGTCTCAAAAGGTTCGCATTAACAAGCTTTTTTTTCACAAGGACACGAACATCTTATGAATCCATTGCCATTGCATGTTTGACTAATCGAAATTTTCTATGACATCGGAATCATATGGAAGAATTTTGTTTTAATTTCAAAAAATGAAAATAAATTCTATTCTTACATCATGTTTATTTTGCTTTAGTATAGAAACAATTTAATATGCGCCAAATCACCTGAAAATCATCAACAGACAATAGTTGGCCATGTTATCGCTTTTCAAGATGAAAGTGTTAACATTCGACCAGTAAATAAAAGAATTAAATTCGTTCAAGTAAACATTTTCTACATATTTCATTATCTATTCTACCAATCATTTCTTTTACAGATTCCTAAAGGAAGTATTGCTATTAAATTATTAGCAAATGATAATCATCACGAAATCAAAATTTTGCCAATCGGTTTAATCGAAGGCCGTACATTAGCGCGAGTAAATAATTAACAGACAAACAAACAGTACATGTCAAAAACAATTCATTTTATTCCAATATGTTTATTTAGATTTGGCCATTGAAACGTTTTACTTGTCATTTGCTTAATATGCGTTCATCATCAGTGGATATTTGATTCAAATTCATTCGATTAATATCTATCAGCACAACTTTCTGTCATTGTGGTTTTTTTTTTCTTATTTTCATTGGGAAATCAAACACCGAAAACAACCAATAAACGAAATTTACAATTAAGGTCATAAGCTCTTATAAAAACAATTTGAGCTGAACAAAATACATTGAATACATGTAAATAAGAATGATAAAATTTTTATACAAATTAAAATAAATGATGTATTTTTTTTCTTCGGTGCATACACCGGGTTTATACATGAAGGAACAAACGATAATTTGTCTATTTACTTTAATTAATCGTATTCTTCTGGTATTATTGGTTTTCGCTCTTTATTAACACGACCACCTAGACATTCTTGAAAAAATTGGCGTTGAAAATGAAAATAATCATCATACAACGTTGGATTTTTCTCAAAATCATGATCAGCATCAGGATAAACCTTTAATGAGATTAAAGTTTTTCGTAGTTGATTTTGAAATAGCACATTATTTTACCTTGTATTGAAAATTGGCACCTGTTTCAATGAATGTTTTAGCTAGTGTTGCTGAATGTTTAAAATGAACATCTTCTGTAAAAACAAAAAAGAAGAATACAATGTTTAAGTTTGTAATTTCTGTAGAAATATTTTATTTGTATTACCATCAGCTGTTCCATGAACAATAGCTACACTTTTATTTCTAATATTATATCGCTGAGGCTATAAAATGAAAAAAAAGACAATAAAAAAAATTAGATCAAAATTTGAATTTTGTTCCTACTGAAGATTTAGCATTTTTCTCCAATCCATTGATGCGTTGAGTATAGACAGCATCTAGAAATTTGATTGAATTTTGAATATGATTAATATAAAAAATTTGAATTCTTACGATAATGAGGTAAATCATGAACAGGCGATTCAAGAAATGCACAAATGTATTCTTCTTTTCCTGTATTTGGTTTTTCTAGTAATTTTAATGCAACAACAGCGGCAGGTCCCTAACAAATAGTTTACAAGAAAAAATTTAGTTTCTGTGAATTTGAAATAAAAACTCAAGAAATTTGCTTTTAACTAAGCACACATTTGTTTTCACAGCAAGCGATTTTTTTTGACGATTAAAAATAAAATAGAACTTACTCTTGCTTTCAGTCCAAATCGTGTTGCATTTAATGTTTCACTAAATCGTTTTTCATGTTCTTTCAAATGTCTAAATTGAATCATTTCAATCAAAATGTTTGCTCTTTGTATTATTGTTACCTTGCTACTTTTATATAATCATCATATTGACTTTGAATCCAACTTGATTCGATATTTTTTAAATAATTCTCATCTTGGCCAGTACTGCCATGAGCATCAAACAATACAATGCTAATGTTATCTTGTGTAACATGAGCGAATCTAAATAAATAATTGCTTGTGTTTGTCCTTTGTTTTTACGAAAAAACCTTTGTCAACATACTCTATTAATGGTAACATATACTTTTTTGTCACTCTCTGATCATACAATTGATCATTTCTAAAGAACAGATGAGAAAGAAGAATAATTCATTTTAGTTGTTTCTCAAAAGCGTACATAGATATAATAACAGGATATGATGCAATGGTAACATTTGGATTATAATTTGGAGGTAAAATAATCATTCCATGGCCGACTAAGAATTATTCAAAATATAAAATAATTATTTGATTTGAATCCTTTGTTTTTCTTTTTCTTTACCCGTATTCTTTTTATCTAATGGTACTGTAAAATACTCCACATAAGGCATCAATCGACTGCTAATCCATTCTCGAAATGGTGCATTTTCATTGATAAGAGCTGCAAAATAAAGAGAACTAAAATTTAACAAAATTATGTAAAGAATTCTTTACCTAGTTGTTGTGTTCCAGAGTACAATGTCGAATATGGAATTGATGGTCCATAACATTCAAGAATGTAATAACTACCATTACCGCGACTAAATTTTGCATTAGCGTAACCACATGTTTCATTAGCATCGTCACATGATAAACATTTAGAATCAATTTGATCAGTCATATAATTCCATCTATTAACTCATTCAATCATAGTAATTTTAAAAAAAAGAATTCTTTTTCTTACCGATAAACTTGCCGTTCTAATGTATTATTTTGTCTTGAAGCAGTAAAATATATTTGATCAGAGTTATCAACATAGATGATTTCATCAGCACATATATCTGATGATAGTGTTGCATCAATTTGTGGATGCTAAAAACAAATCATAAAAGAGAAGCAAAATTAATGACCACCAGTTTATTATTGAAGAATATTCTGAACGTACTGTTTGATTGAAATGTATTCGAACAATATACGGATAGGCTTTTTGTGTTATTTTATCGACATTTAATGGATCAAATCTTATAATAAAACAATAGATACCCGATGGCGAAAAAAATGGTTTTAGGAAACGTGGTAATAAAGCACCTTTCCGCGTTTCTTCAATATAACGTGATTTAAATACAATTCTATCATTATCAGTATTTATTGGTTGAATTTCATATAATTGTATTATACTAGAATTTTGTGCTCGATTACCATAAACAATCGATAAACATGTATCACAATACCAAACAACATGATAAATATATAAATCCGATTTTCTAAAAGTAGGTTGCATAAGAATGAATAAAATTAAAGAATCATTTTTTTTCTTACAATTTTTCGTATTCGTTTGGGCGTGGTACACGTGTAGTTTTTCCGGTTCGAATATTATAGACGTACACATCGAGTAATGGAAGTGCATCGCCAAATTTTGGATATGGGATTGAATATCGATCATTAGTATCAAGTGATAAATCATATTTAAGAAAGTTAGCTTTTGGAACATCTCGTAAGTCTATTTTAATATAAGCCAAATAGTGATCATTTGGCGACCAGAAAAGAAGAACATTTTGATTGAATATTTCATCTAAGAAAATGAAGGGTTGGCATTTTTTTGCAAAATAATTAAATTTTACAACAGCTAATTTTCTCCACAAATACTTCTGCTATGAAATCAAGTATTTGAGATAGGATCGCGTATATAGTTACATTGAATGGATTTTTATGGGTCCGGTTTCTTAATTATTGTGATTCTTTATTTTTAAGAGAAATTTGTATTCTTTACTAGTAATTTCATGATATTTGTCTAAGGTAATATATTCTTTGAATTGATTAATTGCTTTTGATTCGCAACAATTTACATTATGTAGATTCTAAAAGAAATGATGAATATACAACTTGAATAGATGTCTGCATAGAGCTTAGCACTCTGAATAAACTATATTTTAAGAGTATATTGCATGTTAATTCGGTTTCTTTCTTAAAGAAGCATAAGGGTAAGCTTATTTTTAAAATCCGACTTTAGTTTTATATAGGGATAATCTTTGGCGGAAACTGTTTACGGTCAAAGCTTCAGTTACTCTCATTGTTTCCTGTTTTTCGATAAGAAACATTGAATTTAGCGATGTATGCAAGCGATGTTAACGACACAATTTTATCATAGACGCACCAAAGGATACGAACAACAACCAGATCTAAAACTCGCCGACAATAGATTATACTCTGAATGGTTTTTCTCGATGATAATTTTGATGTTGAAGTTCGAGAATCAGTTTCTTTGACATTTTTCAGGGTGACTATAGTATTGTGCTAAAACCTATGATAACATGCACTACTTCCGTAACCATGAGTTAAACGCTCGAGTTCTTTCCCGGAAATTAATTGGTTTTTAGGAAAGTATTTAATGCGCATCGTCTGAATTCGAGAACAAATTACCAGCTAGAGAGTTTCTCGTCGTATGAGTGCAATATAAGTAAATATTTCGCGTGATATTTTGAATTTAAGGACTGAGTACTCTTTTATGAGAACGGAGAAACATCTGAAGTGCCTGTTCTCTTTTCTATATAATGATCTTCAATGAGTAGTTTGTAGCAAAAAAAAATGTAGAACATTCTTGACTTCTATATTGTTGAGAACGATATCTCAAAATAAGATAAAATTAGGATCTTGCTTTTGTTTGTTGGAAAACTTCTATTATTCAGAATAATTTGAAGAAAGAAATGAAAATATCGAGTAACTTTAGATTTTATGAAATAATATAAAACTACGTTGATGATCCATTAATAAATGAAATCTGTGACTTAATGATTGATGCCTAATTTATTTTCTCAATGAACACTATATTTAGACCACATATCTCTTTCCAATATAGATAATTAATACTCAATCATGTTTCATATTTTTTTCAAAAGAAATTGCCTTTTGTTTTTATTAATAAGAAAACTCTTACATTCATAAATCCATTCGATCAGACCATTATGCATTTTTTCTCGACTTCCATCGTGAGTAATTCTATTAGTTGTTACTCGTGCAATATCATATATGTAAATATCAAAGTTATGAATAAAACTCTAAAGAATTCGCAACAAATTATATGAATATGTTCATATTTAATTAACTTACGAAATAATTATCCGAATTCGAATATAAAACAGCCGCTAAAGGTACGAATTGACCATCAGGAAGTCCAATGGGTGCAATTTTTTTTGACTTCTCATATAAAACATATTGATGTTCACTATAATATCGATGATCCTAATCAATAAAGAAACAGTTAGAATAATTTTCTTCGATTATAAAACTTGAATAGAACTCATCTCCTTTATTATTATTATTACTTTTTCTTTTCTTATAGGTACAAGAATATAACGAGCTGATGGTGAAACGATTCCATTTCCAATACTTTCTTGTTGAATAACATTTCTTTTAAACAGTAATTCTCCGTTTAATGTATCACAGTTATAAATCCATATTGAATCATTTTTATCCATATAAGAAAAAGATGTATCCGAAATCCATGTCCCGTTCCATCTAGTAGTTTATTTATATAAAAGATCAATTAGTGATGTGAAAAAAGTATAATACACGTACGGTTGTGGTATTTTAATATTAAATATGTCTTGCTCACTCAATGGAATCAGTTGACCTTGAGATTTAGATTGACCTATAGAAGGAGGTTTTTTTCTTATTCTTGTCGTCTTATCAGAATTGATTCTTGAAAAACTTACGAGATGTTGTTAGAAAAATAGCAGCAGCAATAAATAAACAAACAATGGCAATGACAATAAATGCGATGCTTAGCCCTTTCCAGTTTTGTTTTTTACCGGTACCACCAACTAATTCCTATTAAATAAAAGAATGAAACAAATATTATATTCAGACAAAAAAAATTTAGAAAAATTTAATTTAATTTTAGTTTATCAGTATTAAAATCTATGTTTTAGTTCGATAGTCTCACCACACAAAAGGAACAACATTGTACAACAGCTGCATCATCTTGTTCTGTAGCATTTTGTTTCTGCTGCGGTACGAGCATTACGATTTTTTTTTATTGTAAGAAAATTAACAACAACAATAATAATAATAATAATCATAATCATAAGAGCAAGTAATAGAAAAAAAGAGAAGTAGAAAATCGAGGAAAAAAAGAAAAAGAAAATCGATTGGAACTACAATGAATATGCAACCATTGACGGAAGTCATTCGACAATACAAGAAAAAGAAAAAGAAAATGACGTTCATTAGGCTGTCTTTGAAAATGGACAGAAGTATAAAGAAAACCAGAAAAGCTCTATGAAAATTAAATAAAACTCTCTTTCTTATCATTTATTCAAAGGAAGAATGAGAAACGACGTTTTACTATAATTACATACAATTTCTTGTGCATTATCTGAAAAATAATAACATCAGCTTTTGTCAAATAACAATGCAAGAGTGATAATAGAGCGATGAATGATATTAAATTTGATCAAATTCCACTTTTTCTTTATATAATTACTAATAGTTTATCGTATCTATGAGAAATTCTAAAGAGTACTTTCGTCGCTAAATCAATGTGATTTTATTAAATAAGCAATATTATTAGTTATAGTTTATGACACAACAGATGAAATCTTTATTAGGTCAGAAAATATTCATCTTATATGATATATTATATATATTTTAGTTATCTCTTTGATTCTTTATACGTTTGTTTAATATTAATACGCAGATAAATAAATAATAATTGCTATTTTTTTTTGATATAAGATAAATTTATGAAAAAAGCCTAGGACATTAAATGTAGATATAATGAAACTCACTTTATAACGAGCCATACTTGCCATATTTTGATAAGAATAAAAATGATGATCAAGTGTTCAAACGAAACGATTAAGGATTAAATTTATATATGAATATTGAAAAATTATATATCGAGAGATCTATGAATGACTGACGTCGTTTTAAGAATAAATTATATTTACGAAGAGTTGCATACATCGTCAATCGTCACCGTCGAAACGGAACGATGACGACGAAAAAAGAAAATAATAGGATCGAAGAAGATAATAAACGGGAAGAATAACGTCGACGACAAAAACTACCAGCAGAAAATGATGTAGCTTCGTCTCTCACTTGCTTTATCTCTTACTCGCCATAATTTTCAGGCACACCATCGGCATTTCATCCTTGACATGCGTGATGTTGTCACTTTTTTTCCTTTCTATTCTTTCTGTCTTAGGCTTTCCGTCGTTCGTTGTATTAGAATCCTAACTATAGTCAATTTTTCTTCTTTCTTGTGTTTTTTTTATTGCACACATGTAGATCGAGGCTGATGGTTCTCGCTTGTGTGTTGCGTTAATGATAGAGGAGATACGTAACAGAGCAGAGAGATAGGGAGAAAACGAAGGACACATAACGTCGTCAGACAAGTATTGCTAGTGCATTACAGAAGATGGTTGAATGTAAAATAAATGCTTGACTCGTCTTGACTTGAGTTGTATTCAACTAACAGCAGCTGCTGACTGTTCTTAGCTCTGGTATGTGTGAGAGAGAGAAGGAGAAAATAGAAAGAGGATCCGAGAAAGACAACTTATTGGAATTGGCGCATAAAAAAGAAACGGTTTTAGTAATTTCCCTTTCTCCCAAGTTGTCAAACATAAAAAGAAGAAGTTTCCAAGACATATTCCCGCCAGATGTTTTCTGATCGGCAACCTTACATTTGATAGGTAACGACAATCTAACGTTCAAAAGCGTCTTCAAGTTTTCAACTTTGATTGTTCGGGTATTAAAATGACAGAGAAGATCTCAAGAAAAAAAGTAAAGCAAGAAAACTAAAGGTCAATTTAATTGATCTTGTGTACTTCACAAGTTATTGTTTTGTATGCCTATTAGTCTTATTTTATTATTTAGATAGTTTATCGAAATAATTACTCGTGAAAGGCAAAAAATGTAAAGAAAAAAAACCGAAGAAACTAATTACATTTTTGCTATTATTCACATTGATGGGTTTTATATAATCAGTCTGCGTCGAAAACATAAGTAGAATTAAGATGAATATAAAATTGTATCGAGAAATCAGTCAATATTGAAAAGACTTCTTAAAGAAAAATATATATTGTGATGGAATTAGATCAATTGAATCGATCTGGGTTTTATTATAATAAGATACTCTTTTTGTAAAGAAAATGCAAGCTTCATTGCTATATGAATAAACTCGAATGGAAAAGCTTCTTGTTGTCTTTAAACATAGTTCATAAGAAATTCTTTTACCTGAACACCTTTTATGGAGCGATACTGTTGAAAATATTGAACATTGTTATTTTTAATTATTTTTTTTGATTTCGTACAATAAAAACTGAACAAAATGAACTTAAACATAACACTATTTAACATACATTTATATTAATATACTGATTTCTTTCTTGTGTATTGTCTTTTTCATGGCAAGTCTTAGAGAAGTACACAAGAACTTTGACATCAAGTCAAATATAGCATGATAGAAATCTAATTTTTGGACGATTAAAAATTAAAATTCTATTTCTTTCTTATTAACTTACCTTTGCCGTCATTAGACATAGACCAGATAAAAAATCACGTATACAACTAGGCATTCTATTTCTTTCTTATTAACTTACCTTTGCCGTCATTAGACATAGGCCAGATAAAAAATCACGTATACAACTAGGCATTCTATTTCTTTTTAAATATATTATTTTTGTCAATCAGATGAAATTCGTTATTATTGGTACATAATTTAATATGATATATCAATCTTTGTGTAAACCTATTTTCCAGTGTGATCAAGTGAGAAAATTGGTACGATGAAAAACGGAGAATATATTAGTGACGCTGGTTTTCATCAAACAATAACAATCACACAGCGGTATAAAAAAAAAAGGTATACATTGTATCAATTGTATCAGATAAGTTGCGTTTAATCAAGTAAGTGTTATTTTAATAGTCAAAAAACAACAAAAAATGATTTATGATACTAGGTCGTATGTTTTATTTCACTTCGATTTGCTTTTAGAAATATATTCCTGTGTAGTTTTTATAAATGTTTTTTTGCCATCTGTTGAACATCCGGTATAAAATGCGCATTTAAAAGAAGAAATCAACAGATTAGTTGGTATAAAAATTCTATTCAGATGTTCATAAAAAAAAACCTTAACACTTTTGTTCAATTACTTTTACTCCACTTTTTTTTAACAGAGTAAAACTAAAACAAAATGCTAGAAGCACGTTTTTCTTCGCCTGATTTTTACAAAAGGTTCACATGATCGATTATTGTTCTATTCCAAAAAAATACTCTGTTCACTGAAACATACTAAATTACTGAAAATAAGCAATAATATAATCAGTTTGCCAGAATACAATCAAACCAAACAACAACAACAACAACAACAACAACCACAAAAACAGAATAATTGATGGGAAGTTATTACGCTTGCATACTATACAATAGTTCGGAAAATGATTTATTAGTTAATCAGCATTAAGAATAGTTTGATCAAGAATATCTGAACTATTCAAAGTATGATTTAGCTATTTCAATTAATAATGTATACTTTCAGTGGCATGTTTAAATAATTTATTTTTGAAATAAGTAAATAAATAACGATAGAAACGAATTGTTTGTCTTCGTTTCTTCAGTAGGAGTAATTTAAGAATTTAATTTGAACAAATAAGATAAATTATTAAGGAAACACTTTCCTTGAAGTTTATATTTTTCTCGTCAACAGAATGAGTTTTTTCCTTTGACAGTGAAAACTTATTTTTTAAAGTGTTCACGGAGAAGAGGTTGGCCAATGTAATATTCAAGTTGATTGATAGAATTTTTGAGACTCTTAACTTCACATATCATAATAAAACCTATTCATACTAATATTATATATTATATATCGCTATTAAAAATAAAATATAAGGAGCTTTCTAGCTCTTTTTCTTGCAGTAGCGACAAGCTGTGTCCTTAATCTAACGACATCTTTTGATAAAATGATTTGTAATGGCGAAGATTAGTAAATACTCTACAGAAATATTATAATCTTCTGCTTATCCATGCTTGATCTTAATTTATATTCTCCTCTTAGGCTTGTCTTCATTGGTATTTATTACGAATTAGTGTTCATGGCTTTCGAATTTATATTTTAGGCTAGAAAATTTCTGTTAATATGAATTATGCATTCCTGTGAATAACTTCATAGTAGTCTACTGTATCTCTATTTTTGTCATGAAGATGTTCTATCTAGAGCAGTACAAAGAATGTATCTATGGCACATACACGTAATTAACGCCCAAGCCAAAAGTAAACCGTTATGCATGCTTCTATTTTTCTTCTCTGTGCATTATACTGACTGATTTATCTTCCACTAAGAAAAACACTTAAAAGTTGATAGATACAACTGATGTTATATGCGGCCTCTACATTTTCGTTAGTGTATCAATATCGTTTAAGCAAAAACTATAGACCATCGCTATTTTCTGTGTAATTTATCACAACAGTTTTTACCATCATCGTATTTAGATATTCATATTACGTATAAGCCTTAAGCAATATATTGTAGTACATTCAACTTTTTGTACTACACATTTATTATATATTATATAAAGAATTTTTAACGATGTTTATATCTGATTAATGTAAAATCATGGGAAAAGAATCTGTCAGGGAGACTAAGCCAATCAACTACTTACTACTGAGCTTCTTTTCACGCTAATATGTAACCTATATTAAGACTGATCGAAAGTCAAAAGAACAATAATACTTAGTATACAATTTCAAATCTTGAGGGATCAAATAGACTTTTAAGATGTGAGCTAAACATTGATGAGGGATGATCATCTCGAAGGCTTGCTCAAAATGAATTATTTTTTATTCTATCTATTCAATTTTCACAAAAAGAAACTTATCATTATTCATAAGGCGACTAGAAAAATCACGTTTGTTCAGAAATTCAAATTTATAGAATTTTCTAAGACTAATTGGATGGATCTAGGAATAAAGCTTTAGATCGAGATTCAATTAAAAAATGATTTCGTCAATACCTTGTTAATATGCTTAAAGATTACTACAATAAACATAGTTTCATCAATAAAAATCAGATGTCTTCACTCTTTAGATTTTTTTATTAATCTGGTACAGAACTACTCAAAACAAAGAAAAAACCAGTTGAATAGCCATTGCATATTACGGAACTATTCTTTATTTCATAAATGATTCTACTTAATATTTTTTTCCAGGAAAATCCTAAAAATGTGTTTCTTCTACAAAATGTTCTTCCATTAGTAACATCTGTTCGAAATTGTTCTCGCCTTCTTTGTTTGTTATCTTAACGCATGTTATACAAAACAAGTCGAGCGAAGAATATCAATGGAGGTACTGCTTATCATTGCCATACTGAACAGCCGTCTATAGTAACATCAATCGTTCTCATGGAGACAGAAACTAAAAATATACTTTCCTTAATTTCAATTGAAGTAGACAAACTACAAAATTTAACATATAGAGTACATATCATATACATTACATGAAAGATTTTGACACCATTAAATTAATGATATTATTTTTTATTCTTAATGAATACATCATTTATGGAAACATTCATGGATGGATATACATATATATCAACAATTTCGATTTGTCGATAGAAAGAATATATCAACGAGTGCTTTACAGATCTTAATTAAGTTATCTTTTTTCTTCATCAGCTATTATCGACCAAACTGGTTGTGTCGTCTAGCTTCTCTTATCAGATTTCTGCTATGTTTATAGGAGAAAAATAGATAGAGCCGAAAAACCTTTCTACGCACTGTTAATATACATATATATTTTTTCAATTAAATATCGAAATTAATTTATGACTAAGAGTATACCAAATCGGTAAAAATCCAACCATCTTAGTCGCTGAACCACTTAGTCTATTTCTAGCATTCATATACGTGTATACATATATTTCAATGAAGACACAAAGTGGCATATTTGTTCTGCTTTCGTAGCAGAAAAGAACTTTAATCATATAGACAAGAATGTATCCTCAGAGGATTTCCTTTAGTTCTGACAAATATTTTCTGTTTTTTATCCAATATTATAACAATAATCTACAGTTGAATTATTATCAACATTCAATTTTCCTGAATTTTCATCATTCTTTTGTGAAATATTTTACCATCATATATTTTACACATGATGGCTTATAAAATTTCAATAAATTAGTTACATTTTCACATCCGAGTGCTCCCAATGTGATTTTCTGACAGAGGATTTAAATTAACGAATGCAAAGAGTAATTGATTATACTCCCTAATGACATCTTTGCCATCGTGGTCTATAACTTATCAAAATGAATTGTTGTGCTAAAAAAGAGCACTAAATAAATTACTCTTTTAATAGAACATGAATCAAAAGGAGGTGGTCTATATTGAAATAAATTATTTATCGGAAGTACATCTCGATACATCCATATTATGTTAAATTAACCAGTTAATCTACAATTCCGAAATCTACCAAGAGGAAACGATGTAAGAAAAGTAAGTTCCGTTTTTTTCCTGCTGTACGAACTCGTTGCACACGAGAATTGGTGCTGACAACTGTAAACATGAACGCACGAGACTCTAATAAACTATGAACACAAAAAGGAGAAAAAAAAGAAGAAAAGTTTATGAGCAAACATGCAAATCGTTAACTTAAATTGAGACAAAAACTGATTACAGTCTTTAACTTTCAAGATAAATAATTACCTGTCCAGACATTCCATTACTCTTTTCATTCATCATTTTGTCGTTGTCGATTGAATAGTATTTTCGATAGAGACAAAAAAGAAACTAATCGTAGATAATATTAATAATCCTCACGACGCTCGAAGAAATAAAAGAAAAGAAAACAGCTAAGAAATGTTGTTTTGAGCGAGAGAGAAAAAAGGCGGATCGTGTAATTTTAATCAGTTCAACATCGTCCTGTTATCTGTCGTCGTCGTCTTCGTTGCCGCTGTTGTTTTTATTGTTGTTCTTGTCAGTCTGAATAAAAGTACAGTTGGTCTTAAGAAACTATTTACAGTATCAACTCTATAGAAAAAAAAATCCAACGACAAGAAGTAATAGAAGAAAAGAAGAAATGACATTCGCTCGTGGAAAATCGATATCATCATAGCCCAAACACACATCCGCCTATACTTCTATGTTAGCAGAGAGACAAAGAGAGAGAGAGAGAGAGAGAAGAAAAAACCACTCGTTGCAATGGCCTTCAAGGAATCTATGAACAAATAGAAAGAGATAGTAGATAAGTTTTTTCGGAAAGCAAGAGAGCGAGAATGAGATTTTTCTCTACTCTTTCTTATTCTTTGTTCTATTATTGACGACGAGAACGAGTGACGATGATTATCATCGGAAAAAATCCCATCGTCACAGTCACATATATGAAAAACGACTTGTCTTTTTCTTTACTTGTAAATATGATAGATTCTTCTTCTTTTCCTATAACTAGCCTGTTTGTTTTTATATGTAGAAATATATATAGATAGATATAAATATAAGTTCTTCTCTACTTCTTTTTCTTTTTTTGTACACACCGCACTTGTTCTTCATCATTGCTACATACTTCAAAGCTCATACTTACAGACATCTCTTGGTGGTATTTATGATTCAATCGTCATCTACTTTGTTTTATGGTGTGTAATGGTAATAGTTATAATAATAACAAAAAACACAAAAAAAAGCAACTACAAAAAAAGGAAAAGTAATATGGTGTATCACGAGGGAAATCAATGGTGATTCAAAATGGAAGATTCGCACGCATAAATGTGAATTAATACAACAAGGAGAAATAAAAAAAATCTGAGACTAACAAAATAAACTATTCATGCACACATCCACACATTATTAAATATCAACAATGACATAGACATCGTGTGTTGATGCTTCTTCATGTATTTGCATATTTGAATAAGTGATTGCTTTGACTTCAGTTCCTTGTGTATGCCGTGATAAATCAAATAGTTCACCATAACCGCGAGCAATTATGCGTAATTCATTTCGATCAAATAGATTGATTTCAATTTTTCTAGGTATAAAATAGTCTTCCGTTCCATAAACTTCAAGCCATTCACATAAAAATTTAAATAATAAATTTTGTAAATCTCCATCAGCTCGAATATCAATCTGTTTCATATCCCGGTTTTCAATAAGATCAGTATCAGTCATATATGCAAACATACCCATCGCTGCCTAAAATATACATATGTTTTTATAAGATTTTTTATGACATACAAAACAATGCATTCATATTTCTTTGTAGATAGATAAGATTTTCAAAACAAATAGGAGCATTTCTACAACGCATCAGATCGATCGACATTTTACCAAGTTATGGTTAACAAGGATGACAGCTCGATTACTCATGAATTGCAAATATCTCAATCATTTATATGTTATTAACAACATGCTTTTTTTTTTAATGCCAAATCGAATATTTCTTTCATAAGCATTGTTCAAATTCATATTCGTAGTAGACAAGAGTTATCAATGAGGAAATGAGATATAAAGATGCACGGAAGTGGAAATCCTTAAAAAATGTTCAGAGTAAACAAACCGAAAAGCCTTACAAGGTTTATTTGTTTCACACATAATACTTATTATGAATATACGTCATTCCATATGTCTGTTTCACAATGAAATCTCTGGAGAGAAGTTCGTTGTTTTGTCTTTAATAAACACTTTTACACGTCACCGATCAAACTCTTCTTTGAAACAATGTATTGATATATTGTTAATGAAACAAAGACTTTCTCTTACGAAGGCAAAGAACTTGAAAATAGAGATGAAACAATCGATAAAATCGCTCTTTATCTTTCAAAATATTTCCGCTGCTTCTATTGGGATCCAGTGAGAAGCAACTCTTCGTAATATTCCAATAGGTTATTGCACAATAGCTTTCAATCGATTTTTTAAATGGCCTCTTTGCTCCCATATGTAAATGGCAAATAGATATTTTGGATATTTCTGTAGAAAGATATAGATGTCCATTGGGAAATCGATCGACAATTATCGCAAAATAGACTCTTAAAATAGTATTAGAATCCGTCTCTGATTTAATGGTAATATAGACAATTAAATTATTCCAAAAATAGAAAATAGTCTTATTCCCCACATTGACCATTTTATCTATTGCAAGAAAATCATTTCTATGCAAAATATTATTGTAATCAAAGTGAATTTTAATTGTTTTTAGTGAATAGCTCGATAAAAATAATGAATGATAATTTTCATGACTTCATGAGAACTATGAAATACAAAAACCACATTTGCTTTAAGTATATTGTTCAATTCTATATAAAAAAATATCTGGCTAGAACGTTTATTTATAAAAGAGTGAAGAAGATATTCAAAAATGTTGATTCATTATATTCGTATTCTACTGACATATAAATAATTCTATTTATAAAAATTTTAAATTCTATTCATTAAAAATGTTATGTTAAGTTTTCATTCTCTTTTTAATGATGAAGTAGTAACTCTTTCATCATTTTCAATAGCCTAATCCAGGAATTTCCTTTTCTCTTTGTTTACAATGAATAACTAGAATTTATTCTCAGTGAGACTCATTACATTCTATGTCACGCATTAGTTTTGCTCAATTTAATGCAAACAAACAGTGTGCTGCACGTTAATGCGAAGAAAACCATGCAACAGCCTAGTAGTCACATATAATTAGGAGATTTTTTGTGGAATATGATAAAAAGGTTTGTCTAGAGGGAGCAATTGAAATTATTATCTTTTGATTCTATCAGTTTTATCAGAAAAAAAAGAAAACGAATCAGGAAAAATTGCTTAATTATAATGATACATCGTATTCTTGATATGTCTGAGTTATTTTTGTTCTTCTCAAGATGAAAATAAATAGAAAAAAAATTTATGTATATCCCCTTGAGATTGACACAACTTTTATAGGTTGGCTTGCGAGACAGTGCTAAAATACTTTCGTCGGTTCCCAATCATGCAACTACCGATATCAAAGCATTAAAAAAAAAACTTTTTTTTTATTTCGAACAGAAACATAGTTTTCGTAGAAAATTCATGTTTTTCTTATTATTACTTTGTAAAAACATCTGCTATAAATTTTAAAAAAACTTCTGTTTCTCTCAAATAGCATTGGTAAACAAAATCAAACGGCAACGGGAAACTATCATTGGCGATCCATTATGAATTTCCAGAATTGAAAAACATAGTTTTTCATTTTATGATGAAATCTATACATAGAAGATATACTTAATTTCGATCGAGTGTACGTTCGAATTTTCTTGAATTGAGAGAAAAAGAAGAAAGACCGTCAACGAATATGCAATAGCGTTTTAGGAAATGTTAGTCAAATTCTGACCATATTTAAAAGAAGAAGAGCAGAAGCGTGTTCAATAGGATTGTGAAAACAAAAATCATTGTCTCCTCAAGATTCTATTTTAAAGATTTTCTTGTGAATACATTTCTGTAAATTGACTAGAACTTCAACTAACTTGTTCAAAGGATTCTTCAATAGAATCTCCCCATGAATGAATTTGAATGTCAGCTGTATTATCGAGATATTCATATTTTATAGGTGGATAATCAAAAGTAACATCTTCATTAGATGCTGATGCGCCATGTTCATCTTCATTTTGGTTCTTTTCTATCTTGGAATCTTGGTTTTTATTCTCGCTTTCTTTGGACATATGTGTAAAATTGATTTTATTGAAGTTTTGTATTTGTTTCAAGTTGTTTTTCAGCCAGACGTTGTTGTTCGAGAAGCTCGGCTTCAGTTTGTCGTAAGGCCAATGCTGCTTCAAGACGTTCTTTACCTCGTCGACGAATATCAGGTAAATATTCAGTTTTGGCTTTATATAATTGATGACCGAGACCACACAGAGCAACACAAGTAGTACCAATAAGAAATGATGCTGCTATACGATGTGCTCGATTATAAGTAGCTGTACGACCTTGGATGCGAAATAAACGTCCTAACATTTGAACAGGCTGTTGTTAAACATTGAAATTTCTCAAGAAATATCAATAATCCAAATCATGGTAAAACTTGGATAGAAACTATGTATTTATTACAATACTGCTATCTTATTTTTCTTTCTAAAAATTTTGTATTAAAATAATTTTAAATATAACAATAAACTAGGATAAAAGATTAGTCCGTAATTAAAGTTAATGAAGATATTTTCGTCTATAGATGACAGGAGATGAATCCTTTTTTGATAGAAGATGATTCATCAAGTATCAGTGATTGAATATATTAACTGACTGATTCAGTTCAACATCATAACCAGATTATTTTTCACAGATATGACGACTAGTATATTATTCGATATGATAGAAGTAATGCTGATTGATACGTTGGATTATATTTTGATTAGCATTCTCTTTTGAAATTCTTTTAGTTAAATTCTAAACTTGATGAACTAAGTCGATTGAAAGAATCGGAATATGAAACAAATAAAACAGTGACTATCTTCCAATATTTTGATAAAATCTATACATCGTGTTATGGTACAACAAATTTTCCAAAGTTAATGGATACATTAATTCAAAAGAAATATACAAGTATGAGAAAGTTGTTTTTTTTTCTATTCCTGTATTTTGTTTTTGTTCTATCTACTTTCGTTAGAATTATGTTATCCAATATTTAAACATATCCATACGAATGTATTCAAAACTGAAACATGCTGGCATATTACTTATTATTTACTTCACTCTTTGTGGAATTATACAGACAAAACAAATCCAATGTGTTTTGTATGTATCGGACAAATTGGCAGCTTTCACTAGTGTCTCAAGATCACTACTATTTGAGAGATTAAAACGTTGAAATAGAAATCGAGTTCTTTTAAGATCACCAATTGCATTCAAATACTTATTAAATGTTTCAAAAACCGGTTTATATCCTTTTTTTTCTAGGCTGTTATTGATGCACAATTTCTTTCAATGTTTATTCCTAATTTAAATAATGAAATTTATTTAAAATATTTTTCTTCCAATGATGTTTGTTCACTTCAATAGAGTTTTTTCAGTAAAAGTAATTGTTTTTCTTGTTTAGGCCATAAAAAAATTATTTGAAATGATTGTTTCAATTATGCATAATATAGCACAAGTATCAGATTTAGTTGATGAGTTGAGACGAAGTTCATGTATTGAGGTATGTTAATAAAAAAAGAAATTTTTTGAAGTTTTAATGTTGCTTTTGTTTTTTCTAAAAATAGGCTTTAACTCGTGTAGTTCAAACCGTTGCATCATGCAGTGTTTTTCTTAAAGGAATATCTTATTTGACTCTAGCATATATAATTCGTGAAGATGAACGTGCTCATTTAGCAAATTCAAATGGTAGGTTTTCTCATCATTTTACCGACAGTTTTCTTTTTCAATTTTTTTTTCGTTACTATTAATTAGAATCAATTCCTTATCTTGTTGGCCTTTTACATGAAGCAGTTAATACTTCAGATCGTCGTTCGCATGGATTAGATGCACGTGAATTATGTAAAGGTTTATCAAAATTATCTGTTGCTAATGATAATAAACATAAAGTAAGAAAGAGAGAGAAATATATTCGATGCGTTTTTTTTTATGATAATTTAGATTTTTTCTGAAACAAAATTAATTGATAGTTTATTAAATATGCTTGAGCAACATACAAATAGTCAAGAACAAATATCTGCTTGTACACTTATTTGGAATTTATGTTTTGATCAAAATGTTCGAAAAGCTTACAATAATCAACAAAAGTTAAATCAAATTTTAACAACCATTGCGCAAACATCATCAAATGATGAATTGAGACGAACAGCATCCGGTTGTTTATGCACATTAATGGGTGGTCCAACTGCAACCGCAAAAGCGTCATCCTCATCATCATCATCATCAGCGGGAAATAAAACTATTATGATTTCATATAATCATGATGTTCAACAACTATCAAAGCAAATCAAAGACCAATTAGCTGCTGATGGATATGATGTTTGGAGTGAGAAAGACAAATAAAATTTAGAATATTCAGCTAATTTTTTATTCTGATCTATTTAGTTGATGTTGAAAGTATGCACGGAAATATACTTGATGCCATGTCAGATGCTATTGAAAGTTCAACAATTTTTCTCATGTGTTTAACTGAAAAATATAAAGATTCACCAAGTTGTCGATTAGGTATGTACAAAATATATACATCGGAAATATTTCGGTTTTGATTTTGTAAAATATGATTTGAAAGCAATTTAATTGTGAAAGAGATATTTTTTTGAACAATTTTTTTCAAATAGAATGTGAATATGCATATCAACGAAAGAAACATATTATTCCACTTCTTCTTCAAGCAAATTATAAACCTGAGTAAGATAAATTTAATTAGAAAATTTTCAATTAGAAATAAAATTTTCTTTAGCGGTTGGCTTGGTATTATTCTTGGTAGTAAATTGTATATAAATTATGCAAAAAAACCATTTGAAGCAGCTTATTCAGAAACACTTGGTGAGCTACAAGCAACAATGAATCCAACAGAAAGAAAACCAACAGTATCGCCAGTGAAAAAACGTATATTTCATCTAACTAAATCTTATTGGTGTTTTTGTTAACAATATCTTGATTATTAGATGCTCCTCCACCTCAACAATCATCAACAATAATCGATACAACAACTACACGAACAAGTCCTTCCCAAGGTGCCTTAGCTCATTTGATGTCACAATTTCGAATAGATAAGCAATCGGAAACGATGTCAATCTCATTAGCAAATTTAGAAAAATTGTCGATTACAGATACACAACGTTTATTAGCTGAAAATGGATTAGAAAAGTAAGATTAAATGTTTTAAATAGTTATTCATCTTTATGTTTCTTGTTTCTGATTAGATTTATGCCAATTTTTTTGGATGTTGATGGTGTTAAATTAATCAAATTATTCGAAATTAAAAATAAGGTGAAAATGATAAAGATTTTTTGTACTTCTTCTGCATTTAAAATATTCCTCTAGGCACCTCAATGTTATTATATGTTAATTAAAGATCAATGGGATCTAATGAATCAAGTCAAAGAACGCAGGTATTTTTTGGAATACAATTATTTATATTTCGAGAAACAAAGAGAATTCTCTTGTCTATCTAGTCGAGATTCATCATCTCCTCCGGCACGAACATCTAGTGCAGCTACATCGATGGCTCAATATCTTCAATTGACAATAGCTCTTGACAAATTAGCCGATCGATTTGCAATCAACTAATTGATAAATATAAAATTTTAGTCGTACATTCTTCTCAGACATTAATTCTCGAAAATAATCAAATGAACCATTGCTCTAATCTCCTGTTTTTTGTTTTCGTTTTTTCTCTATTTATCGTTGTTTGTTTAACTGAACCTGTCATTTATAGTGATTTGTTGTTTGTGCATTAAGCTTTATGTTTATGTAACATAATATGATTTGAACGAATGATTAACACGAAAATACATCTTGATGTTATAGCTGTTGTTATGGTAAAAAGTAAAAAACAAATCCTGAAACATTTATTACAATTAGTTTACACCGTATCATCAAAGCTAAGCAATGACTCGGTGTTAAAATTCTTAAACTATCTAATGAGTACAGATAGTTCAAGGGAGTACTTCAAAGTTTTACTGAGTTATTCTAATCTATAAAGACCTACTATATACAAGAGTGAAATCGTTTCTGTTGTTTTACTTTTACGGATATAATGAGAACAATCATAGTTGAGACTAATGTACTTATGTCTAAGGGTGATTCATATCAAATCATATTTTTCATAAAGAAATATGATTTTCTACTAAATAAATGATTCACATTGAAACTGATGACATAATTCTTCTTTCAATGATTGGAAATATCTAGATGTTGGCTTGTATTGAATTTATTTGGAAATGAAAATCGTCGATTTATCACTCAAATAATAATCATTTGAATAAATGAAACTATCAAAATAAGAAAAAGTTCGATAAATAAATTTAGTAAATTTCGAAGGTATATGTTTTTCCCTTTTCTATAAAAATCATTGAATAAAGAAATAGAAAAATGATTTTACTTTAAATAATTTTCAAAATCATGATTAAAGAAGATGGATTATATTTGTATATGACAAAAATAAGGAAAACGTGACTCACACACACACACACACACACACATAGAATTGAAATTTAAGCGAAGAAACAACAAAAAAGATATTTTTAGTATTACATTAATTATTTTTTTGATTGATACATTTACACACAACACCCACATCGAATAAAATATAAATCCATGAACAATAGATAGATTGAGATCACCGTACAAAATTTTCACTAACCGAAAACCTCATTGTATCAAGAAATCCTTTTTTTGTTTTGTTTTGTTTTGTTTACGCAAACTATATCTCATTGATCAGTTCTATTTATTGTTTATTATCATCAAGTTCGCCTTCATCTGAATTGACCGTTTCTAAAATACTGACTGTACGTGCTAAATAGCGTTCACTTGATGATCGACTTGCATGATTTCCTGAATCACTTTGTATCCGTTTTCTTCCTCGTGGTGTTACTAACGATGTTTGTCGAGACAGTTGTGAAGCAGTTCGTTTTGGATAATGTAGTTTAGCATCAGATACCATACGAACAAACATTGGGCGTGGACGTTTATCTTTCAATGAATTTGATATTGGTTTTTCAAACGTTACACGATGGTGGGGTGTCATTGTTGTTATGGTATTTGCCTAAAATACAAAACGATTCGTTCTTCCTGTGAAACACTATAGAATAGAATTATCAGAGGGTAGAGAGAGACAGACAGACAGAACGTTTAGATTCCAAAATTGAGATAGGTTTTCATTATGTGCAATCATATATTCTATATGAACAACGTTTTGTTCTAACATCTGAATTACTGCATTTTAAAATCCCTAAATAGTATCATTTCTCTGCAACTATCAATAACTACTCTATATAGTGTTCGTTCGTTTAAATTCTCTTGATAGTGCTCTAATCATTTTCTTTATTTTGATTTTTTCCTTTACTCGAATTTTAGTTTTCGGATAAACATTTCGAGCAGTTGGTATCTCTGGCAATATGTTTGGATTCGTTATTTCTTCTAATACACATGGATTTTGTTCAACATTAGTAGTAGAAGTTTGTTTAGCAGTTGATTCAATTGAATCAGCTGATGATGATTGCCGTCTACTACGTTGAGCACGATATTCAATAATAACACTATCGGCATGTTCTTGGATAATATGAAATGCAATACGCATATCATCATCAGTTGCATGTTTAGCACAAACAGCAAAACGTATTATATATAAATCATTAACCATTGATGGAACCATATGTATAAGACCAGAATCATTAAGCGATAAAAGTAATGCTTGATTCAATTTATTACTACCCTAATAATAGAATAAAACAAAACTTTTCTTCCAAAACAAAAACAGCAGCACTATTTTACTTACAGTTAAACGAAAACAAACAAGACCTAATGTAACATTTCCAATAATTTCAAAGCGAATATCTGTTCTTATCAATAGCTCAAATACTTTGGCTAAACGACAATGCTAAATAAGACAAAAAAAAGCAAAAGAAAAGAACTTTTTCTTGATGAAATCAATAGAATACTTCTCGAATATAAAAACGAAGTCCTTCAATGCCATAACTTCGAATTGTAAACCAAAGTTTAAGCGCACGAAATCGACGACTTAAAGCAACACCCCAATGCTAAAATAATTTTAAAAACAAAAAAATCATCAAATTGAACAGTAAGTTATTTATTTACACGATAATCAACAGCTTGTTGAGCATGTTTATGTTGAAGATAAAGAGGATCGACAGACATTGCGTTGATTAACGCAAATTTATCTCGAACCCTAAAATCATTAAAATATTCTTAACTATATAAAATATTTCCTAAAAATCTACCAAAAACATGAACAATCAAAATTCATTAATAGCCATTTATTTGGATTCGTATTAAATGAATCCGCAAACTAAATAAATGAAGAAAAACAAACCAAACTAATTCTTTTATTTCTTTGAAAATCTTACTTGTAATCCTTTCATTATATATCGATATTCTTCACAGATCAAAGCACTACCAGCATAGGCACCATCAACATGAAACCAAAGGTCTTCACGTTGACATATTTCACCTATTTCTTCAAGATTATCATACGAGCAACAGGATGTTGTGCCTAATGTACCTGATACCTAGAACGAAAATTTAAATAAATATCTATAAAGAATGTTCTCTTCTAACCAAAAATGGTATTAAACCATTTTCTTTATCGGCTCGAATCCATTCATCAAGTGTTTCGCCACGTAATGAAAAATTTTCATCGACAGGCAAGTCACGAACACGAACCATTGCAATTAATCCAGCTTTTTCCACGCATGAATGTGCCTACAATATAAATCAATAATCTCATTTTAAAATCGTATTTGTAAAAGCAAATCATACAAGTTTTGATGTATAGCAAACAAGTTTAGCTAAGATTTGTCCATCTTCTATCAAAGGATCAGCAAGACGTTTGCTAGTAATTTTCTTTGTTCGAGCAGCTAACATGGCAACAAGAATACATTCACTTGCTGAGCCCTATTAGATGAAGAAAACATATAAACATATCGATCTCCTTGTAAAATAAAATCATATGGTATTTACAAGAAGAACACCACCACCAATATGTCGACTTTGTTTCCGTTCATGATTATTATCTCCATTACTGATCGAATCGCGTAAATGATCGTCACTTGATTCGTCATCATCATCGTCATCATCATCATCGCTGCCAGAAAGTGATACGTCATCATTATCATTCTTTTTGTGATCACACTTCGGATCAAATGGAAGAAAAGCAACTGGTAAAGCTATCATACGACCTAAATAAATATTAAAATTACGATAGAAATTTTCAAAAGTAATATAATGGTAAACTATTTCAAAACGAAATTCTTTTAAACGTATCTTAATATTAAAATAAACGATATTAAATTTCTAATTTATCAAAATAAAAACGGTTCAACTGATTGGTTTTTCTACGTATTTTTTTAGATTAAGCATATCAATATAAAAATTCCGTCAGATGATAGAATTTTCTCGTTATATTTTGCAAGACAAACAAAAACTTTTCTTCATACCAATCCAATCCAGCATAATTGTTTCAAGTTCCGTACATGCTGGACTAGCTGCCCACGAAAAGCCAACAATACCAAGGCCAGCTGAAAGCATTTCACCAAGAATCGATGGATAACTATTTCCAGCAGGAAAATAAGCATGAAAACGTGGATGTTGCCAGTGTGTTATACCAGGCATAATGGCTCGTTCAACATCACTCATTATATCTTCCCATTTTTCACTTTGTTTTGGTGCATTCTTGGGTAACAATGGTCGCAAATAACCTGGCTCGACTTCAGGTGTTACACGACGATCACTAGATATTGGTTTGCAGGACATTTTTATTTCGAATTTTGAACAAACTCATTTACCTTATATGAAGAAGATAATCAGCGATGTAGTCGATCATTTCTTTACCACGACGACGAAATTCAGCATCATCCATTCCAGGAATAGAAGATGTTGTTTCATGACGATATTGAAGAGAATTCGATGCATGATTGGGTGGCTCATCTTTACTGTGTACTTCAGCAGCACTACAGAGAGAGAGAATAAAGAAATCGATACATGAAATTGATAAAAGCAAAAACAACAAGAAGGTCAATTTTTTATATTTTAATTAAATCTACCGTTTTCTCACAAAACATCGCCGTTTTAATAGCGATGAATGAGAGTTTATATCTTGAGAACTTTGGCAGGGAATAAGAAGTGTTTGATTAATAGATGATACTTGTGTAACTTCAATCATATTGTTTATTCTGCTATGCGCAACAAAGGAAATGGTTTTCTCTTTTTTGATAATTGATTCATTCTTTGATCAAGAGCAGATTGTGCAAATTTCTCCCTCTTTTTCTCTTCTCTCTTTCTTACATATACAGATCATTAGGTGAATTCCAGTTCGAAAGCCATCCATATGATAAAAAGTTAGCAAATAAAAATTTTCAAAGAATGTCCTTACATTGATTGCTCAAGTATATTGAGTGCTGTTGTGTTTTGAGTGTCAAATGAAGTAGGTTGAGATGATACAGAATTTTGTTCAGTTTTAATTGATATTTGACGAGTAACACGAGAAGTATTGTGATATCGATTAGGGTTATGCAAAATTTTCGTTTGTGTTGTTGATGATGGAATCAATCGATCAAAAAATGTTGAAATCGGAAGTGATCCACTCATTTCAGGTGTAGATGATATCGTATTTGTGGAAGCTGATGTTGATGGATTTGAATGAAATAGATTAGTTAACTTATGATATATAGTTCCTATACCTTTATCCATAATTTATCGCTTTCTTTGTGTTTTGTAATAATGTTTAGTAGATGAAGAAATGAATCAATCCAGTGATGGTTGGATTTCTTCGTTTTTCTCGTTATTTTTCTCGTTTCCTATAGTTGTTCATCAAACATTGAGACTCGCAATAGCTGTTTCTCATTTTCTTTTTTCTCTCTATTCCCTTATTTTATGCTTTCATATATATATATATATATATATACTTGAATGCTTCTTTCTCCTGACAACAATAAAATGATAACATATTGGCATTATGCGACAGAAATACAAAACTGGGGGAGAAAATCGATTAAAATCCGTGCCAATTTTTCTTTTCATGCTATTTTTTTCTGATTACACAGTACCATAAGTGTATGAAGAAAAATTGTATGATAGAATAACACGTCGAATGATGATTTACAATCGTGATTGGTGTAAAAAAAGAGAAAATGACACTTGCTCATCATGCTTTCCAACAGAAAAAAATAGTAATAAATTTGGTTTTCCCTCTTTTTTTATGAATTTAGGGCCCACTAAACGACGTAATACCATGTAAATAGACAAACTCTATGCAGCACACATAACGAATAATATTAGATCGGAAGTTTTTCTTTATTTGTCCAATAATTTCTACGCCCACGGTATGCCATGAAAGTTCTACTTATTCTTATTATCAATGTAGTTTACTATTACCACTGCTACTACTACTACTACTACTGTTAGCACATTTATCCTCTAGTTATTGCTGCTTAAAAAGAATAACTTCCTCTATGTATGTTGTCTAGTGCGGAAATAACTTGTTCAATCGATTAAAAGGTATTCTATCGAAATAAAAAGTAAAGATGCCAATCAAATATTATTCTTTGCTAATGTATTCAAAAAGAAAATTTCTGAATAACAAGCAAAATTTTATGTTTCACATGCACAGATTTATATTTATATTCGTGTAGATGAGAAATATACTAATTTACACTAACATTTGGTTGAATAAAAGTTCCATACTATTGTGTGTGTCATCATCGTTCTGAAAATGTTGAATTTCATTGCAAAAAAAGATACTAACTAATTTACTATTCTTTTTCTTTCATGGAAGAAAAAGTATGGATTACAGTCAAATTTTATCTTGTGACTAGTGTTATTGATGATACGATGTTCAAGATTCTACAGAGAAAATTAAACTTTTCCATCAAAGTATACTAGTTGAAAAAAAATGTGAAGTCCTAGAAACTAGCTGAAACAATAAGGTTCTTTTAAAACAATTTAATTTTCATTCATTATCAATAAAAACAATTCTTGTACAATAACGTCGGACACTTAATTAATGCTTTTTTCTCGTGAATAGTCTCATATTTATCTACTGTTTTTTACTGATTGAATCATTTGATTATTCACATGACTACTGACGTCATGTCATGCATACAGTAATTTGCATGAATTCTTATCTCTCATATAAACAAACTATCGGAAGACGTATCTTGTCAAGTTTCTTAAATAGATGCTTGTCGAGTACTCGACCAGACATGAACAGACATGTATCTGTATCTTTAAATATGCCCGATCATCATAAAGATGCTTTAGTTAGCAGAAAATATCTCAACAAGTCCTCCTTTTTTTAGGATGTGGATGTCTGATGAAAATATTCATCGACATGTTCAAATGCAAGGTTTCTAGCATTCTTTATTCTTTTTCTTTCACGCTACGAGAATAATACATGTTCTTTTGTTGTCGATACACAAATGTACGCATACTAGTAGTAGCGTGAATGGCACATCTAGTTTTCGGCTTGCCAAACGTAACGTTGTGACATTTTGACAAATTGTTTTGCAATTATGTCGAAAGGCATAATAGCTAATAAGATCGTTCAAACGACATTCGACGCAGTTTATCATACTCTATTTATGTTGAAAGAATGACTTAGTTTGACTGAACTCGCGCGCTTCTAGAAACGTTTTTTTCATCGCGTAACACTGTGACAAAAAAGGACCCTTTTTTTCTAGGGCTGCTTATAAAGCTCTAATTTTTTGACAAACCATTTTTTCAAGTGAAATGCTATAGTACCAGTTTTGTAGAGAATTGAATGGGCTTTCAAGCAGTAAAAAATATTTTTTCTAAACTATTTTCGCTCAGATTAAAAATGCAAAAAACAAACGTAACGCTACGACATGTTTTGCTGTCGATCAAATTTGAAGCACTTCACATGCTTAAAAATATTTAATGTTTATATATATTGATCACTGCCCTGAATATATCCTTCTGTAAAAAAGAACTCGAGTTGCTAGATCGAAATAACAGCTCAATAATTGTATAGTAAGTTAGAAATTGTACAAGAGCTTAAAAGTTGTCTTGAAGAATGAGAGTAAAGACATTAATAAGCCATTTTGTAGAGAATCAAATTCTGCGTCGAATGGTATATTACTCCACATTTTATTTTAAATTTCTTGGTTAGAAAATTGAAAATACAGTTTTTAATAACTTTAAAACCCGACTTTCGATGCCAAAACCCAATTTGTTTTAAGAAAAAAAGTGCAAACTCACAATCAGCGTAAAGAACTGTACCAAAAAAAATACGCTTAGATCTCTATATCGAAAAAAAAACAATTTTAAAACTTGAGCAGCGAAGTAACGCGTTACGTGGACAAGCCGTTTTAGTAAAATCAAATTAAATTTTCTAGAAACAAGGAAATAATCGATAATATTTAATGTCATTATATATGTAGATACACTTGATGAAAACGAATTTCATAAGAAAAGGATGAGCCAGTCCTGTAATGAAAATGAAAAAGAATAATCCAAGAAATGGTAAACCACTTGAACATCGAGTTCACTCATCAATCCCTAATATAACTGATATTTTGAAGGCAATTAGCACTGTTACCACAATTTCAACGCTTCTATTATCTTTGCTCGACACCCACGTCTTGATTTTTAGGAGTGATGCACGTTTTCAGAATATATATAATTTTTTAATAAATGTCGTTATTTATTTAATGTGTACTCTCGTGCGACAATTACCATCAATCTTTTTGTGGTATCACAACGTGTTTTTATTCTACATATCGAAGTATGAATACTATATAAGGAGCACACTCATTTATTTCTGATACTTCAAATATTGAAAGATAAATACGTTAACCCATTACTTCTTTTCTTAAACTTAAGATAATCGAGTTTCATTGCACCTCATTGTAACATTTACCTTTCGATCGCTATTTTGGCTTACAAAAACTAAATGATGAAACAAGTAGAAAGATTCAACATCATCATTTATTATAGAAATCACGGAAGCCAATATTATCGAAGTTGGTAGAATCTTTCTCGTTTCGAATCATGAATGACTCAAAATAATTATTTCTCTCTATTTTTTTATGAACAAAAAAAAATAACATAACAGAACAAAATATATCTACGGAACATTTTTCAATATTACAAAAAATTTTATTCTTCTTGCGGAAAAGCATATATACTAAGATATTGTTTTATCCAAGTAAAAGTCGGTCGTTGACGTTTACTAGGAGAAAAAAATAAACGAAAAACAATTCAATTAAAATAAAATAATCGACATGCTGATTTCTTACTCATCATGCCAACATTTGAGTAGGAGACCATAAACAAATTCTGGACAATTAGTAGGCCGTTTTAAACGATTGCCAGCACGTAAAAATTTTAGCAATTTTTTTGATATAGGATCAAAGGATACGTCTAACATGGCTTCTAGTTCCTAATTGTCATCAGAATAAAATGAAGTAAAAGTTAATATTAAAGTATGATATTGATTTTACTTGTTTATAAGGTGTTTGCCCATATGATGTGGCTTCCCAAACAGTAATACCAAATGACCAAATATCAATTTGAGAATGAAATAAAGGTACTTCGAGAACTTCTGGTGGATACCACATTGATGGCAATCGACGATTTTGTCCAATCTAAAAAGATAAAACATGAGTTATTTTTCTGTGATTTATGAACAATTGAATTTTACTTGATAATAGTTATTTTCTCCAAGAACACGTGATAAACCAAAATCCGATATTTTACATATAGTTTTCGACATGATTAATATATTTCTTAGTGCTAAATCTCGATGAATTATATTCTTTTCATGTAAATAGTTCATTCCGTCACTAACTTGATACATATAATTAAGAATATAATTCATTCGAAACGTTCTAAAGTAATTTTTCAATCAAAAAAAGAAAAATAATAACTATTTGATTTCATCCAATAAAAATATTACTTATTTGATTTTAACCAAGTATTCATTGCACCATACGGACATAATTCAAGTACAAGTGATACAGTTGCTTCATGTTTACATAAGCCAAATATTTTAACAATGTAGGGATGATCTAGACTAAGCATGCGTTCGCCTTCATTGTATAGTTCTTGAACAAATGAACATTGTCTGTGTCTTAATTGTTTTATTGCAACATGTTGTAATTTATGGCTTCCTATTGCATTATTATTTTCATCATTTGCAATTAGTTTACCATTATAAACTTCACCGAATTGACCTTCACCTAAATAGTTTTTTTTTAAATTTGTTTTCATTCTTTGAGTGTGCTTTTTAAAAAAGAATCGAAACATCCTGTTTCTTCAAAATAGAAATGACTAACGTAGAAAACACATAATGAAAAATAATAACTAGTTCCTAGATCTATATTAATATTTTCATAGTTATGTTTGATCAAAAATAAAATAATTATGTCTATTGAATTACGTCATGCATTAGAAACGTCACATTGTCTGACAAAATTTATAAGAGCAATTCATTTCGATCATTTCATAGTCGACTTCCTCTTTACATACCTAGTTTTTCCCCCAGAATCAGATATTTTTCATCGATAAGAAATTTTCCCATTAGTGGTGATTTGGGATTATTATCCAAAGCAGATGGTGACTCCAAATTCGAGACACTATAATCAAATAATGATGAACTTGTTGAATCACTCGAGAGTGGTGATGTTGGAGATCCTAAATCGGTATCACTAGTTTTAGAGTCCAGATTTATATCGACTAAAAAATTAAAATAATCATGATTATATATATGTGGGTGTGTTTTAATGGAACTCTATATTGAAAAACCTTCTAAAAAGTTTTGAATTGGAGCAATTCGTACTGATCCTAAAAGTAGAAAATCAAATATTAAATACACCTGCGTAGTTCCATTTATTTACCACCAGGACGACTACATGGATATCGAAGAGGACAAGCAAGTTCTTGATGATTTCGATGGTAAAAATCAATTAACTATGTTTATAAATAATAGTAAATATTCATTTTTCTTGAATATAAACATACATACTTGAGCAATACTACCAAATCGATTGGCATGTGTCGATTTATTACCTGGTGTCACTTGAAAGTAATCATCGGATGTTTTTTGAATAATATAATGATGGTAATCTCGTTGAAAACATAAACTCAATGTATAACGTGCCGAAGACCGCTTGTCACTTGACTTTTCTCGTACACTAAATATTCAATGAAAGTCGATGACACACACAAAATAATCAGGTACCTACAGAAATAGACCAGTTTTTTGGCCGGCAGCTTTCAATCGAAGTTCTGCTTCCTGTCGAACAATACGAGAATGAAACCATAATTCATTTTCATGTAAAGTTCTTAAATTACAAAGAACAATGGAAGCTAAATTAAACATGATAGAAAAAAAGTAATAAACATACTTTAATACTCGTCGTTCATAGATATATCTTTTAGCCGTTAGTTTATCTTTAATTGCGATCTAGAAAAAACCTAGTTCTTGAGCAAAAAAAAGAAATTTGAAGTCTGGTTTTTTTTACTTCAGGATCGGTATTTGAAGCTTCTTGAAAAATTTTATTAATATACAATTCTGGATTCAACAATGGTAAACACCAAAATTGTACAAAATTATGATCCTTAAAAGCAAAAGGAAAATATTTCAAAAGAAAATGTACAAATTTAACATAGAAATCATACAAATGGTCGTTGACATGTTATAGATAATGTTGTAACAAGTGGATCAGCATTTTTTTGAAAATAACTGATTAATTCCATTGGCCCAGGAAACTGTTTTTGTTCAGAATTTCTCGATGACCTATGACTACCATGAGACTTGTTATCATTGTTTGAAAGAGACAATCTTTCTTGAGCTCGTGAACCATTTAGAACAACATTTCCATTGTCAAGTCGATCAATCCGGTAATGATAAAATCTTTTATAGGGAAGACAAGAAACAAAAAATTTGATCATTTCTTTTTCAAAATAAACGCTTCATCTGTTTGTTTTTCGTTACCGTTTTAAAAAGAATAATGTTATGGCATAGACACCAGCATCTTCATATTTTTCTCGTACAAGATAAAGACCATTTTTTAAACCTGATTGATCGAGAATTTCTTCTGCATCTTGTCGTGTTATTCGTCCCCAATAGAACGGCGCATCAAATAAATCCATATTCATACAATAAATATGTGTTGTGCTTTGTGTTATACTTTTATTTAGTCAAAGTGTTTTATTTTCGTTCGCTTGTCAAATCAGGCTCGAAACTAACCATTAACATATTTGTTTACTTTTCTTTTTTCTAATTGATCAAAACAGAATAGTCTATTAAAAATCAAACTAATTATATACCTGTTCCGGATGATTGCGTAGGGATATGCAGGAAAAAAAATACCAATAATATTTATATTTACATTGCTATGCAAGAAAAATCCAGTAATAGTTTGTCATATTTATTCTAAACTATGAAGCCATTATAATTAATTATAATAAATGTGTCTTGATTTGTCTGTACAACAAAATAAAAAGCAAATTTCTTTTACTTCTCGCGTATCTCTTCAATCAAATTATATATCGCAAGATTTTCGTTTTTTTTCTCTGCATACCAAAAATACAGTTACTCATTTCTCGTTAGGTAACATCGTAATAAATGTCAGATACATGACATAGGCTAACCAGTCAAAAATAATTTTGTTCACATCGCACTCCAGTAGAAAGTAAACTAAAAATACACATGAATTTTCTAGTGTAATTCATTATACGCCAAATTATTATTCAAATTATCGTTTATTGACAATATTTAATGAGAATCTTTGCAAGTATTTGCTTTTGTTCCGAGCTTGTATAGTGTGTACTTCGTTTTCTTCTTTTTTTCGTACGAAATATTTATTATCGAAACGCCAGATCAAACTAATTTGAAGCATCATCAATCAAATATAAGCATGATAAGTAGAAATTTATTTTCATGTGCCTTTTGTATGACACTAATCATTCTTATAGCTGCCTATTCATAGAAACATCCTCATTATAATATCTTTAAGACAGAACTTAAATAAATACATGAAGAAAAGAACAATTCCATTATGTTTTTGATCTGCTCGTTAAATATGATAGATAGATTTCAAACGAACTCGCCGTAATCTCAATATAAAAGACATTCTATTGCTCATAGAATTTAAAATAATCGAGCATTTTGACAAATACAATATTAGTTTCCTCGAGTTATATTGCTTAGAATTTCTTTTAATTTTATTTATCATGGTATGTATTTGAAATTATTCATGGTGTGCACATAGAAAATACACAGAATCAAATGAACGAAGATTCAATGAAAAGAAAAAATGAAATCTGATAATTTTAATTTACAATTAAATATTTCAATGAATCTGTAAATGAAAGTTTAAAATGTACAGCCAAAATAGAATCAAAAGAAAATTTTTAATAACAATAGTAACAATCAAGAAAGTAAAGAATATGCGAATTCCGTTTTTTTCTTTCGGTGAACTAAATGATAACAAACAAATTGTTGATGAGGTCTAACCAGAAAACAGAGAGAGAAAGCGAGAAAAAAAAGCGAAAATACAACAACAAGAGGCAAGAAATAAGTTCGAATCTTTGAAAAATACAAAAATAAAGAGCAGAAATAATAATAAAAATAGGAATGTTTTAGAGGTGTAAAGAAAACAGAAAAAAAAGCAGAATTTTATAATCACTGGGCGTAACAAAATACAAATGTATTGAGAATTGTGAAGAAAAAAAAAGAAGAATTATTGTTACGATGTGACAATGAATAATAACGATAATGATACCATCAGTAGAATTGTTTTTTTTCGTTTTACTAGGGAGGCTCAAATCGATAGGGTCGTTTACCAACCACTATCGCTTCTGTTGATGATATATCAGGACTTCGACATATACCTCCTTTATTAGTCTTTAAATGACGTACTCGATCCTAAATTTCAAAAAACAAGAGATATTTCAATTCAAAATAGATTAAGTAAAAAGAAAAATTCTAGCTTTAAGCAGATAAGATTTATGATCTGAATTTCAAAAAAAAAAGAAAATCATTTGAGCTAGCTGATTTATTAACCTAGAAACTCGAGCTTAGTTGATCAGCACATTTTCAGATGCCAATGGCGGTACATCAATGCTTTGAGTTGTATTTCTTCGCGATTGATTAATTAAACTATTTCGTCTTTGTTGCTGTCGCCTCAAGACATGCACTATTAGCCATAAAATGATTCCCGAATGGGATGATGTCTGACTTGGTATGTTTTCATCGGTACGTTGTAGCTGAAAACGAAGTATAACTTTCATTTCTTATTAAAACTGTTCGATCGTTTTATATTGGGCAAAAGAAAAAGAAAAACAAATAATTCAATAATCGAACTTACTCGAAGTAAAGTTGAAAAATAATCAAATTTAAATAACAGTATCGGCTCTTCATCAACATAACTATCTTTGGATCCACCTGGCCCATTCAATGAACATGCTGCCAAGCCACATGTCAGCACAAGAAATGAAACGCCATAGCAAAGCCAAAGAGTTGTATTATGATATTCTGGTATATTGAGATATTGTTCACAAACAATCCATAAACTTCTCCAAATTTGAACAACACTCAGAAATGCAATTAAATGAAATATATTTGATACAAACGTATGCAATAAGGGACGACGTAGTTTTAATAAACATTTTACAACAGGAACTTGTATCAGAGCAAGAATAAAAAATAAAACATAACCACTAACAAAAGATATTAACATAGAAAGTCGTCTATTATCAGGACATATATAGTTATCAGAAAGATTATATAAACCACGCCAGGCTATAGTTAATAATGGTGCTTCAACCAATTCATAATAGAAAAAATCAAAATGATATTGCAAAAAACGATTTGTCTAAAGAGAAAATAAAATACGAAAATAATTTATTTCAATTTTAATTACAATTCAAATAGTTGTATATCATTCAACGACTTACTGTAACAGTATATTTTGAATCAAGTAAAAAATAGCTGTCTGTGTCAATACCAATTAAAAATGGTGCTGAATTAAGATTATAGATGGATTTCATTAATAAAAGAAATGTAACACTAGCTCCCGTTTCAGCTAATAGATGATACCATTCGTTACTTGTCAAATCTAGCAAATTCCATAAGCCACGCCATTGATGAATATAAGCTAATGCAAGTATTAATGTATATAATCTAGTCATTATGACACCCAAAATATTATGTCGATTCTTTTCATAAAAATTCTGTATGCAATTTTGTGTTAAATACAATGTATAGAGCATTAAATAGCCGATACCTAATGAAATTAATGCACTTATAGTCGGATAATCAGGTAGTAAATGTATATCAAGTAGATCCCAAGCTCCACGCCAATGAATATTAACAAACGGTGTTATAATAAATGCAGATATTAGCATATCACTAACGTACAAGGTTATATGCGAACGACGATTTTGTACAAGTGAACCATTGGAACTAACTGATGATGATGATGATGATGATGATGATGATGACGATGATGTTGTTGATGATGCTGATGATACTATTCTTTCAACGTCATTATTTATCGGTGATGCATATATAGGTAATATTGTTTGATCTTGTTCAATAAGTGGTTGATCAATGCTTGTTTCACTTATCGATGTATTTAAATTTAAATATGCATTATATTGTGCAGTATCTAATGTTGTTGTTGATGTAGAAGGTTGAATAGCATAGGATAAATCATCAGTAATTTGAGAATCATTATCATTATTATTTATTTTTGCATTTGTATAGGGTGGAACGACGCCATTGATTGTTGTTATGGAATTAAAATATGATGATGAAGTAGGGAATTTATGATGATCATCAACATCATCTTCATCATCATCATCGGATGGCGTCGTAGATGATGATACTATCGAAGCTGAATCAGCTGAATTCAAACTAAATGAGAAAGTCAAGTCACTGGAATTATTGTTTAAAGTAAAATTTCAAGTACATACGTGTTTGTGATCCGTTCCATACAGCCAATAATATGAATACCAATAGGTATAGCTTGAGACAAAGCTGAATATGGCTGTCAAATAAAAATAAAATTATTTTCATTAATTGAAAACGTAAACATGTAAAATCTACTTAGGATATGTTCAGATAATAGTGAGCATTTCATGACTTTGTTTTTCCAATACGGTGAACCTAGCACTTAAAAGCATCAAATCTAAATCAAAAATTTCAGTAGGTTTTATTTAGAACAAAACAAAAGAAGTAAATTCATCAAATCTTACCACCTACGAACGTTGATTCTCTAACGATCGCCACTCTATTGCTTTATAAGGATCGTTCAAATAAAAGAAATTGCCAATAAATTAACTGATCTTTCTCTTTTGGACTCTTAAAATAATATTGTGTTCTTTTTTTGTTATATTTCACCACGGTTTATCTGAAGTAATTAAAGAATATGTATTATGTCACACGCACAGGTAAAGGTTTAAATGCTTTGTTTTATAATGGACATACAAAGAAATTTTTTTTTTATCTTACATAATACAAGCGTAAAAAAGGCACTGACGATTATTTAGGCAAAGAGAGTAAACCAAATGCTTTTTTAAATAAATCAAGCGAGAATAAAGTACACACATGCGTGCCTTCATAACCTTGCCAACTATGTGATGTCAAGAAAAATGAAGGCGATGAAGGCGAAAAAGAAAACAAAAGAAAAAAATATATATACGAGAATAAAATGAAACCGTTATAAATTGTCTCAGTAAACATAACAACGTGAAGAAAAGAAGAATAAACTTTTCTTTAAGAGTTACCAAATAAATTACAGGCGTTGTTTCTTTCTGCGTCTTACGAAGCAAAGCGGTAGAAAAAGTTTTGATAGACATTTGTTCGAATGTCGATCGATGTGCGTACAACAACGCATGAAGAATAATATAAGAGTAGCAATGAAAATGACGACGTCCAAAAAGAAGAACGAGAAAATAACGCATTTCTATTGGACTATTCTCAAAGTATATGCGTCTTATGATCTTGTAAGATAGCAAATACACATACATATATCTGCTCACTTCTGCGTTTGAGCAAATTTAACAAAAAGAAAAAAGGAAGAAAAAAGTACAAACAAATATATATACATATACATATAGACTAAGATAAACTTACATGAAAACACATTTCTGAAAATTTATTCATTTTTTAAATAAAGAACAGATAATGGCATGTGTTTTTTTTTATTATAAATGGTGTTTATGTTTATGTTGGTCCACCGCAAGAGGGTGTTATCATGCATTGATATAGATTAGTGATGAAAACTTGTTATTTTGAATCAGTCGCCGACAGTTGAAGTGTTTTAAAAAGTGTAAAGTTTTTATTTACTTTGTAAAGCATGAGCACGTGAAATAAAACTGACGTAAATAATTTTATCTAACATTGATAAATAGCAAATAATGAGATAACCACGACTAGTGACTAGTGATAAAAGTATTAGATGTTTTTCATTTGTTGACTTACTGTGAATATTTACAAAAGAGATGATGGTTTCTGGTCTTAAAAGTATTTTAAAAAGGTCAAAATTATATTTTTAAGAGCTTAACGTGTTCAACTATCTTAAATAAGTTACACTATATCCTTAGATAAGATCTAAAATGAGAAACTACTACGTTGAACATTGCATTCAACTGGCTTATTATTGAATTCATTAATAGGAGATTTTCGTCTTGACTCAAGGTCTTCGAAGGTTTTGTGGAGAACAATCATCAAAACAATTTATGAGACAGATAATAAACAATTACTTCCTTCGAAAGATTTTTTCTAAAACGGAGATGTGTGTTCATATTTCAATTTCTATTAGATCGGTGATTACATTGCTTTCAGAAATAGAAATTTCATAACGTATCAGTAAATTTTAAATACTTCATCATTTTGGGCAGTAACGATTAAATACGTTGTAAGATGAATGCGTGAAATTTCAGAAATTTTCTTTCGAAATATGAACGTCAACGCTTGATTGATAATGTTATCTTGATGGAAAAATCAACTTTTATCCATACTCAAATGGATTTCTATCAAAAAGAGATTTCGAAAATTTCAAGCATTTCCATTGTATATCAGTGAGTGAAATTTGTTAGCTTACTGGAAATTCCAGTACTGCCAAAATTTTTTATTCATACTGTCAAATGATTAACGTGTTGATGGCGATTTCAGTCATTTAGTTTTATTAAGATCTACGTTTAAAAAAAAGGGTTTCATTGTACAAAATGGTTTCAAAATAAAATATTTAATTCCAATATGCGTGTATGATATACAAATATCAATTATTCTATATACACATTGTACTTAATTTTATACAATACTTATAGTAGAATATACCTAGGAAAATGTAATTTTCTTAGTCCCAAATAAGTCCATATGAAATGCTATCATGCACGGTGGTTAATTCAAAATATAGGATATTAATGTGAATAATATCGACGAAGAACTTTACTAAGTGAGAACATGAAGAAATAGGAATGAATAGTGTATTTGTTTTGAATGCCAGAGGAAAGAATAGATGAACAAGAACAGTCGCTGAATTAGTTCATTGAAAGATATTGAATTTCAACTAGTATGGATCAATTTTGCTGAAGCAAAAGTATTTAACGCAATTAGTCAGAGATTTTAGTTCCATTTGAATTTCTTCATGAATTATTGTAATAATTCATACCATTCAGTTTGAATACATGAACGACTAAAAAGAATTTAAATCCAATATATACATTTCTATAGATTGATAGAATCATATCATAGAATATTTCATACGACGAAACGGATATACCACAGAATACAAAAGATAAAGAAAATTATCAGAGATTTTTGGCATTGCCTTGCAAAGATTATGTTGATTCAAAGAATCCCTTGTGAATATTATCAATATCTATGCAATCTCCAGTGTTTGCAAATAGTAAATCAACAATCAGAATATATTGATACGCGAGATGCTACTTTTAAAATTTCTCCAAAAACCAATTAGAAAACTTTGTAACAATATGCACTTGTTCTTCATAGTCTAACAAATTATCATAAAATCAAAGGTACACTTGGTTGAGTCTCGAATATTATCGATAGTATGAAAGATGAATGGTATTTTATGTTTAAATCAATCTGCTGTTTAGTTGCAATGTCATTGCTGCGTTTATTTTTTTTGTTGAAAATCTTTCGATTACTTCATGAAATTACAATACTATTAACAGAGTGAGCATTGAATTTTGTTAAAATCGTCGAACAGTGTGGGTTTGACTCGATAATTTTATCGAGAGCTGTTCAGTCATGACCTGTGACAATGTTGTCAGTTGTTATCATTCAATTTATTTCAACATAGAAAAAAATATTAAAAGATTTCACGAATAGTAAAATGGTCTTAACGAATATGTTGTCGTTATCGATAAAGTATACTACATTAGACTCCTACCAAGCATCTATTTGTGCCTTGCAAAGATGAAACCGCTAGTTAATGTCTATCACGCTAAATTTTATTTAAAAATGCACTCAACTATATATAACATTTACGATGATGATGATGTAAACACCTGGTCCAACGTAAATTTATGCGGAATTGGTGTTTGCAAGTACTGCTATCATGATATTCATGATCCAATAACTTTCATAGTTAGAACCTTGAACAAAATAAACCGCTTGAATAGCTGATGTAACTAATAAAAAAGTAAAGTAATGGTCGTATAAAATTTATTATTAAATGTTTCGTTACACTATACCCCACTGAAATATGTTTCACTGGAGATTATTTTAGATTCAAAATAGAAAACAGAAAATATCATATATGCTAATAGTACTTCATATTACATATTTTTGTAGTTTTGTTTTTAGAGAAAAAGGTTCTAAGAAATTTTAAGAACATAATATAAAGAAATAAAAAGATCTTTCGCCAATGAAATTTCCCATCACTAAACATTGGAATACTAGACGATATAGAATTGCAGTTGATTCCTATGAAATGCAATACAATTAAAAGATTCTTTCAAATCAATCATATTTTATTTTCATAATAAGAAGTTCAACAAGTAAATTTCATGTAATCTAGAATGTTAAAACAAAACAATTGGTTTATTAGACATCTTTACGATAATAATTTATCAATTTGAGAAGTTTGTACTACTAGTGAAATATTAATAGATATTTCAGTTGAAATAAATTAATCAACGTAATCAACACACTTATGTATAATATCTCAATCAGCGGCATGAATAAAAACAAAAAGAATATTCTAGAGTCTAGACTTTAGTTACTATTAATATGTTTATAAAAATTCTTGCCAAGCATTTTAATAATAAATTAGAATTGGCATATTTTAAGGATATCTCTGCGTGTTTTTTCTCTCTTCTTTTCATTCAACGACCTGATGCATCATCATCATTGATAGAATTATATCTATCGCCATTTGTGTTTCTTGTTCGTAGCTTTTACCGACAATATTTCTCCATTTACTTTCTTCCGCTATGTTGATAGGAAAAAACACATGAATGATTCAGTTCTTCAAATTTAATAGAAGTAAAAAGAAGAAGCTTGGAAAGATTACTCATAGAATCTATTTGTTTTCCTGTTTGAAAAAAAAGCAAATGAGCCGCGTCGGTTCATGCATTTATGCATATACGAAAAGTATAATATTAATATTTGATTTTTATCAAAATGTAAATGCATAGAAAAAAAGACTAAAATCTTTAGAAAAAGAAAATAGTACTTAAGAAACAGCAGATTAAAAAATAAATAACTTCGTTCTTTTTTTCATCAAGTAGACAAAATATATATTTAAGAGGAAAGAAAAATGTGACGATTAAATTTTTTTTATGTAAGTTCAACTAATTTATTCAATAGTGAAAAGGAAAAATGTAATACTTTAAATAGACTTCTACCATTTATATAAGAATTGTGTTACGCTTTTTTCTTCTTTCATACTCTATATGTTCGACTTTGTTATCGATCACAGATGTTGGAAATTAGAAAGTATATATAATATTGGCAAATGTTCTTTTTTTGTTAGCTTTATTATTCAAATAATGGTTTGTTGTATAACATTGAAGAAAAGAGTAGAATATTTGGGGAAAAAATCTTCAAGTATTGGCATCGAATATAAAGAAAAAACCTATCTTTTTTTAAATAGTATCAATTTATATTCATATGAGTAATAAAAATAATATACTTTGACAGATAAATTTCGATTAAATAAATATCGTCTTGTATTAGATGTAGCTTCGATTTTTCTTCTTCTTCTTCTTTTTTTCTTATACTTACTTCCTATAACGATGATGATGATGATGAAGCGAGATGCTTCCGGTAGTAGACTCGAGTTTTTCTTTTTTCTTCGCCTTCATCTAGTTGTTTTGCTTGTCATCGGTTTGAACTCATACAGTCTTTTGAGAGCATTCATCTGTTTATGTGTTCAAGTGTTTAACGGCACAAATCTCTTTGATTATATACGTATGTCTGATTGACACATAATATGCTTTTTTTTAGTGAACGATCAGATCATTTTTGTTGAAAAACATTTATTTCTGTGTACGTGTATGCGCTTGCATTCACACATGCACGCACATAAATTGCTAGCTAAGCCTGCAAGAACCGTAAGAGCGGAAAAGAGAAAAAAAATAATGAAATGACAGACAGTCAGTGGTAGTAGTGTAGTAAGAAAAATATAAGAAGAGAATGAGCTCGTCGGTCGTTTGGTTTCTTTTTCATTACGTTTCTTCTTTTCGTCATTGCAAGGACCATTCGCACGGTTAACACCATGCCACCTCATCTATAATGTTTAGCGGCATATAGACGTCAAAGCATGACGAGTAAAACATAAGATGACAGAGAGAAAAAAAATGTATCCTTGTGACGTTATTGCCAGTAATGATATCGTGCGTGTTAGTATCGCCTTCACTCATCGATCTAATTCACATATCGATAGTAACGATGATACATACAAAAGAAAAATACTCATTTATTTCTATCTATCTAGTTTTTGTTTTCAAAACAAGACCTAGATATAGAACTGTTGGCGTGCACAATATCTAACAGTGACTATATTCATGTTGTTTTCCAAGAAAAATTTTCTTTTTGATTGTGCCCTGTTCTGTTACCCATTAACGAGAATATGCAAACCCTGGATATGCAGAACGGTGAGACGATCTCGACTCTATTTTTCCTCGCGGTTCCGTCAATCACCATCATCGAGCGCATAGGCGCTATCTATCCGTCTTTTTAACTGGCATACACATACATTTCTGTTCAACAACCGTCGTCAACGAAACAAAAAAAGAAGAACTAAAAAGAAGGAAGAAAGAGAGAATATTGTCGTTTCTAGAATACGCACACGTCTAAGAAAGAAACTGAAAACGATGCTATGCATGCATTTACACACGCTTAAAATTCGCTATTTTTAGCTACTCTATCCCTTTGGTCTATTGCTACCACCCGACGTGTGTTTCTTTTTTGCATTTATTCTTTGACAACAAGCAAGCGAACGAGCGCGCTGAAGATCCCACCCATTCAATGAGTTACTCGTCTCTTGCTATGGTACTAGGATTCTTTTTTTTTTCTTTTTTTTCTTTCTTTCTCTTTTGCTTATGTTCGCACTCAACATTTCTAGATCATCATCATCATCATCATCATCATCATCATCGCCATCATCATCATCACTATTATCAACGCTATTCTATTCGGATTTTTTTCTTCTGCTATTCTATACTTTACTATGTGAAATAGACAACGAGTCACAATCTCGAAAACATGCATCATTAGTTCGTCGATTGAATGATTGATCATCATCGTTCGTCGACACCACTATGGAATATAGCGGTATATTTCATAAATAACACATGGTAAGTATTATGTGAATAGATAGCTAGATAGATATTTTCTAACAATAGATAAAATATTTTTATCGTAGGCGACACTCTATTGTTGCTTTTCTTGGTCTTTGTTGATTAAATGTAATTTGAGGCACAATCGCTTTTTCTTTTCGTCAAATGAGTGACGTCAAAAGCATAAGAAAGTAAAATGTGCCAGTGAAATCATGTCAAATGATGACGTTGGCATACATAAAGTGATTCGGTCGTTTTGTATTATATTGCGTTGTTGTTGTTGTTGTTGCTCTTATACTTCTTTTCTTCGAATTAACTCATACAGCGTATCGCAGTTCAGTAAAGCTCAAGAATATGTCGTTGAGATGAACGTCATCATCATTATTTTCATTTTTCCAAGTGTCAATATCATTTTATCAATGAGAAAAACGGAAGAACCATATCAAAACATCAGTTGTAAATTTCATTTAGTCTCTAGTGATCATTCTCATGAGAAAAGAAAAATTCATATTTTGTTTTCTTTAAATAACACCTTTAGTATTCTTTTACTTTTGTTTTTATAGGTCATGTCGATAAATATCTACGATGAACACTACAAGCAGTCCACAACAACCGGTGCCATTATCATCCGATGGAATCCTCGTATCATTACCATCACCGCCAGTTTTCCCATTGGCAACACCATCACTTCTTACTCCTTCATTAATCACACGTTCAACTATTGTTGATCATCGACTAAAACCTCGCACAGCTGGTGTTGATATTGATACAAATAAATTATCAACAACAATAAAACGTTCTCAAGCTATATCAAATATTCAAGATTTAGACGAAAATAGTCCGGTGACATTCGAAATTGAACCCAATGAGCATCTTCATTTACGTAAAAAAGTTCAATTACAAACGAATTCTATATCAATAAGTAATCGGACAATAAATGAATCAATATCATCTATTGATCAACAACAAACAAATAGTAGTGGCTGTGGTGATGAATCTGACGCACGTTCTGAATCCAGTGAAAAACCACCTGAATATCTTGAAGAAGAAAAACCAATTTTAACTGGTATACATGTCAAAGGAGCTACGCTTAATCGATTGATTCGCGTATTAATCGATTCATTTCGTGAGTTATATATAATACATATTTTCTTATTGTTATTTGTTTCTATGATTGACTTTGTTAATTTAATTAGAATCAAATGGGACAGTGATTGATGATAGCGAATATCCCAAAGTGTTTTTTCTTATGCATAAATGGATAATGGAATCCGAATATTTAAGTAATATGTTATATGATTTATATAGACATTCAAGTGATGATTATAAGAAAGCAATGAATGCTAATGACAAGCGCTTTAGTAAAGATTATCAATTGCGCATTTGTCATGCTTATAAGTATGTTTATTGGAATAATGAATAAGTGAAGAATAATCAGAGAAAATATTGATTCATTTTGCCAGCCATTTCAAGTAGTCTGTATGAATTCCGAAACATAGAGTGCAAATCAGAATTTGTAGCGTTCACATGGGATTATTCGAAATTTTTTGTTGAACTTTTCGGATGATCGGCTATATTAACGTTCGATAGAAATCATACACGTTTTTGTTTTACTCAATTCATAGATTCTCAGTAGAGAAAATTATTAGTTACAAATGATTGTCAACTTATTCATCAATTGTATTCTATTTCATTGAGAAGTTTTTTCTTAATCTTTTATAAATTTTGAATCTCTATTCATAGACTCGATAAAACTCTAATTCTAATTGTATACTTCTGAAATTTCTACCGACTTTCTTAACATGCTGCAAAATGAATGAATATATTGTCTAATTAAATTTTGACCATTCGTATAAATTTCGTTTTTTTTTTGTTTTCCAATTTAGTTATTGGATGAAAAACTTTCCCATGCACTTCGATCTTGATAGAAACTTGAAAGAAACGTGTGCAAAAATTAAAAATCTCATTGAATCATCAGGCGATACTGAATATATGAAGCTAGTTGATCTTTCGCAAATGTATGTTTATTTTGTTGATTTATTGAAGAAGAAAATAAATGTTTCCAATTTTTAGACCATCATTTGATTGGATGCGTCAAATGACTGTAAGAAATCAAATGAAAAATAAAACTGTTTCCCTTGGTTTCAATAATATTGAACCTCAAACATTGGCAGCCCAATTAACATATTTAGAATGGAAAATTTTACGGCGAATTACATTCACAGACTATAAAGCATATGCTATTAAAAATACTTTACAAGATAATCCACGTCTTGAACGTTCAATACAATTTTTCAATGGTTTATCAACATGGATACAATGTATGGTTTTAAGTAAAATGACACCAAAACAGCGTGCTGAAATTATACATAAATTCCTTGATGTGGCTAAAGTAAAGAACCATAGAGTCACCTAGTGGATTTATTTTCTCAAATAATTCGTTTCTATTTAGTATTTAAGAGAATTACAAAATTTTAATACATGTTTAGCTGTTATTGGTGGAATATCTCATAGTGCATTAGCTCGTTTGTCAAAAACAATGATGTGTTTATCCCCTGAAGATATTAAAGTAGACTATTCTGAAATGGATTAATATTGAAGAAATTACATTGTACTTTTTTTAAATTTAGCTTTTAACCGAAATGACAGATTTATTATCTTCAAATTCAAATTATGCTCAATATAGAAAAAATTTATCTGAATGTGAAGGTTTTAAAATACCGATAATGTAGGTTGAAATTTTCTTATTGAAAAAGAAAATGGATTTGTTCTTTTTCGTTTATAGTGGAGTACATTTAAAAGATATAATTTCTCTTCATGTTGCATTACAAGATCGTCTGGAATATGATTTGATTAATTTTCGTAAATTAGTTCAATTGAGTATTACATTTCGAACATTGAATAATTTACAAGAATCTGTACCGCCGGTACAACCAAATCATGATCTCATTAATTTACTTACAGTAAGATATTTTTTAAACACATTAATGTGAATAATATTTGTTTTTTCTCTGCTTTTTAGCTTTCATTAGATTTGAGTTATACAGAAGATGAAATCTACGAACTTTCCTTAGCAAGAGAACCTCGATCATCGGTTTCATCGGTTTCATCGGTATGAAAAAAGAAAAAAACTTATAAAGATATTGTTCGGCATGATTCATTACTGTATAGCTATATATTTCAGTATTTAGCATAGATTTTTGTTTTCAAAATAAACCCAAAAAGGACGTACGGCAATAGATTATCGTTTGTAGAGTTACAATAGGTTCATTAGGTTTTGATCAAGGAATGAAATGTTGCAAGAGAAAACTTAAATAAAGCACATTTGACTTCAAATGAGATTCGAGAGTAAATCCCGTGATTCATAGAATATTCTAAGAATTTTATTTAACACAATAATAGTTCTCTTCTTGACATATTCAGTGTTGAAACAGGGTGAAAGTGACATTACTTGAAATATTAATTTGACCTCACTAGACCAGAAAGTATAAGTATCAGCATCACAGAAGTCTATCCATGACTTTAATTGAATATTTGTAGATATTCTTTAATATCGTGAGACTTTCATTCAAGATGAATGTTCGGAACGAACAGCTCATATTCAATACTCCATCTAGTCATATATTTATAAGATCTAAATCAAGAAAAACTCTCGTAAATCTATAGAAAAACTTCCATTAATGTTATCATTACTACTGGAAATATTTCTGTGTGTTATACGTTCAAAATGTGAACTTAAAATCGATGAATTATTTTATTTTGCAAAAAAACCTATACAGAGCTCGTATTAACATACATGTCTATTTTTTAGCCGGATCAAACTTCACGAGCTTTACATCCTGGTGAAACAACAAGCGATTCCATGTCCGATACTTATAAGAAAAAAGAACAAGTTCAAAGTCCTGTATTTGCTGATTGGGCAGCTGGTGTAAGTCAAACAATTGATCTTCAAACAATTCAACGGCATGTCAATGCAATGGTTGAAGCAGTTTTTACCACTTACGATCATGATCGTGATGGTTATATATCACATACAGAGTTTGAAGAAATAGCACAAAATTTTCCATTTATTGATACATTTACTGTACTTGATGCTGATCAGTATGATTGAATTTAATTCTATTTTATTCGATAGAAATTGCGTTGTTTTGTCTTTTTTTCTTCTCCTAGAGATGGAATGATATCAAAAACAGAAATGCGTAGTTATTTTCTACGTGCTAAATATCATGATTTAAAAGGTGAATTTAAACATGACTTTCATGAGACAACCTATTTTAAACCAACATTTTGTGTTCATTGTACTGGACTTCTTTGGGGTCTAATTAAACAAGGTTGGAAATGTAAAGGTATGCTTGTCTATCTGTTTATTTTAATTCAATGAAATTTTCAAAAAACAAAAACACAATAATTTAGATTGTGGTATTAATGCTCATCGCCATTGTAAAGATCAAGTTGTAATGGAATGTCGACAAAAACGTCAGCATCCAGTTAATAAACAAGGTTCTGTCAGTGATTCACGTCCGAGTCGTAGTTCATTTCGTATACGTAAAACTCGTAAACAAAAGGCTACACAAACTGAAGACATTAATTTTTCATCGTCAACGTCATCACAGGGAACATCCGAAAGTTGTACAAGTTCATCCGATGAAGAACATCATACAATTAATAATGATAAATCAACACATCATCAGCAATGGCATTTACGTAAGCCATCCTCGTTAAAACATCGAAAAACCAATTTTTCGGATTCAAATGAGGAATATTATTATACACATCCACCATCACCATTACCACAACAACAACAGCAACAACAACAACAACAAATAGCAATAAATAATAACATACCGGGCAATGTTATTCCAATGGCACAACAATTGATACCTAGAGGACCATTGATATGTTCGGATAGTTTTGAAAAATGGAATGATCGTAGTTTTGGATGGAATCGTTCATTACCACAGTCAACTTTATTATCATCAGCACCCAGTACCTCAACTGGTACATCGGAATCAACAACAAGTATAACAACGACGACAACAACAGAGAGAGAAACTCATGAACAAGATAAATCGAAATCACGATCATTCTATGATCAAACACCATTTCTTGAACATAATGTTAGTGATGATTATGAAGACAATAATGGAAATCATTTTATAGAATCGAAGCAAAATGATACTCCACCATCGAAACATCGTTCGATAAAGACAACAATATGTAAAGATGTTGACTTATTGACATCGTCAGCATTTGATGACAATGGTGCAGATGCATGTGTTACAAATTTACAAACTATACAGTCAAAAATTAATTTTGGTAGTAGTGAAAATTTAAATACAAGAAAATTATCTTTAACGGAATCTTTACATTCATTACCAGCAAAGCCTGATCCAACACAAAATGAAATATTTGAAAGGTTAAGACAAGCTGAAGAAGTAAGAAAATCAGTTTCTTTTCTTTCTTTTTTTGACTCGAAAATATTAATGCAATTATATACCATGTAACTAGTAAATTCAGAAATAAATTAATAGATCGAAATTACAAAAGATATGAAATTTAAAAATAATATGTGTAGTTCTAATCACAAATTAATATTTATAATCTTGAAACTATGAATTATATTCTATGTTTTTAAAGACCTATATGTCTGTCTTGACTCATATGTACAATAGTCTATGGCATTCAGGTGTAAATTCAAGTGTTTTTTTCTCGAATACAAACTCATAAAACGTGCCCAAATTTATACTAAATCCAAATAGTCACTCGTTCAACACATCAACAATGACCAATGTTTAATTATCTATATAGATAGATAGCATGCAACGATTTCGCTTTGATCAGTAATAGTAGTCAAGTCGGATTTCATTTTTCACTAGCGTCAGGATTATGCTACTCAATTTTTCTAACTAATAAATAAATCATCTTCTTTATTTCTAGGAAAAGAAACGACTAGAGGTCGAAAATCGAGCCATGAAACAAGAACTTGTTCGAACCAAATCTAAAATTAGTTCATTAAGACGTGAAATGACTTCTATACAACAGTTACATCTTGCACAACAGCAACAACAACACGTTCAAGGACTGCTATCAGCACCAACAATTTTATTAAATCGACAAAAGCTTGAACAGCACCATCATCATTCGTCATGTCAACCTCAACCTCATCCTCAATCATTGATATTTACATATAAAACAGAGAATTGTGATCCAACCAATTCTTGTCATGATTATCATAAAAAGAACCTTTCAATATCAAGTAATGAAGAACCAGTGTCGCCTCCACCTACAACAAATCATCCAACATGTTCAGTACAATCAACCCAGACAACATCGCGTTCACCACCATCAACAATATTGAATTTTTCCAATTTATTATTATCATCACCATTGAATAATACTTCAAATGATCAACAATCACAAATACAATCTCGTCGTTCGTTTAGTTTAACACCTTCTTCCATACATTGTGATTCGACTATATCAGTATCTGATGAACAGTTACGACTCTATCTTACTGAAACATTACAACGAGAAAAAGATAGTGCCGTTTAAAAAAAAACAAAGAACAAATCTTCTACTCTTGAACGCGGGCCGTTCATTTCTTTTTTTGATTGTGTTTCCATGATCGTGTGATCGAATATTTTGTTTTTCTCTTTTCTGATCCCTACTTTTAACATATACATAGTTACTTCTAGTCACTACAAATTGCATCGACAACTGTCTACATAGATACATATATACATAAAAAATACAAACATATTTTATTGTGCCACGGTTTTTTCTTTTTTCTTTTTAAACATTTTGCTGGTACAACATTCCTTCTGTCGTCTTATATATATTTTTTTTCTTTTTAATATAACAGCGAACAAACAAAAAAAACAACAAATTCATTTCGATGAAGACATCTTTAGAAGACTAATTCATTATTAATTGTTTATATTACCATCGATTTCTTGTAATAATCGATCACATTTCGCCATAAGTAATTTAATAGAATCGATAAACAGCTGATCTGGACGTAGAGCACCAACGCTTTCAATACTAACTATAAATTAAATAAACAAATGAATGAGCATTTACCTGATTAATTTTTATAAATATATACGAACATATGAAATGATCACGAATTTTATTTAATTCAACAGAATCTTTAAAAGCAGGATAACGAAGTGCTTCACGGCTACACATATCAAGACGAGGTTTCGATACGACAGCACGACGATGGCCTAAAAAAACTTATAGTAGTGTTGTATTTTATAATTTTTCTTTTCTGAATATTCGCATGTATGAATCTTGTTAGACAAGACAAAATATATCTATTATTGAATTAATTTTGACTGTTTACGAAGATTATTTTTACAGAATGAGTTATTTTTTAGCACGTACATCATAGATGAAAACATGCTAACTCTATCAGTTAACTATAGGGTACAAATTGAATTAGTAAATATCTATCTAAGAGTACGTATCAGAAAAATCTAAATCCAAAAACTGTATGATAGACTAAATAAGAGAATTTTTCTCATCAAAATTTATTGCCTAGATATTTTATGAATGCTAAAAATGAATAAAAAATTCTTTCAAAAAAATGTGTTATATGATTTCTAAAACTGTTACATTGATTTTGATATTATTTAATTAAAAATGAATGGAGTGAAAGGCAATATACTTTTTCTTTTGTCTGTGAAACGTTACTAACGTTTGGCTTTGGCTGATATCTCTTATGAATAAATGTCTCTGAAGTAACTTAACATATATGCAACATTTCAAAATTAGTTATAGAAAAATCTATTATTCTGAAATGCATCTGTTGTAATTTTTTGATTTCACATCACTGATACATAATTTTTCTTTTTTTTCTCTTTGACAAATTTGATAAGTTCTGAAATTAGTTTTTATTAAATAAATACTTTTTAATTATCTCCATTTTCTTTAACTGGCAAAATGTGAAAAATCTCAATTATCCTTTGTTCGTTAGTTTACAATGTAGATAAAAATCCAGAGTTTTGCTTTTCTATCAATTTATTTGAAATCATGTTATTATATTCTTCACCGATGAAATTTTGTGATATTTACAGTTATGAATACACACGCACGCATGCAGTATGAGTTCACGCCATTCTTAAAATATAATCAATTAGGAAACGTTTTTCAATCCCGTATGGCATTGACGTCAATACTAGTGTCTCCATCGGAGAAAGGAAATGAAAACAATTTCACAATATTGTTCCGTTCTTGTAAAGTAGCAAAATGCACAGATTTAACAAGCCTAATTAATGTCGAACATACGAATGACTCGAAGCAACTATTAGTTTGATTTTAATAGGAACAAAAAAGCAATTTTTCTTTTTCATTTTCATTGATCATTAATAAACTATTTCATAAAAAAACTGACTCTGTTTACCAACCATCATTATCCTGTTCAAGTTCAATGACACCTGGTGTAAAACATTTTTGTAAATGTTCTGCATCTTCATCGTATATAGGCTTTTTCAAAATAATTTCAGGCATTAAACGATACGATCCAGTACCTAAAAAGAAATCAATATAATGATTCTACTTACAACTAGATTAAAATCTCTTACAAACAGGTGAAAATTTTGCATGATCACGACCAATACCTTTATGGCAAACAAGTTTAAGGTCAACTTCCTACAAATAAGAAAAAAAAGGAAGGCATGTCCATAAAACATTTTGCATCAAATCTATATATATATATATATATATTTACTTGACCCGGACGGAGTTTCACAATTAATATATCAGGAAAGACTGGTCCAATATCTTCCGGTTTAAACTAAATATTTGAAACGAATTTATTGAGAAAAAGTCAAGCTTAATCATCGTCTATAAAAACCTTTGTTATTTGACTACCAATTGGTATCCATTCCATATGTTGTGTGTAAACTATTTCGTTGAAATGAAAAATAAAAAATTTACGGTTATTCAATCAGCTAGAACCATATCTATTTATTTACCATTACTATTGATGTAAAGCTTTTTAGGATCATCATCTCCATCGGTAGGTGCTTTAGGATTTTTTTTGCATGCAACTTTAAGTTTAAAAATTAATGTATCATCTTCACGTTCTTTTGTATCAGCTGCAACTTTATCAATAAATAAGGTTGGATCAGCACGCAATGGAATAAGACCAAGACGATGTGCAAGAACATCATCAGGTAGTACCGATGAATTCTCTGTTACATGAACTTTTTCAATAGCCTATAAAAAATGTCAATGAATCGTATATATTCTGATCAGTTATTTGTCTTTCATTTTCTACACACCATCGATGGAAGTTCAGCAATTAGTATACGACGAAATGCATTCGCAATAGCTGCATCAATACCGATTAAATCAAATTCAGTTGTGGTATCATTCAGACTAGTTATTTGAACTTGCAAATTCTAGATCATAGAAATAAAAGTAAAAATATTCTTTTCAAATCAAATCTAAATATTCATCATTTAATACCTGTCGAAATTCATCTAAATTTAAACGATCATCATAACCGGAATAATTACCAGGAAAATTTGTTGATGTAGTCTGTATTAATAAACATCAAATGTTATTTTATCAAAAATCCAAATCTTACTTACGTGTAAAATTTCAGTGTCTTCCAATTTAATTCTCGTTCTAATATTCTTCATTGATGCCATCTAAAAGCAAAAGATTTTTTCATGCAAAATATAAATGACAAAATTTAAACAAAAATTGAACTTCTGATCTACTTTTTAAAAGATAAAGATTTGCTGTTTACAAAAGAACATTAGCGAGAGTCTGTTTGCCACTGATCGATCGTTTTCTTACTAAAAGCTATTGAAGTATGATTTATCGGTTTGACTGATTTGGATTAAGTTTTTAAATGGTAACTTTTCACACTTATAAATATTTTATAAAAAAAAACAATATTCGTTTTAGAGATCTAGTCAAATTACCAAAGATTTTCTATTGACTTCCAGATAAAAATCATTTCTATTTCTTGAAACTGAAGTTTAAGTAGAATATTATCATCTTAAAGAGTTTCAGATTAAAATTTTGATCTATCTGGTATAGAAATAGAAATTATTTGAAATAGAAATAACAAGTAATTCCTGATCTATCGGATATACTCTGCTATCAGAATAGCTAAAACAAATACGTTCAACTTTAATTTTGTTACTAAAAAAAAATCATTTTTTTCTATCTAAAACTGCTAACTTATACAGGCCTAACAGATTTGCTTAGAGTTACACTCGAAAAATCAAAATGACCGATAGCTCACAAGTCACTTGTTTTTAATGCAAAAACGATCTATCCGTTGACAGTATTCCCTGATAAAGCAAAGAAAAATAGTTTTATAAGTGACGGGTTGTATATGGATGATGTAGAAGTGAAAATATATCGATTCGTGCATGAGGATCTTCGACAAGTGTACGACGAAGAACATCAACAAGATTGAAGTCGCGTGAAGGCTTTTGGCGACCAGGAGGATTTGCTGCTCCAGGTATATAATCTGGTGGTTCCCCATAAGTCATATAGTAAAGAATAGCACCTAACGACCAAACATCTGCTTTGGGACCGTACGGTTGACCATGATAATCAACAGGGTTCATTATTTCTGGTGCACTGTAAATAAATAAATGAATGAATATTAAACATTCTTCGAATAATTTATTCAAATTTTACCTAAATTGGAGAGTACCCACACCAGGCTCACTAAGTTGCAAAAAAAGAAAAATAATAGAAAATTCAAGATAAAACAAAATATCAAATTTTTCTTACCCTATCATCTCAGGCTTTTTTGATATCCCTAAATCAATTATTTTAAGTGTATCTCCGAAAAAAATTAAATTATCTGGTTTCAAATCCATATGAACAATATCATTTGATGTCAGTGTTTGAACAATACTGACCAATTGACGCCAAATATTATGACGAATAGCTGGATCTAGGTATGAACCAGGCTGTCCTGGATTACGGTGCAACGCACGCATGCGTGCGATAAACTTCGTCAAATTATCGCCGCCTAATTCCATAACAATATAAGCTAAATAGATACAGATAACAAGAAAATGATTCTCTATATCTATTTGATAATTCTTAAGCTAACCTCGGCCAGTGTCAGCATCAAAATCAAAGCCATAAATATTAATGATATGACGTGATTTTTTTCGTAGTCGGTTAAGATGTCTAACTTCAGTTAAATATGAATTAACAAGCACCTCATGTGCGCCAGATATTCGATTTAGATCAATTACTTTAACCGCAACCACACCATCAGGCCCTTCAGCCGCATAAACAGCACCTAGTTTTTTTTTACAAATTAATGAAAACAAAACTATGCAATATACTACTACTCTTCTTACCGAAACCACCGCTGCCTATATGTCGTTGAAATTTATATTTTCTATGTTCAATTTCAATAACTCTGCCAACAAGATGACTATCACGGTCACGGAAAGACAAAAAATCGTTATAGAAGAACTTGCCTGAAATTAAATTTTAATTTTTCTAATTATAATATTTCATTAGAACACTGACTTGATATTCGACCCATATTGGTGTAATATTTAATATTCTACTAGATTTTACTTTCCAGATCCGGTAGAATAGAACTGATGTTGTGCTTGGTACAAGGAGATTCAAAATCAGTACATATATATATATACGTGTGTATGAAGAGAGAGGGAGATACGGAGCTATACGAACGTTCCACTTCAGTGGACCAAATAGGTATGTAATTGTGTATATTGTATATCCAACCCCAACCTAAGGTTTTTTCTATAAATTAACAGCGCAAGACTCTCTTATATCAAACACTTTTCAATGAACTTGAAAGAAATTGATTGAGGTCATCAAATCAATTCAATGTCAAATTCATGAGTGGCGACAGAGCAATATGTTTGAAAAGAAAGAAAATATGTTCTCTTTCTAAGGATGAATACAATCGAACAATATACACTTGACTTTATTTGATTTGAAATTGTAGCAAACAATTTATCAAGTTTATATTCATTTTTTTGAAGCCAATAAAATAAAAGTTCTATTATAGCAATGCTTTCTTTTCCATTATCTAGCCTTGATAAAATTTTAATCAATACATCTCCCACATACCACCCAGTTCGCATTTTACCAACGCCAATAGAGAGGATCAATTAATCTCTATGTACACACATATCTACACTTAATAATGAGATGTGATTTTGTTTCTTATCTGAAACATTCATACTCGAGCATTTTCTTTTTCCTTATGACAACCACGGCCAACAAACTTTTAGTAGAAAAAAAAATTTATTCAAGAAATAAAGAGATTTGACGTTTTTCGTCGTTTTTCTTCTTCTCTTTTTTTTTAAATATTTCTGTTTCAGTCTTTATGATCAAATTTTTCTTCAAGATATGATCTAAATGTATTGAAGCAAAAAAAGAAAAAAAAAAGAAAAAGAACGAAAAAGCAAGGTGAATCAATGAATATAAATGAACTTCTTCTTCTCGTTCGTCTTCTCTCTTTTTCTCCAAAGGAAAGACCACGCAACGTGTGTGTATATGTATATTACCTCTGTTGTTTTTTGTCAATTAGACGTGTACGATGGCGACCGAGTTTACGGAAGAAATTTTACCTTTCCTTTCCCCTTCTTCTTCTCCTTCGTCTTTTCTAACTGTCATTGGCGCGTCGCACAGCCATCACTAGGTCGATGTCCGTGCTCGATCAACACCTCGCTTACTCATATTTCAAAAAAAGTTTAACATCTATACGACGTCAATGCGCGCATAGAACAGACAAAGAGAAAAAAAGAAACATAAAACAGAAGCAAGCAACAGGGAATTACTCATAAAATACTTAGTTTGATTTTTGTTTTTAGATACATTTACTTTTCTTTTATCACATTTTCATGCGAGAATATAAGTTAGTTGTGTTGGGTAGTGGTGGTGTAGGTAAAAGTGCATTAACCGTACAATTTGTGCAAGGTATATTTGTTGGTAAATATGATCCAACAATTGAAGATTGTTACCGTAAAGTAAGTAGAAAAGAAAATCAAATATTTTTGATCAATTATCTAGAAATATAGAAATAAAATTTATTATGTATCATATTATAGCAAGTAGAAATCGATGGCGTTAACTGTATGCTTGAAATTCTTGATACAGCTGGAACGGTAAATATTTACAAGAATAAAGAAGTTTTTTATGTCTATATTTCTAGGAACAATTTACTGCAATGAGAGATTTATATATGAAAAATGGTCAAGGTTTCATACTTGTTTATTCGATAACATCACAAGCAACATTTAATGATTTAATTGATATAAAAGATCAGATAATGCGCGTTAAAGATGTTGGTGCAGATATTCCTATGGTACTTGTTGGAAATAAGAATGATCTTGAAGATGAACGTGTTGTTGGAAAACAAAATGGTGAAGCGTTAGCACGTTCATTTGGATGTACATTTCTTGAAGCATCTGCGAAATTACAAGTCAATGTCAATGAAGTAAAGAAAATGTTTAGTTAAAATCGAAAATATAAATTTTAATTAAAATAATTTTTGAATAGATTTTTTTTGATTTAATACGACAAATCAATCGTAAAACTCAACGACCTCGACAAGCCAAACAAGTCTCATCGCAAGGTTTTGATCAACTTGAACCTCGAGGTGATTACCAGTATGACCATTCAGCATCGCGTCGACCTAATCGCACAAGTGATCAATTCAAAGACTGTTGTATTCTTTTATGAGAAAAATAATACCAAAAAAACAACAGATGCTTTGTTTTTTTTTGTTTTTTTTTAAACCTTTTTGTCATTTTAATGTCTGTGTATAGAGAATAATAATCTCGTTCATTTTCTGTTCAGAAAACAAATTATATACATTCATAATTATCTATCTTATAGATAGAAAATATGTAATAAAAAATATATATGAATCATTTTGAATGAATCAGTCAGAAAAAATGTTTGTTAAGTTAATAGAAAGAATTTTCAGTATGAATCATACCTAGTTGTTATCGAATTCTAGAAATGAGTCATGTAAGCCACTGAATGTCCCAAAGCGGTTTGATCTTTTAGTGTTTTGATTGTATTTCCTTTGATATTTGTTTGCTTAGTTTTGTTTTTGAATAGATTTCCCTTTTCATGTTATAGAAAATTATATAGTTTATTCGTGAATGTAAATGTGATCGATCAAATCCCGAGACATGTTTCAAATAAACAGTTTAAGAGAAACAATACTTTTGGTTAGATATTGTTTTTGATTATATATATACGTATATACATATGTTAGGGCATTTCGTTCGACGTTACTTTTACTAAACTGAGAAAATGTACGAATTCGCTTAAGATTGAATAATTCAATGTATACTAAGCTTGACTATTCGATGGCTAATCACTGGGGCTTATATAGAAAGGAGGCCAAGTTATTTTAACCAAACTATTGTGTAATTTCATGAACGCGAGGTTTCTCATATCGCTCTGTTGAAAGTATCATTTCAATTTATTAGAACAATATCTTTCATATATCGAGAGCAGAATAATCTAGTGTTTTGAGTACGAAATTAACTATCGATATCAAAGTAATTATTTCAATACATTAATGTGTAAAATCTTGCATCCACAAATTATATAACAATCGACTTAAGAGAAAGTTTTCTCTTTCGTCATCAAATATTTTTCGTGATTAAAATAGTTCATATTGAAATAAAACTCGACTATGTAATTAAATGCAGCCAAGTCATTTTTTTTCAACAAGATAAAAGTAAAATAGCAATGAAATACATTAAAAGAAAATCTAGCATAATCCTCGATTAGAAGATTGTTTATTTTGGACTGTTCGAATGACTCATGTGTTATGAAATGTTTGCTGTTATTTACATTAATTACAATATATACTAGTTTTTTAGATAATTCATAGACAAATATATTGAAAAAGAAAATTTAATTTTTTTTATCTAGCATAAGAATTAAATACTTTCATAAATAGCTATCTATTCGTCATTTCGAAAGAGAAGACTTAGTTAAAACATTGGAATAAAGTCAATTCTTTAAATAATAGATATCAAAAAAATATTTCAAGATTTATTTTCATCAAACAAACGGAATATTGATAATATTCTATTCAATATTCATATATTATGTTGTTATCATCAAAACATTCTTAGTCTATCAATTTTCTAACGTCTTCTAAAACATTATCAATGGCTAAATATCTATTTTCTTTTTTTTCTATTATAAAGAAGACAACGCTGTTGATAATAAAGACAAGATAGACGGTAGCTATTAAACAAAGCAAACAACAACGAAAACATTCTCGACACTTTTAGCACTGTTTAATTTACTTCAATTACTAAAAAGAAAACAAATACTTGAATATTGTAAAATCGTTGATGCCCAATTATATAGTATGTGTTTTTGGTTCTGGCGGTGTTGGCAAGTCATGTTTGGTACAAACATAATAATAATTATTCATAATTTTTTATTGATTAGTTTTTATCCTATATTCTTACAGACAATTCAATTTGTTCAAGGTATATTCATGCCAAAATATGATCCAACAATCGAAGATGTTTATAAAAAAGTAGAATCTAAAATATAGTTTATTTATTTTATTATATTTATATTTATTCAGACGATTGAAATCGATGAAAAGCGATATTCATTAGAAATTGTTGATACCGCTGGAACAGTAAATTGATAAGAAAAACAAATATTTCTTTTTTCAATTCTTTGTTTTTCTTTCTCTATGAATATATTTTAGGAAGAGTTTTCTGCTATGAAAGATATGTATATTAAAGATTCTCATGGATTTCTACTTGTCTATTCAATAACATCTCTAGCAACATTCAATGATATCAGTGGATATTATGATCGAATACTGTCTGTGCAAGATATCGACACTCATGTAAATTAGAAAGAAAAACAAATTTCAGAAAACTCGTATTATTTAAATAATATCTGTTAAATTTATAGGGTCGACCAGCTATTGTTCTAGTGGGAAATAAAAGTGATTTAGGAAATGAAAGAATTATTACTCGTGAAGATGGTCAAGCATTAGCTAACAAATGGAATTGTACTTTTCTTGAAACATCAGCCAAAGATCGAGCAAATGTTACAGAAGTAAGAGAATATCAATTGTTGCTTTTTTTACTGGCAAACTTAGTAAAATCTTATTTTATATTTTTAAGGTTTTTTATGATTTAGTTCGACAAATAAACCGTAAAACTCAAGCATCACGACCAAGCAAACCTTCAAAAAATAATACCGATCTATCGGATGGACGTGTGGAAATTCGTATAGAATCAGCAACATCAAATTCGACAGGTCAACCGAACGAGAAACAGACCGGATGTTGCCTCTTGTTATAAGAAAAAAAAACGAATACTACTAATTATCTAGTTCGACCATTGATGATTAGCGATAATGATTATAATAAATAGAAATAAGAAACAGAAAAATTGCATACGTATTTTGTAAATGTCATCGATAATAATGAGTCACAGAAGTCATGCTTGATTTTCTTTTCGTTTTTTCTTATTCTTGCTCATATTGAGTATTCGCTTGGCTATAAGAGTGTAGACATTCTTCTTTTTCGCGATGGTACATATATAATCATATTCAAATATAATTCAACGTCATAGAGCGCATATTTTACAAAGAATAAGAAGCACAGGTAATTCTAGAGAAACAAAACATATAACTGTTGACATCGTTTACTAAAAATACTGTAGTATTTTTGTATATTCTGTTTTCCGCAAGATTTCGTGTTTTTTTTGGTAAGTAGCATAGTATTCAATTATGCCGATATCCGAGTACAAACTATGTGTCTTTGGTTCTGGCGGTGTTGGAAAGTCTTGTTTGGTAACAAACGATTTACTTCCTATTAACTAATTGTTGTTATTTTCTTCTATTTTCATAGACAATGCAATTTGTTCAAGGCATCTTTATGCCAAAATATGATCCGACAATTGAAGATGTCTATAAAAAAGTACAACTTATTATGTACTTCACTTCGTTTTACAACAAAAGTACTTTTTTAGACAGTCGAAATCGATGAAAAACAATATTCACTTGAAATACTCGATACAGCAGGAACTGTCAGTTAATATAAAATAAACTTTTGGTATTCGCTAGTTTTCTTGTTTAATTTTACTAGGAAGAATTTTCTGCTATGAGAGATTTATATGTTAAAAATGGGCAAGGTTTTGTTCTTGTCTATTCAATAACATCTCAAGCAACATTTAATGATTTAAACGAATTTTATGATCGAATCATGCGTATTAAAGATACTGAACTTCATGTAAGTTTAAAAAGCAAGCTGCTTATTGTTAAAATTTTGTTTTTTTCGAAAATCAAGGGCCAACCACCACTTATACTCGTAGGAAATAAAAGTGATTTAGAAGACGAAAGAGTTGTTGGCCGTGAAGTTGGTCAAGCATTAGCAAGAAAATGGAAAAGTAGTTTTCTTGAAACATCTGCTAAGGATCGTGCAAATGTTAATGAAGTAAAATAAAAGATTTTCTCTAATATTTAGCAATATTTTCGTTTCTATAGATATTTTTTGACCTGGTTCGACAAATTAATCGATCACCAAATATTGCTTGCAGTCGATCACAAACCAAACATACTACACATGAAAATGCATCTATTAGCAAAGCACGAATGTTAGGCACTTTGCCAGCAAAGAGTCAATCAGATTCACAGAAACATTTGCGTAAACATCGGAGTGGTAAATGTATTATTCTCTAATTGATGGCATGAAGAGTTCGTTTGTTTTTCTATCTCTAACTTTATTCAAAACATAAATATTTATGTATTAGCATTTCAATAAATATTATATATATATATATATATATATACATATAATCTATGCATCATTTACATTAGCTAATTGATCAGAATATATAAAAATGAGATATATCTATATTCATCTAGTTTAAGAAAAAAGAGTGAGAAAGAGTGACGAAACAACAACATAAACTCGAATCAATGTCAATATATATATATATATATATATATATATATATATTGACCATAGGGGATATCTAGAAACGAAGTCCAGTCAACATCCCTCTTATTTTGAGAATTTTAACGCTTGTTATACGTTCGCTTTGACAATGAACTTTTAATAGAGGATGGAAAACCAGTTAAACATGTCTCGGATGTCCGTATGTAGTTGACTCATATTATTCTCCATTTCGCGAACTTCCTTTGTCGATAGCTTCATATAAAAAGTGAACCGATTACTTATTCGATTAACATTACAACATTATCTACATAGAAACGACCATTGACATATTACATCACTGCTGAACTACGAGTATTAAAATAACGAGCAACAAGTCAAGTAAGTTCTGTGAAACAATGTTTAATAGGCTAAGATAAAATGTAAGAGGCTCACACGAAAATATCAGAGAGTAAACATCGATTATCAATTCATTTAACGATCACTTATACGACTAGTATTCATATTTCTCGTAGCGCCCATCAATCATTACATCAAGTTCTCCTCTAATTATACTGTCGTAAACTTATCATCATCATCATCATCATCATCATCATTATGATCATCATTACTATTGTCATCATCGACAATCAAAATATTGTCATAAAAACTATCAAGGGTAATTAAAAATGAAATTTCACCACGCTCTACATCAACTGATTCTATTCGACCTAACAGAATATCATCAGCATCATGTCTAATTACTCCACTTGATTCTGTATAATGATCAAGAAAACCTAACGCCGCTATTCATTCATTTATCATTAGTAATCAAACAAATGTATTCTTCTTAACAAACAGTCTTCTCATAATCTTCTATTTTTCTCGTGTTGAACTTTTTTTTTATTGATTTTATCAAAGGTCTATCAAAAATTCATACTAAACAAAAAGAAAATCAATCGGATTATTCATAATTTTTTCAAAAGGCATCACTGAATCTCCTGTTTAAATTACTAATTCATCCATTGGAGAGAGAGGAAAAAACAGCTAAAATCTAAACAGCATCATCGTACTTGTTTCAGTCAAAACCGATTGAAATTGAAATCATTATCATGACGATGACAAATAAAAACAATATTGAAACACAAAAAAACAGTTTTTGATTTTTTTTATTATATTTCACTGTTTTACACAATCCAAAAAGAAAGCAAAAAATCTTGTACCAGTGAAATATACAAAGAAAGGTGGAAGGAAAAAAATAGTGATAATCAGAAATAATAGTAAATAAACAGCACCGTTCTCTTAAAGAAAATAAGACAAGACTACAGGAAACAAAGCAAAATATTTCTCTGTCAAGAAAATACATGGAGAATAGTAGACCATCGATTGAACAACTCTATTTGTGACTATTGTTTTTTTTTTCTTTTTTTTTCTTTTCTATGCAAAACTACAGGATCAATATCAAAGAAATAAATGATAAAGTTAAATAAACCAATGCTATTTCTATTCAAATTATAAAATGTTTATATTGTATCTTATTTCTTCTTTGTCCAATCTGATTGATATTTACGTGATACATAATACTCATATGCTGCACGATTACATATTGGTAACCATTCACTGGCTTGATCTTCGACAGCCTAATCATATGAGAGAACATATTTATATTTAAAAATTAAACATTCTTCAGTTTTTATTTTTAATTCATACTTGAAGATATATATATGCATCAGTGCCATGACCATCAATTGAATGAATCTCTAAGTCGCCATTAAAATACCGAGCATAAAGTCGGCTCTAGAAAAAATAAAGAAAATTAAATTTTGTTTTATTTTCAAACTGTATCCATAGGAAAAATATAAGAACGATCTATTTTCTTAGTTGTTTCTTCTAGAATACCAAATATTTGATATAAAACTAAATAATGTTTCTGTCTGATGCGTTCTGCAAATTAGAATTGATTAGATCTACTATAATAATACAGTCGAGTCCGCTTATAAGAGCGCAGTCGGGGTTTCTAAAAGAGGCTCTTATATCCGGACCGCTCCTTTATCCGAACTATATGTAAAACAGCGCAAAAATTGTTTCTTGTCAACATTTATTAAGTAGTACGTAGACATACATAAATTTACTTAAAGAAATCCGTGATTTTACTTTGAGTACGATTAATTAAAGCGTTCTTTTCGATCATGTCTTCGATATCATAATATGAATTATACTCTGTAAAATTCTCTTTCAAATACTTGC